GGACAGAACGGCAAACCATAAGACAAAAAAATATGGACGCTTTGGAGAACGATATGAGCACCTTCGAGAGAAATTCCCGGAGTGGGGTATGGACTCGTCCTCAAGTCATGAGGCGCATCCAGAAGGGTCTTCGAGAAGTCTACACCCTGAGCGTCCAGGACAAGAATTAGCTGGCAACAGGCCTTGGCTCTGTCTTCGATGTCTGTCTGTGCGTATATGAAGCGGACCCATGCATAGGGTGCCATAATGAGGAGAATGATAGGATCGTGATATCCCAAGACTCTGATTTTTTTGCGTACGAACGAGTCTGCATCCTAGTGCGACCCCTTCCACACTGTAGACGGAAGTTTGGGGTTTACGATGTAGACAACGTTATCCAAGCACTAAGACTGCCATCACACGAACATCTGGTGTTATTCTGTGCCATCGCAGGCAATGACTACTCAAGGAACCTCGAGACGTTGGGCCCGCTTAATAATCTTCGATTAATTCGAAAGGTTGCGCGGGACAAGAACTACAATAAAATGCTTCGAGACTACCTAAGGGAAGCTAGTAAGGTGTTGGGAAGGAGCGCAGACTCTGAAGAAGGCAGAGTAGCTCTCCGCGTTTTTACTTCCAGCCATCAAACGTCGGCCCAAGCGTTGCCGAACAATGAGTTCGATAACTTCAAGCAGCGTCTACTCAATGGAAAGGATCTTCGCCATAGAATGGCTCAGCAAAGGCGGGTGCAGCGCCGTAGAACGTAAGGAAGCTCAAGCTATAGTTTTGGTCTTGAAACCAAACGTCCCCATACTAATCGTTAGTCCCTTTCTTGGATAATGTAGAGACACGCCGTCATTCTATATAGCGGAAGGGTCACATAGGAACCAGTTCCGGCCCATCTTTTCTGACAAGCCGAGCATATTGAATGCGTGCACAGTTGATATCAGTAACTGCCGTCAGCACGATAGGCCGGGCCTTAAGCATCCACCACGTCGGAGAAAGGCAAAAAAGAAGCAACAGAAAAAACAAAAGCGGAAGCACAAAGGCAAGAAGCCCCACAGGGCTAAAAAAGAAGGTGCACCAATTAGGGACTTGAAGGATGCTATGAAGGTTGATCACAGCTACAGCAGTAAGCACCCTATCAAGGCCTTAACAATTGGGTCCCTCAAGGCTTCCATGGCAAGGAAAGGCGGACTGGACGCAGATGAAAGGGATAGTATTGCAAGCCAGATCCGAGGGGCAGTTGTTGTCCTCAACCGACTACGCCGCTATGCATACTGGGCGATTGCCTTGGACATTGAGAGGATCATGCGGCTACCAGGGGCAGCAAGGTCGAGGGAAAAGGCACTGGACGAGGTTTTGGATAGCACTGACTATTCTTACTGTCTCGCCACCCTTCTTTTAAGTGGTCAAGGTGGCCCAATTCAGCTTACGCGAGGGCAAAAAAACAAGGAAGGGCGGTAGAAACGCCCCATTATCTCCCCGCTTATGAACATTTTAAGGCCATCACTGAACTTTCCCCAATAAAGGAAATAGACATAACATTGGGGGACGTGCAAGGCTCTGATCCCAAAAAGATCTCATTTCTAAGAGCGTCAGAGCTACTAATGGGCCAAGTACAGACATCATTAAGGCAGCACTACAGGCACGTAATGGTATAACCTTGTGTAGGGTATTTTCATGCATATTCTGCTCTCTATTCAGACTCTTTTTATTTTTACAATTTTTTTTTTTTTTTTTTTTTTTTTTTTTTTCTAGTTTGAAGATATGAGCGACATTGAGTTTTTTTTTGCGGGAGAACAAAAGAGTAAAAAAATACTCAGACTTTCCTACGTCCCCCGGTCACCCGGGTATGTGTATCTGTCTGAACACGCCCTAGTTGACATCCTCTGGGCGAACGAAGATACCAAGCAACTGCTGGAGCGTATTCTGCCTCTCAACAATCCTTCCAAGACTGCAATGTTTGAGTGTGTACAGGGAACAAAAGGGGTTTTGATAAAGGCTCTCTTTTGTGACATTGGAGGTGATCGCATGGTTAATGGGTATCGAGACAAAGTATCCCTGCAGTCACAGGACAAAGGCATAACTCGGTTCAAACTCAAAGGAACGATTTCTACCAACGGTCTAGTTCCGAATCTACTTGCCTATGACACAACCCAGACGAAGAGACAGCAGCAGTCTGACGTAGATGAAGAAGACGCCAACCAAGAACTGGAGCTTTCTCAGGGATTTTTCAACACGACGTGTTCAAAGGCAGCCGGTGAAGACCTGGCAGATGAAGACTACGCAAACATAAACTGGAGGAGGAGTTCCAAACTACTTGAAAGCGTTGAGCTCACATTCAACGAACCAGGACGATGCCCATCCGCAAACACCACAACTATCGTCGGATGCGATCCTGGTATTGTTAATGCCCTTACGTTTTCCTCGCTGCACTCTCACAGCTCTAACTTGCGGCAAGCGGTGAAGGTGAGAAGCAGGTTCTTGTACCTTCCCGTCCTCCGCTTCAATCACCTGTTGAACAAAAGGAAGCGTGAAAAAGGAATGATTGAAGTTGAGAGCGCCATCCCTGTGTTTGGAAGGGATACGTATAATGAGTACCTTCAATGGATGAACGAGGAGTCCCAGACACAGACAGGATCAAAGAACTTGGATGTGCTTCAAGAGTTTTACGAGTCCAGATGGCACCTGAAAAAAAAATGGGACCTACGAAAGGCTCAACGAGTTACGTTCGACTACGGGGTGCAGCGAGTGTTGAAGATGCTCGGGGAAAAAGGAGTGCTTGTCGTCGGCCTAGGGTCCTTTGAAAGTAGTAAAGGAGTTCCCAGCAAGCACACTGCTATAACGAGACACCTTGTCACACGGGTATGACTTTTTTTTTTAAAAAAGTAAGAAAAGCTGGAAAGCCATAGAACCCTTGCTAATAAACGACTGCCATTTGAAACGCTTAGGTCAAAGCACGAGGACACTTTGCTATAGTGCACGAATTTTACACCAGCGCCCGCTGTCCCCGACTCCTCTGCGATAGCTTTTTAGAGGCGGTGTACCCTCGCTCTAAATATTGCTGGGCATGTAAGGTATTCTTCAACCGTGACGCAGTAGGGGCGGAAAACATCGCAAGAATCAGTCTTGCTCAAATTGAGAGGCAAGAGAGACCTGCAAAGTACAAGCCCACGGAAGAGTCGCCTGCTCCGGCTGCAAAGCGCGCACGACGCTAGACACAAGTATTTGGGTGCCAGCACCCACAAAAAATTTGTAAGTTCTGTTTATCCTTTCTACCTAATCTTGTCCCTGAATTTCTGGACTATTTTAAAAACCGTACAGATCAACAGATAGACATCACACTCTTCCTCTGGGCCCCAACGAGTGCAACTAGATGAAGTCAATGGTCTCCAGCGGCCATGACTGGAAATATTTCGGCAATGATTTGAGGCCAAATGAAGAGGCTCTTCAGGCGGTAATGGTCGCCCCAGCATGTATTAAATGTTTTTGCATTTACTTAGATTATGACTAACGTTCCATGATTTACAGGTAGTCAGTAACCCTATTGAAAGCAATTCTTCGATAGACTTCTTCTTTATGGATCATTGATAAAACAAAGGAGAGGTGTTTGATTTTGATTTTGATTTTGATTTTTAATTTCAGACATGGTTCACCGTTCTGTCGATCAGTTGTCTGAGGAACTAAAAAGGAAATTGAGGTTCGTGCAAAGAGGTGGCTCAGTTCACACACATTCATCATTTCATTCAGCACAACGGAAGCATACAAAAATAAAAATAAACCGCATGATAGTCTTGCATATATGGAGAATAGAGCCTTATGTGGACTCTCCGAAACTTCTCTGTGATCACAAGTGCTTCCTGGACGCGTGGACTGTACTAATATATTGGTATGAGTTTATCGATCATGCTGTAGACTTAATGGTATATAAACTTTTCCTTCTCGCCTTGATTTCTTCTCATCACCGTTCATATTCTTTCAACATATTCCTTTCGCCATCCACATCCACAACACTCGAATCACATTAAGGAATAAGTTTTTCACCGCTCAATAACTTTAACAGTCCAAGCAAAGCAAGCGAAACCTAGACCCACGGTTTTTAGCAGCGATTTACATACATCAAGAGAAGGCAACAAGATAAAGGAGTATCAGACCTAACAAAGCGATACTATTCTGCAACCTCAACTACAGCGGTGACTATAATCACGATTGTATTAAGCCAGCAACAGGGGGCTGGAATACTCCCAGGAGGATGCTGGGATTATGTGTAAGTCTTAATGATCATTTTATTTTATTTGTAGCCGCAGGTTTTTACTAATCTTTTCTCCTATTCTTTTTCAACATATATGATTGCTTTCTCTGACTAGATAGATCTTTCTTTGTAGGTACGTTCATTTAGCTATATGGACGGTGGTTAATTTATAAGCCCAAGAAATGCCCATCCATCCTGTAAAAACTTGTTGGGCAAGTTTCTTGTATCGTCCCAAACGTATTTTCATCGCAATGTAATGGCGGCGCATAATGTATGTAATACAATTCGTGGCCAACCGAAGATACAAAAACGACCGCATCATCTTTAGCCTGTAGATGCGAAGGAACAATCTCCTTGGACACATCATAGAGCGATATCAGCGACAGACGCAAGCGCAAGAACAGACACAGGTACAAGTACAAGGACAGGCAGGGGGTCGAGTCTTAGTCAGAACGCAGCGTCGACCCGTGGCCGAAGCAGCAAGAGGCCAGTAGCATAGAGAGGGCGCAGGAAATTTTAATATAGTTAGACGCATTTGTTCGCAAGCACACTAACCAAGTTTAGAGACAAGCGTGGTCATGGCCAGATTGATCCCTTGTGGTGGCTAATTAGGCCTAGATTGTGCCTTCAACTTAATTCTTTTCACTTCATCACATCTTTTTCACCATCGGATGCAACAAGACTCTTGAATTCTCCTATACTACAATTATACCTAATCCTATCCCTATTTTTTTTTGGTCCCATCCACAATTATATAAGCTGCACCATGAGTGGATTCTTTAACATCAGGTAAACCTGGCATATATAAACTCTACATTAAGTAACAAGGCAGAATATATTTCTGTTGCTGACATTTTATATTACCACTTATTGTTTTAAAAATATACACTCGCCATTAACACAACGTCCAAAGTGGTAAATTTGGAAGCAAGACAAAACCTAAACGATCTACATCATCAGTACGGCCCTTATTCCTCTGTCAGCCTTACTGCAATAACTCGATCGTCAAGGGTAACTTCAAGACCATTGTCCAGTTGCCCAAGTATGTTGATGCTAACGAATGGCTTGCAGTGAATGGTAAGCAACGTTTGGAACATATGGATAATGGGGTAGCAATCTACATCAACTACCTCCGCTGCAGTATCCTCTTGGCCTTGTTCACTGGGAGGCTTTTTTTAAAATTTTCTGCACATTGAGGGTATACACTTTTTTAACAAGTACCCGAGTGAGGAATCTTTTGCATGCGAGAATAGAATCAAAGGGATGGCAATTTTGAAAATCTCCGCAAAAAAAAAAAGCCAAACGCGTTTCAGGTTGCACTGTCAACTTGTCCGAGAAAAGGGAGAAACAGATGTGGTTTGACGAAGCAATTGCAGAATAAGAACTAACCCATCATAACAAAAAATATATCCATCATTCCTTTTTTTTTTTTTTTTAGTGTTTGATTTCTACAACTACATCAATATGTTCTATGGATCCATATCGGATTTCTGCACAGCACGAGATTGTCCAAACATGTCTGCAGGAGCAGGGTAATGTTGACTTGGATCTAGTTTTTTTCTATATTTTTTAGGAGTTGAAAATTAACAAGATGTCCCCACTTTTGTTTTATTACGTTATTATTTTAAAAAAATAGATTTGAGTACCTTTGGATGGATGGGCAAAAAAAGACGAGTAAAGTGCCAGCACCGCAATACATTGACTTTGTCATGAGCTGGATCCAGACACTCATTAACGATGAAAATACCTTTCCTACCAAAGATGGTATAAAAAGCCCTTCTTTATTAATGTATTGCTCTGTCATGGTTCTTCTGATTGTATTATTGTTGTTACAGGTATTAACTTTTCTTTTTCTTGGCAATAGGACGTGATTTTCCACCTACTTTTCAACAGACAGTACGCGCGATCTTTAAACAATTGATCCGAGTTTTTGCACATGTCTATCATTCACATTATGACAAGATGCTTTCGCTCTGTCAAGAAGGTCATTTCAACTCGCTTTTCGCGCACTTTGTCAGTTTTGGACGAGAATTTGACCTGTTGGACAAAAAGGATATTGTACCCCTGCAAGAACTTATTGACATCATGGATAGCAATGGAATCCTCTGCTGAGTTGGGTTCGGGGAAGGAGCAAAGTGATTATTATATATATCATACCATCGGGGTAGAGTAGAATAATTCACTTTTTTATTTTTGTTCTTGTCTATTGACGAGATTTTAGCAGAGAAGTAATAATTTTTTTGGTTTTGTCGTTTAGATATAACTTCTTTTAATTGTCGTTTTTTATTATTTCTTAAACCATTTTATGGCAAAAATTCCTCTCCAGAATCAGATATATGAGTATATGGAAGGTTAACACTGACAGATATCGTCTTGAACAGACTCACTACTGTTATGAATAGACGATAACAATTAATACAAAAGTATTTGCTGGTAGATCTCATTTAATTCAGAGTACAAAAATGTGAGAAGTCTGTGTGATATTTGGTTACACCACATTTATTTTTTTGTGTGATTGGCCCATCCTACATACCTTTTTTTTTATTCGTACTGCTCGAGAGTTTCGACAGCCTCTTGATATTCTTTTGATGATTTGATATCAGGATTCGCGTTTGCCTACATAAAATAAAATTTATTAATGTTTAATAAAATAATAAAGTCTCTTTCCTCTTCTACTCTTTTTTTTTTTTTTTTTTTTTCTTTTCTTAGCACAATATTTCTTCTTACAACAAGATTAGCAAGGTCCTGATGGGCTGCCTTTTTTCTCCTCTCAACATCAGGCAACATATCCAATGTCTCTTCAAGAACTTCACGCTATATCATGCGATAAGATGTTACAAGGCTATCAAACATGAGGAAACAGACGTTGGGGGCAAAAGAAAGCTTTTTTTTTTCTCTTTTTTACCTGCTTCTTGATTTCATAGTCATTAGGGTCCTTGGCTATCATATCATTAATACGTTTTTGTTGCTTGTCTCTTTCTGCGTGGTAGTAGACTTGCTCCTTGGCAACTCTAGTTTTATTTCGGTTATTGAAGAAGAAAAAAAAGGGTGAATTCCTCAAACGTCGTCGACTCGATCCTCCTTTGAAGAAAAAGAGTTTTTTTTACCTCTTTAAGACACCAGTTTTAATGGAAAAATCTCGTGTAGACATTTTTTTTTTTGAAAATGAAGGGGAATAGAGCGATTAAGGTTGGTATTTTTTTCTCTTTCTATTTTTTAGACACGATAATACAGATGAAGTAATGGTAGAGTGAGCTTGTGTTGGTTGAAACAAGATGAGAAAATGCATGAACATGCAGCCTTTTTTTTCTTTTCTTGTGACTGTTTGAGATTGAGCAAGCTGATTGCGCGGTAGATCGCGTTGGAGTGGAAATGGGCTGTGCGTTTTTCTTTGGTAACGTTTCTATTGTTATTATTATTACTGTTATTATTATGTACTGTACTTCATTATGATTACTTGGTGGGGGGAAAAGATTGTTGAGATACTAGACAATCTTTTTTTTTACAACACATAATGAAGATAGGTGACTAGGAAATAAGCATAAAAGGTTATGAAAAGAGTAACAGTTTTTTTAAATAAGCTTATCCGGTACGAGGCTGGGTGCTGTAGCCTTGGGTAGTAGCGGCAGGAGCTGCATTTGAACTGTTGTAAGCGCCTGTGTTATGTGGAGCATGAGTCGATGTGGTGTTGTAATTATTGGTGGCTGTGGTGTTCATTGGATTATGGGCGGCAGAAGAAGTAGTAGCACCAGTATTATAACCACCAGTTGTCGGTCCAGTAGTGCCAGGAGAAGTCTTGACGACAATAGGCTCAATTTTCTCGGTCACAACTGTACGAGATGGTCCACGGGTTTCAGCGCCTGCCGGGTAGCTATTATAGACCGCCATGTGATCATGACGCCTCTTTCTCCAGCACCAACCTAAAAGTCCAGCCAAGGCCGTAGCTGCCAAAAGTCCAAGGACAATACCAGCAATTGCTCCTTTCGAAATGTGATGTGATGTGTTCCTCACGGGATCAAGAATACTCCTCTCACTAGGGCTGGCACTGGGATCGGCTGTGCGCGAAGTGGCGGTCGCACCCCCAGTAGTGGAGGAACGGGAGAAGGTCTGGGTGCCTTGACCAGGCCTGTATTGCGATGGGTCGCCATACGGGTTTATTAGCCCAGCCACTCCGCAACGTCTGAGAAGACCATCAACATTAACCGAGCTCTGTATTGTTATATCAATATTTTTGAGAAAGAAATATGTTTTAAAACAGACTCATTAAAAGGAGGGGGAAAAAAAAGGAAAAAAAAGGAAAAAAAAAGTATTTTTTACCTCATAAAAGCCGGTGGAGCTGCGGCGACATTGACAAGCAGAATAATCATTGACATAAGTCTGGGTGCACTGCTTTTCGTTACAGGGCTCAATATTCACTTTAGGATTGGTGCACACCACTTGAGTGACGTAAACAACAGATCAAATTTTAGTCTGAAATCAAATCATCAACTTGTTCATTTCTGTATCCAACACATCTTTATGCACGTGTCCAGTCTAGTCATAAAAGAGACACCTACAAGGGGCAACATTGATGGACGCGCAAGCTTTAATAACTGCAACGGTCGATGGACATTGATAAGCTGAGACAGTGGAGGCCACCGCAATGGCAGCAAGGATCATGGAAGATCTCATAGTTAATAAATGTATTTTAAAGCTTTCTTTAGATTTTGGTTGATAAAGCTTTAAAAAAAAGGTTTTGCTGATGAGGTAGGAAGTTGACCAGATGGACGAGCGTTTCTTGCCGAGTAGCGTAAGAAGTAAGAGGAGCCAAGTAATTAAGGAATGGAATAGAAGTGAGAAAAAGAGGCGAAAAAGTAAGGTATATCCAGAACTGATATATTTATATGATGCCTCAAAGACCGTTTTATATGTCACAAATGGTAATAGCCGTGACACTATCAAATATTTCCAAGACCTTAAAAAAAAAATGTTTCTTATTCGATGAATCTGGCGCCCAACTAAGGCAAGACACCAAAAACGGCGCGAAAGCGTGGTTGCATAAACAGAGACTTGAAAACACATCCACATCAATATGCTGTGTAGTCATAATTCGTTTCTAATTCATTTGCAACGCGTAAAAAAAATCATTCATATTATTGACAGACTTTGCGAAACATATTTCTCAATGTATGACATGATACAGGGATACAGGATGCATGAATATAGACGAACAAAAAAAAAATGATAACGCTGTTTCATGTAAGCAGAGGTATAAACAACCTTATTTATTTATTACCCTCGATTGCAAAGATATGACTTATTTCTTCGTCCAACGATCTTTTATGTTTCGCGAGCAATGGAATGGAACCAGTGTGGGTATTGTTGTTCGCCACATCCTCGCTGCAATTTCATCTTCTGTACGCACCAAATAGCTAGCACTACTTGTGTTCACGGATGTGCATAAGAAAATATTATCTATAAAAATTATTGGATAAATCAATGAGTATGGATCGGTTATTTCGCAATACTTCATTTTTTTTTTTTTTTTTTTTTTTTTAAGAGCAAGCTTTTGTACTTAAAATGGTTGACATTAGTACCTTCAGACGTCGTAGAAACGCTGGTCAAGCGTGATATCGGCTCTACCAGTTTAAAATTCCAAGGTGCGCCTTCTTTACGATGATATCGGCTCATTACTCGCTTAGTCCACAATATGATGTCTGTGAAGATGAACACGTGGTACTCTGCCTCAGAATCCGTTGAATTCTTTATAATCCCTGGCAAATAGAGGGCTGAAGGTGCAATACTTCGGGAATGGGTTGCTCCTGTCAAATTCGAAAAGCTGGATGACAGATTGAAGCTATATTGTGAGACCAATTGTGAAACGACGCCTTGCTTGGATGGAGTTGACGCCCCTAATGACGAGAGAGCTGCTGGTGTTGCAGAATTTGGGATAGCTATCGGACTTGGAGTAGATGACAAGGAATGCAATGTAGTTGCGGAATTAGGTGGCGAAATCGGACTAGTTGTATAAAATAATCCATCTCCAAACTTTTGCTGACGATTTTCACAATTGGGTTCAACACGACTCTTCATTTTGAATATAGGAGTAATCGGAGATGGCGATATAGGTGTTGTAAGAGCAGAGTGTGTTGAAGATGAAGACGAGCCAGAAGAGAGCGAAGTCGATGATGGAAACGCTGGTTTGGCATGTTGGTGATGATAATCCATCTGGCTTGGCCTAGTAATCAGCGTTGGGGTATTGTCGTCATCGTCGTCATCACTGCTGCTTAAACGCGCGATCGGGGGCCTGAATCCGTCCCCGCGCCACTCGGACGAGCCATGACGGTGGTAATAAGGGTAATTTTGAGATGTGGCGTAGCTTTCTGATTTGCTGCCTTTTCCGTGTTTACCGAATACGAGTTTGTTAGGTTGGCGCACGGAGATGCGATGTACTGGCCCGTCCAGAATAAGATATCGATGTTGCTCGACAAGTGAAAAGCCCTATAGACATGGAGTTGATCCAAAAGAACAATAGTTATAATCTTGTTCAGACCCTGATGCTTGTATAATAAAAACTAATTACATGGATAATGTAGTTATTCAAGTAGAAGACTTACAGACGGCAGGCCTTTAATGCGTTGCTGCAAGTCCATAAGCATCTCATTGTGCTCTTCAATCCATATCCGATCATCAATTTTTGTTAATTCGCGTTGATGCTTTTCCAATGCTTGTGCTAACTGAGCATAGTCAGGATCAGACGGCGGTGTTAAGCTAAGTAGATCCTTTGAAATACCGAAACAAATGACAGGCGGTTAATTTAATGTATGCAACGATGGATAAGTAAACTTAATCACCTATGACAATGGTTCTCAATCGTCGATGTCTACCTTGAAAAAGAGTGGATACTTCTGTAACCTTTGAATAGGTTTGAGGAAAATTCCTTCCAAAGTCAGACATTTGCACCTGGGTGACTTTAACAAGTGCTGCAATGAAAAAATTAAATCAATGGTTAGCAGTTTCTTTTAATAAACAGTATACAATAGAAACTAGCAATCACCTTTGCCACATTTCTTACTCTAATGATTATGCATAGTTCAGAAGACCCTGTTATAATGTGTTGAAAGTCTCGTGAGGTGGTTGTGTATTGAGCAAAATATGAGTCATATATTGAAAACATATAAAACTGTTGATCATCAGAGGATTGTAGGCAAATTAGTTGCGATCATTTAGTGGCAAGGAAAAACACCAACATTAGACTTATGCAAATGCTCACTTACATTTTCAAACACACTGCCTATATTTTGTACAACAGGTGTCTCCTGCTGCTGCTTGTTTTGTAGCGACTAATGTTGAATTGTATGTCAGCATAAGGTACAACATGAAGACGACTTTCTTTCATTGTACGAGTCATTCAACCAATCACTTACTCTCAACAATGATTGGTGACCGTTCCATAGGTCTTTTATATGCGACAGTAGTCTTGCGAGCCGCTCATAAAGCCTTACATCTGACTTGTCAGGGTTAAATCGTTTTTTTTTCCTTGACTCCGCCATTTTGACATTTAATTCATCCACGAAAATCTACATTTCCATTATTGAAAGATAGCTCAGCAGATGCTCTCCGTGTATAAAGTTGACAAGGACCATTGAAAACACGTAGACTTTTTTTTTTTTTTTTTTTTTTTTTTTTTTGGGAAGCTGGATGATAGAAATATAGCTTTATCGTACCTTATGGATGCTCTTGAGGTCGTCCAAATACTCTGCTTCAGTGTATATTAGCTCAAAGATTGTCTCTTGCTTTTGTACTTCCTGAGGACTCAGTCCCAGCTCGCGTATCTGTTCAGGATTCGTCATGGTATGCTTCCACAAAGGTTTATAGAGTCCATTGCCAATTGCTGCGATAGTAATGCTCGGCTTTTGGGAATCCGATGATATTTCCGTTTTTGCGGTAGTTTTGTCTGCTTTTAAGTTGCCATTAGATGTGGGATGGGAATGTTCTGAATTTGATTCTATCGGATTCAAACTCTCCGCCTGTACATCAGACATATCTATAGTACTTCTCGGTCGGTTTTTAGAGCTATTGGCAACATCAACGCCTTGTTCAGCATAGCTATGCGCCGCTGAGCTGTTATCCATCCTCACCATCATATCCTTATCTATCGCGAGTTTCTTGGCGTTAGCCGCTATAGAGTCGCACAGATCCAGAGTCTTTTTGCTAGGAGGGTCGCGTGGATATTGCTTATCACTGTATAACCCAGTAAAGCGCTCCGTCCGCACCTGTGTTTCGTTGTTCCCTGAGTCTGCCGAGATGAAGAAAGGCACAGGCGCCTTAATTCTCATTGACTTTGAGCGACCAACAAGTCGCTGAAATGGACTGAGTGTTTCTTTTCGCTGTTGATGGTTGGTGTTGGATCGCTTTAGTGGTGTGGAAGAAGAGGCTGAGGATGGTGAAGACGTGTTAGAGGATAATGTCGAAGAGAAGGGAGAAGACGTAGAAGAAAACGAGGACAATCCAATTCTATCGGCAGTTCTTTGAAAGGAAGTTAGTGTGAATCCTTTCGAGTAATAGCCTTCTGGGATAGCTTGGGAGGGACTCCAACTAACTCTGCGGCTGTTGTAGACTAATTTGTCAGTGTCGGTGTAGAGTGGAGTGTTGGTAGTGATGTTGTTGTTGAAGAAGCAATGGTGGTTATCGCTGTTCTTGATAGGACTAATACTGTCTGGTTCGAATCGGACGCTGATCTCAGGGACTTGAAGGTTAAGTTTGGGCAGTCTAGGTTGTCGAGGAACGGAAATATGCAAGCGAGTTTGACTCTCTTGCGTCAAGAAAGAAATGAAAAGAAAATGGAATGACAAATGAATGAGAAAGAATTAATGAAGTGAGTTCATGTCTACAAGTTGATTGTCAATGACTATTATGTTAATATACTCATTATCAAGCACCCTCAATCCTCTCTGTGCCTATTTTTCTTTTCTTCTCTTCATCAGAATGACATTGTGTCAGTTGCTCAAAAAAAAGGGGCGACCATTTTAGGACAGGTGGTCGCGTACGTGCACTTTGCCCCATTTTTACATGGTTGGCTGTACACGGTATTTTCTTTTCTATTTTCTATTCCCCAATAACCCTACCAAGCGGAGGAATCATCACCACGGAGACAGAACGAGAACAGCCACAGCCAGTTGTTTGGTGAGATGAGTAATATCAAATACACTTCTGAATTACATGCATGGATGTGAATATCGAACTGCACTGTGATGACGAGCGATACTGCCGTCATAAATTTGTTTCATACCTTCTGCCTTTGTTGGCGTCATAGACTGAGCAAGGTTTAGAGTTTTATTTGTATCTTCTCTGAACATTGTTTTTGTCTGGTCCCATCTCCTTGCATATGTAAATGCAGCACCATCATCAGTACCAGCACTGGCAGGACTAGAGCCAGGAACAACAGCACCTGTGATTGATGCGGTTGTAATGGGGGAGAACGGTCCACTGGGCACTGTCGAATTAGTAGATGATTGGATAGGTATCATTGCGCTGGCGCTTGTGCCTGTGCCTGTGCCTGTGCCTGTGTTTGTGTTGGCACTCTGCGTTGTTATAGGCATACGAGAGATCGGGACGTTGAGCTTCTGTCGAGCCCGATCCTTTCTGCTATACATTGATGTCTGTGTTTGCTGTTCAATAGAGGCTCTCATTACTATGTTTTTCTTATTTATTTTGTATTGTGAAAGAAGGGGATTTTGACAGCAGCGCGCGTGTGTGTAGCTCGACAAAGGTCCGTGTTTGTGCGTATGTTGTGTCCGTTATATTTGAAATGAATGGTAGGACATGCACAGAGTTGAGATGGTGTTGTTGAAAGAAAGGAGGGGGTGGCGGTTAGGATGGTCCACAGTTGATATCCATCCGGTCGTCAAAATGTAACAAAAAGAGGATAAAAAGGAGTTAAATGTAAAAATATTAATAAATAGAATATTATAAGAAAACAAAAAAAAAATTGAAAAGAAGTGAACAATGTTGTAGAAAAGAAGAGGAAAGACGCATGGATATTCCATTCAACGGCTACTTGGATGCTGATCCATCCTATCGAAGAAGAAAAGTCATTTTTTATATTATTTATTTTTCTGACGAAGCATTGATTGTCAAGATGTCAAGATGTCATGATGATATGGTGATTTCCGCAGATTTATGCCACATAATTGAAAGCAGATAAAATTGTACGATTGAAATTGAATAAGCAAACGGAAGGAATATGAGACTAAAACAATAATATAGCTAAAAAAGAAAAGATTGCCAGGGACATCGAGCAGACTTGTTCAAATTTAGAGCGGTTATCGCAGATTAGTGAGGTGTGGGGATGTGGTGCGAATCATACGCCATTACGTCCCTGTGTTATGCTGTCTCGCAAGTCTACCGCATGTGTATTCGCCCAACAAACCTGTTACTGCAACAGTTGGTCGGGTCTACATTTGTTATGAGACACCAGAGCATATCCCTCTGATCATAGCTTCGAGACCAGTTTGGCTTTGAGGATGCAAGGATGTGAGGCGATAGTCCAAGCACCAAAACTAGATTGGACAGAACCCTGTGCTTATATATCTCAAACCATGTCCAGAGCCAATGTATTCGCCTGTGAATAGTCTATTTATTTGGGAGTCCAGCGATCCTAAGAAAGAGACAACCCTCTGTTGGGAAATGCCGCGTTTGGGTAGGACCTGTTCATTTTTGTGCCTCGACTGCTTTGCGATACTCAAACATAGACTATGACAGAACCGTCTGTTTGGTGGTGCTTCAACCCATGTCCTGTTTCCGATATCGTTGTCTTTCATGTACAATACGCGTCTTCGTGCATGATACCTTTGTCTATTCTCCTACACTCGATGTCTAGGTTCACTGTCATATCTTCATAATAGGCCTGTTGCTGCATGATGGAAATTCATAGTTCTTTGACATCTAATGGGCTTGACCTAAGCACTTTTGGCTGCAATAATGGCCTGCCCCAAGTCAACGCTAGCAATCCAAATGCCCTTTCCAGGGCTGACTTTATGAATGATATTTACCGCCAGCTTGTGGAAACTTGCTGCATTTACAGGAGCCATAAGGGTCCAACAAAGCATTTGAACTTCACTGCTTGTTGAAAGCCCTGGAAGTTATGTAGACCGATATTCCTTGACGACCTACGTGTTGTATGTAATGACTCGCTTTTTCTTCATCTAATATGGCGCAGCCTTTTCTCCTAAATTTTTAGGCTGGGCAGTGCTTGACTGGTAGCCATTTCTTTTAAAAATGCCATTGCTTTTTTTTCTTGTTTCTCTTTTCTTTTTATCCTGCAGGATAGGAAACCGATCTACAAGGAATAGCTTCTCCACCTCTTGTCTGAGACAAGTGATATGCCCAGTCCAGTCATCCTCATAAATCTCTGGCGAATGGGCGAATTGGAGGACATCACAGGATGTTGGCTCTGAAAGTTGAACAGAAACTCTCTCAAAACATTGGTTGGCAGGTCGCTTACGCTAACCCTGTCGCTACTGCTCTCTACGAGCTATATTAAGCTAAAAAAAAATTCCTTGAGATCATATAAATCTATTATATTGTGAGAGGAACTTAGAAATAGAGTTCTTGACTTACATTGTTTGCTGTCTTCATTCCGTAATGTTCAGTGATGAATAATGAGGGCGGCGCAGACGCTGATAATCATGAATATTGACTTTGTTGAGGGCCAGATATCTTGATAAGGCTTCTGTTTGCAGTTGATAAAGAAGAACGGCAACTAGCTTTATCCAAAGGACCCCTGGCTTCTTTGCCAGTGATGAGCGTTATTAAGAGCAGCTTGAGTACTTGCTCTATATTTATCTCGGACCGTCTGAGGCCCGGTATAGACATGGTGTCCCCCTTCTTAGTAACATCTTTCTCCCACTTCTGCTTTTACTTTTTTACTTTTGCTTGGGCTAGCATCGGAGGGCTCCATCTATTTGCAATAGGTTCTTAAAAATGGCGGTCATAATCCATTACTGCAGAGAATTGTACCGATATTTGACACGGATTGGCACTGACATGTCAAAAAAGTGTCTCCGAGCTTTGCATTTCTTTTTTTTTTTTTTAACCAGTTCACTCTCCATTGATGTCCATGCAAGGCTAATTGGAAGAGGACGAAAGACACATGGTCGCGTTGGAGAGTTTACAAGAGAGAGTTATAGAAAAGGCGGAGTGTAGTCAAGTAGAACGTCGCGTTACAGCACAAGGATCGCGTGCAATAAAAAAGAGGTGTGCAATTAAAGAGGCCAAGGGTACATTGCATGATGAATAGTTTGAATTGGATTGGGTCAAACAAACAAAATTAGGAAAAAAAAATTAGTACCCCACACGAGAACTGAATTTGTTGCCATTGTCACCGCCTCTTTTTTTTTTTTTTTTTTTTGCTCTCGCTCTCGACATCCTCCACAGACATACGCACATCGCCATCGCTTGTATCATTGTTATTTATTCGTTGCGGCACTGCATTGCATTGCTCTAGCATATTATTATTATTGTTATTATTATCTTTTCTTTTTTTTTTTTTTTTTTTTTTTTTTTTTTTTCATTAATAAAAGAGAGGGAGAGAAAGAGAGAAAGAGGCAACTCCCCGCGAACGATCGATTTATTATTTATTGAACATTAACAGACCCAACCACGAGATATCCTTCTGTTTGTACTCCCATTGTCTCTTTCCAATATTCCCCTCCAATCACCTCCTACCACTGCCAATTCCCCCTCTCCTTTGCCTGTGCGAGTGAAGCTTGTGCAACTAAAAAAGAAGACCCTTCACCGAGTCGTCCTTTTCCATCTCTTTTCCAAATTCAATCCACCTCAGCATTTCCTTTTTTTTTGTCATTTCCTTCCACTACACTACTACCCCTCTTCCTCCTTCCTCCTTCCCCTTCCCCGTCGACTTGTTCACACAATGTCTCTCGCACGTTCTCATGCACGCAAGATGAAGCCGGCTCTTCATGTGCAACTTAATTCATCCTCCGGTAACTCTGTCAGTCCTTCTCCAGCGCCAGCAATAAGTGTAAGATTATAATTTATATACGGAAGGCGCATTATAATCACTATTCGATAAAACCATGTATAAAAATACTAATATTATTTTATTTGGACTCGATCAATCTTTATATACATATATATATATATATATATTTATAATAGAGACCACTCATAGATTTCCTGGAACGCAATCCTCGAGACCCAGCGCGCGAGATCCAGTTCACAAATGCAGGAGGAGAGAAAGAGGCCCAATCGATTAGGAGTATTCCTGAAACCCCTGGAGGCACCCGTGTACCCGACCCATTGATGAACTATACGCTTCGTCCTGAGGATATGATCACACTCAAGAAATTGGGTGAAGGCTCTGCAGGGACTGTGTGCAAAGTCAAGCATGTACCCACAGGATTCATCATGGCTCGCAAAGTATGCTAAATCATACAGGATGAAGTGGGAGTGTGGAGTCTTGTTATTCTTTCACCTATCTTTACTTTCCATATGCTTTTAGGATGCATCCTTGTTATTGAAAGGATCAAAGCCAAAAAAAAAAAAAAAAAAAAAAAAAAAAAGGTACCAATACATGTCTAATAACTTTTTACTATTTTTTTGCTCTTTTAATAGCATGTTCGATGTGACCCCAACCCTGACTTCCAGAGACTACTTCAGCGTGAGCTAAAAACACTGGATCGGTGTCATTCACCTTGGATTGTTACATTTTATGGCGCATACATGGAGGATGATGAGTTAGCTATCTGTATGGAGTATTGTGAGGGCGGAAGTATGGAGGCCGTTTACAAGCGTGTTGCAGAAAAGGAGCAAACAATATCGGAAAGCATTCTCGGCAAGATCAGCGAGGCTGTTCTCAATGGCTTGGTCTATCTGCATAAAATGCACCATGTTATTCATCGAGGTAAATCATTTACGTTCTGGAAGCCAAGTGTTTTTTATTTCCTGAGGTAGGAAAAAAAAGGTATTTAATATACATATATTTCTTTGATAACATAGATCTGAAGCCTTCAAACATCGTGGTAACCATGGAAGGCCGAATTAAGCTTTGTGATTTTGGCGTTAGCGGAGATCTTGTCAACTCACTGGCGGAGACGTTTGTCGGGACAAGTTATTACATGGCGGTAGGCTACATTGAGACATTGAGAGCAGTATCTCGTTACTAGCCATTGCAAACTTGTGAAGTATCAGCCAAGACTGATGTTTGTTTTTTTTCCCTTTCCTTTAAAAACTTAGCCCGAGCGTATTCAGGGTGGAAAGTATCCTGTACAATCGGACGTATGGTCATTAGGATTGACTATGGTCGAAATTGCTCAGATGAAAAATCCTTTCCCTCAAAATTTAGCCGCTTTTGAACTTCTGCATTACATTGTCAACCAACCTGTACCCTCTTTGCCCGAGGACGAGCCATGGTCAGCAGATTTTAGGGATTTTTTGAATCAATGGTGAGCAATATGATTAATACTTTTTTTTTTTTTTTTTTTTTTTCGGTAAGACGACTAAAGCTTAAATTTTTTTTTGTCATTTTTGATTTTGATCCGCCCCTCTAGCTTCATTAAGGATTTCATGAAACGACCGACCCCTGAGCAGATCATGAGCCATCCATTCATTGACGAATCATCAAAACGCTCAGATGAAGAGGTTAATATGAAAGCATGGATCCAAAGCGTTTGGGATCTTGGAAGTCCGACGGCCCAGACACCCAAAGTCGTTTAGATGTAATTATACAGACCTCATTTCATTTCATCAGCTAGCATAGAATAAATATATATAATATATATAAGTTTATCCCATGAAGAAGCTGTGCCCATTGCATCTATAATCGTTGTGGAGCACTGTTTTTATTAAAATAAAAGCGGCTTCCTTTTTTTTTTTTTATTTTTTTTTTTTAGTTATTTTGATAAATATTGTCATTAAGTTTTATTTAAACCATTGTCTCTAATATGACCCTGAAGAATAAATAAATTGCATTTTATGCACTTGAATAGAATAATCTAACATAGTTTTTCGAGCTTTCCTCTTTTGCATTTCTTCACGGCCTAATATCCCAACAAACGATGGCAGAAACCGCAAGATCGGATCATTTTCTGGTTTTTTGAGGCTTGGTGACGCTTCAGATCGTGAATCCTGCTTTTTTTTAAATTAAACCATAATTGCTCTATCCTCATTCTTCGTGTTTCTACTAGTGAAACTGCTTTGTGGAGAAACCGCAAAGGTCGTCGACAACTTTGTTAAAAATTTAAATGATGCTCAGATATTTGTTAGATGAGAGATTGACATCGTGACGATTGCTGCAGCTCCTGTTGGTATTATTGCAGATAATCATCGATATATTGGTTACTGACAATACATGGCACAATGTTCCTAGTATCCTCGCGTTTGCCAGTCATTATGAGATTAATAGCTCGCAAAGGAAGCGCTACCAATATCTTATTTCTTTCGTTTCCAGGCCGGAGCATTATAGTTGTCAGGTACTCCTTGAGTGTGTCCACACTGATTCTAATCATTCTATTCCCATTTGTATTTGTTAAGACAGTCTATTTCTTGAGTACGTATAAGGCACAAATGATTTAGTGAATATAAAAGGAAAGTGAAGTATACGCGTGGTAGGTGAGCAAATTTCGTTTGTAAACAAAAACTGCATGCTGCCGATCCGATTATTTTGTCGGATATACCAACACATTTTTATCAGATTGAAATGGATGCTCCAGATTAAAAGACAGATAATGAGGGTGAACTCTCTGGGAGTACTATTGATGTTTTACAGCTTCATAATGCTTTCTTCAAAAAGCTCCTGTGGTAAATAAATACCCATGACACGATAACACCGATCTCCAGCACATAGAATGACTAGCTGAAGTGCTGAAGTGCAATGAGTTAACCAGAGCCTGATGTGGAACTTGGCATAGTCACCATAGGCTTTAATCTACTAACTATATTATTAGCTCCAAAAACTAATTTACTTTTGAGTGAAGTCTTGTAGCATAAAAAACAATTTGGATGCAGGAAGGCCAATAACATTCCATGAGCAGCCATTAATGCCCTTGACTAACACGCTTCCTATAGTTTGATATCCATATCCGCCAGCCTTATCCATGGGTTCCTTTGTTGCAACATAGGCTTCAATGAGCTCTGGTGAAAGATCTTGGAACCAGACTTCGGTCCCTTCGACATCTGTCAAAATCCTAGGCATATCCGACCCGTCTGAAGGAGGTGAAATAAGTGTCACACCTGTGTAAACCATATGGGTAGATCCAGAAAGACTTGTCAACATCTCAATGGCGCCCTGTTCAGATCTGGGCTTCTCAAGAATCTCAGAGTTGTGAGCGACAACAGTATCGGCACCAATGACCAAATCAGGAGTATCACCAGTGGCCTAAGAAATAAGAGATGTGTTAAATGAATTGTATTGAATTTACAGCAGACGTCAACAAAAAAAAAAATACCTTCAAACGCCCATAGACTTCAAGAGCCTTTTGAAGCGCATTCTCTTTGACATATTCAGAAGGGTGGCTGAACAAAGATTTATCAAGTGTCTCCGGGAAAGTGCTTGGAACAACGGTGTACTTAACACCAAGTTGAGAGAGAATATCTTTCCTACGTGGTGAGGAAGAGGCAAGGATAACTTTCTTGGAGTTTAAGGCATTGAGCCACTTGACGTTGAGCTGAGTAACCATTACTGATCAGTCTGATTTTACAATGAGAATTAGTTGGTCAAAGAAGAGCATACCAAAAAGAAGCGGTATGCATCTTTGTGAATCCACGTGACATCAAGCAATAGCTGGAGGTTAAAAAGAGAAACCTGGCCTCAAAAACTGTTAGTTCTTTTCATCCCATCTCTGTACACCAAGTGCATCATCAAATCTTTCTTGGTAAATGCTAAACCTCACCACATTTGGCTTTTGCCATCGGACTTATTTTCATCCGGAAGAAAGCTGACATCAACCCCATTTTTGTTTTTCAATCATTTTCTTCCATTTCCAGCTTCGTCTTGTGCTGTTTGACTGCACGTTTCGTTTGACAAGAGCTTTACATTTGAAATGTATGTGGAAACTACTATAACCTGCAAAAGTATCTATAATTTTTTCCATGAGGTCATTGCCTTCTATCCTGATCCACGCTATATCTTATTAAATTGAAAATGTCTTTTCTATCAACTACAAAGGGCACCGGCCTCACTTGTCCAGACGAAGCTGATCGCGGCCTCGTCGCTGCATTCTCGTCTACCACGGATCCAACATGCCTATGTCTGGCCTTTCTTCTTCCTCTATCCTGCCTGGGCATTCATCTACCTCTTCCGCTATGATGAGCTGATCAAATCCGAGGAAATCACTTTCGTCACTCTCGGCTCACTTCTTGTTATCAACGCACTTTTGTTCCTGACCTGTCAATGGAGTGTCTCGATTAAAGCCTCTTTGACATGTAAAAAAGTATGGCGCTTTGGTTTTTAGTGGTTGTTCTTATATGATGCACTGAAAAGTAGTTATTTCTATACTCACCAAGGTTAATATTTGATCCATCATGGTTATTCCTCAGGAAACTGATCCTATGAAAGCAACAGTCATTCGAATTATTCCTCAAAAGCATCGCGGATTGGGTGCTCTCTGTGATCTTCACCATGAGGTATGTATCTTTTTTTTTTTTATTTTTTTTTATTTTATTTATAAAAAAGAGATCGGGTTGCGTGGTCTTTTATGACTGGTTCTTAATCCTTTGGCTAAATAATTTTTATACTCCATTATTTTGTTTGTAGAATGGTTCGATTTTCTTCTTCTTCCAAAAAAAGAAATACATTTACAATGCTGATAAAAAGCTGTTTGTCAAGCTCAAGTATCCATCTGATACTGGTTTAACCATGGGTGAACTTCAAAAAAGCGAGGGATTGAATGAGGAGCAGGCTAAAGCATCAACAGCTACCTATGGCATGAATCGGTTCGATATCCCTTTACCAAAGTTTATGGAGCTTTTCAAGGAGCATGCTGTTGCACCATTTTTCATCTTTCAGATCTTCTGCGTGGCCCTTTGGTGTCTGGATGAGTACTGGTATTACTCTATTTTTACTCTCGTTATGTTAGTTATCTTTGAGTCCACTGTTGTCTGGCAGGTACGTATAGGTTACTCATCAAATTCATTTGCTGCTATGAAGTATTTTGAGTTTGACCATGATCTATGAATATAAACTTATATTTTTATCATATGGATAGCGTTTGAGAACGATCGGTGAATTCCAAGCTATGTCGATTAAACCATTCAGTGTCAACGTTCGTCGCAATGGCATCTGGGTTAATATTATGTCAGATGAACTTTTGCCTGGTGATCTTGTGTCGATTGTACGCACCAAGGAAGAGTCAGGAGTACCTTGTGACATGGTTATTGTCGATGGATCTTGCATTGTCAACGAGGCTATGTTGTCAGGAGAATCGACACCATTGCTAAAGGAAGGTATCATGCTTCGCGAGGCGGACGATGTCTTGGAATTGAACGGTGCTGATAAGCTCAATATGTTGTATGGAGGTACCAAGGTCCTGCAAGTTACACCTCCTTCTACTTATCTGAAAGCACCGGATGGAGGATGTATCTGCTATGTTGTTCGCACTGGCTTTGGAACCGCTCAAGGGAAATTGGTTCGAACCATGGTTTATTCTACAGAGCGTGTTACAGCCAATAACCTGGAGGCGCTACTCTTCATTCTATTTTTGCTCATTTTTGCCATCGTTGCTGCCTACTATGTTTGGGTCGTTGGATTGGAGACCGGACGCAAGCGAGGAAAGCTTCTTTTGGACTGTATTTTGATTATCACCTCTGTTGTGCCCCCAGAGCTGCCCATGGAGCTGTCATTGGCTGTCAACACATCTCTTATTGCGCTCGCACGTCATCATATCTTTTGTGTCGAGCCTTTCCGTATCCCATTTGCTGGAAAAGTCGACGTTTGCTGCTTTGACAAGACTGGAACATTGACTGGAGAGGATCTTGTCGTTGAGGGTGTTTGTGGCATCGATGCCAAAGCGCCTGAGAAGCTTGTTTCACCTGAAGACGCCCCTATGTCCTCCCGTCATGTTCTTGCTACAGCGCACGCATTGGTTCAGTTGGAGGAAGGCCTTGTCGGTGATCCTATGGAACGTGTTACTCTGGAGGCTTTGAAATGGAAAGTCGGTAGAAACGACAATGTCTTCCCTTTGAATCCTCAAAACAAATCTGAACATATGGTGATCCGACGTCGATTTCAATTTTCTTCAGCATTGAAGCGCATGTCGACTATCTCCACATTGTCCAGCCCCGAGTTCAAAACCACTAAACTGTTTGTTGGTGTCAAAGGTGCCCCTGAGACATTGAAGAATATGTACACTGAGGTGCCTAAGTATTATGAGGATACCTACAAACAATTCACCCGCCGTGGAAGCCGAGTCTTGGCCCTTGGATACAGATACCTGCCTGATGGATTGAACGCTGACCAAATCAACGCATTGACTCGCGATAATGTCGAGACCCAGCTTAAATTTGCTGGCTTTCTTGTCTTCCATTGTCCTCTTAAAGAAGACTCTGTCCAGGCCATCAAGATGCTTAATGAATCCTCTCACCGCTGTGTTATGATCACTGGAGATAACCCAATGACTGCCTGCCATGTTGCCCGTCAAGTCGACATCGTAAACCGCGACGTTATGATTATGGATGTGCGTGAAGATGGACGCGGTGCCGATGATCTTATCTGGAAATCTATCGATGAGACTAAGGTTATTGATCTAGACCCTTCCAAGCCCTTTGATCCCACCATTTTCCGCGACTATGACATTTGCGTTACTGGACCGGCCATGTCACAGTATGAGAACAAGCCTACATTTGAGGAGCTTGTCCGACACACTTGGGTATATGCTCGTGTCTCGCCTGGACAAAAGGAGACTATTTTAACGACAATGAAAGGCTGCGGCTACACGACTCTGATGTGTGGAGATGGCACCAACGATGTTGGAGCTTTGAAGCAGGCTCATATTGGTGTTGCCCTATTGGATGGCAAACCCGAGGATTTGGCTAGAATCGCAGAGTATAATCAAATTCAGCGTCTCAAGAACGTTTACGAGAATCAGATCAAGTTTACTGCCCGATTTAACATGCAGCCTCCTCCAGCCCATGCCAAGATCGCACACCTTTATCCCCCTGAGGTTATTGCTGCTAAGCAACAAGCCGCTCGCGAGGCTGCCGGAATTGGTGCTGTTGATGAGAATGGTCGTCCTGTTCCTGCTAGGCCCCAGCTCGACATGAACGGTCTCGCTGGCATGATGGAAGACTTGGATGAGGAAGCACCACCAACTATAAAACTTGGAGACGCTTCAGCTGCTGCCCCCTTCACATCGAAGCTTTCTACTCCTATCTCAATTGTCAATATCATCCGTCAAGGGCGTTGCACGCTAGTTGCCACCATGCAAATGTACAAGATTCTCGCTCTCAACTGCCTGATCACTGCTTATTCTTTGAGTGTATTATATTTGGATGGTATTAAGTTTGGAGATTTCCAGGTTACGATCACTGGCATGCTCATGGCTGTATGCTTCATGTGTATTTCTAAGGCAACACCCTTAGAAACCTTGTCCAAGGAGCGTCCTCAACCTAACATCTTCAACTTTTACATCATCTTGTCGGTATTGGGTCAATTTGCTGTTCACATCTTTTCATTGATCTACATCACACATGAGGCCAAATTGATCGAGACAGATCGCGAGATTGACCTGGAGCGTACATTCGAACCCGGTCTTTTGAACTCTGCCATCTATCTTATCTCACTTTCGATGCAAGTCTCGACATTTGCGATCAACTACAAGGGCCATCCTTTCCGTGAAAGTTTGAAAGAGAATACTTATTTGTACCGTGGATTGATCGCGGTCGGAGGTGTAGCAGTTGCCGGTGCAACTGAGTTTATGCCCGAGTTCAATGAGTGGCTTCAGCTAGTGCCCTTCCCTGAAGATTTCAAGGCCAAGCTGATTGGCATCATGGCGTTTGACTATTTTGTAGCGTGGGGTATTGAGATTGTGTGCAACAAGCTCTTTGGCAACTTTGCAGCCAAGGACATTGTCAGAAAGTAGAATCTTTTTTTTTCTCTTCATATCACTTGAATTACTGAATAGAGGCATTTAAAACATATTAGGGTAAAGCACATTGATTGCTTAATAAAAGAAGAAAAATAATTGAGCGTTTGTCTTTGATGAATGTGGGTGCGAGGACAATGAATTTGATTTATCAGTGCCTTGCAATGTTTATCACATCAAACAAATAAGACGCGTTTAAGATTTTGTCTTTCTGCTCCACGTGGCCTTCATATTATTGGAGAGTTTAGAAGGTGACTGGATAGGAGATTTTTGATCGGCCACTTCCAGTTACAGATTAAACACAAATAAAGAACGAGAACAGCCAGTACTCCAATGGTTCTTGTGAAAAAGAAGGAACAAAGAACCGGGGTTTCTTGAGCTGCTGCTCGTTAAATGGTTAGTGGCAAACCTACGTGACTAAGACAAATCTAACAATATCAAGCTTCCTCATACGGGACCGATTAAATAGGGTGCATTATCTTTATTTAATTTTTTACTTTAATCTTAATGGGTTGCAAGATTGTTAATCGAGAGTACCCAGATTACTTTATTATTCTTCGAGATGAAGAATAAACAATTAAGCAGAGAGCGTAGTAAGGTCAAAAAAAAAAAAAAAAAAAAAAAAAAAAAAAGCCATAAGCTAATGCGCCAATGAAACAGTTACGAGTGATCTTTGGAACACGCACGGCATTTGTCTAGATAATCATACACCATGTGACATTGAACCATGACACTACTCATAGTACTTCTATGATAGGCTTCTTTTAGTACGATTGTTATTTCAAAATTACAGATACACTTCAAGGACTTGCATTTTATAAATATTATAGGAATAACTGGCAAAAATGTCCACTGCCTTTATTTTTTTTTCCTCATCTTCTTCACTAGAAATCATCTCTTCTTCCTCGGTCGAAAATAGGTTCTTGCGATTTGACTCGGTTGCCATCGATGTCAAATTCAGAGTAAGTAGCCACTTCCATACACTCGTCATACGATGGAGCCTTCACATGACGTGTCAATGCGTCCATGCGATCAAATCCTCGATTACAATTATCACATCGGAATCGACGGTTTGCAGGCGTGAAATTATGTCTGTTAGAATGGCGTTGCAGCTGTGAATTCTCTGTGAAGTGGTACTCTCGGCCTGGAGGACATCCTAGACAATAATATTTGTCCGTCACTGGATGACGTTCAGGGCTTTTGAATCGCATGTATTTTTCCATTCGCCGAACGATCGCTTCACGGCCGCCGCCACTACCGCGTGCTGGATTTCTTATTTTCTCTTCTCTCCTACTTGATCCTGAGGCTGACGATGATGATGCTGACGATATGGGTAATGTATAGGTAGTAGTGGGGGTAGGGATGCCTATAGAGCCGGAGGTATAGGGGGAGGGAGGGAGATTGGATAAAAAAGTGCCAAGCAAGGGCGGCTCAGTACCCATGCGCTGCTCCTCGCATGTATCAAGTTGCATCAGTAGCCTTTGAAGCGCCTGTGGTATATGCTCAACAGAAGTAGTAGGAGTGTGATCGAACTCATAATTGTGGTGAATGACTGGATCTGTGACATTTTCAAGTCCTTGGTCGTAAGGCCTTTGACTATAACCTTGTATAGCGAGATGTGGAATAGATGGGTATACAGGCAACATCTGAGATGAGGGCCCAATTTGAGGCTGTGGAATATGAGAACCGTTCTCGGTTGAACAAGCCAAAGGTATCAGAGGCATCAAAGGCATAGACGATGGTGGCACAGATTCAGTCAGACCAAGGTTTTCGGTAGACTGCTGATCGAGATGGCCAGGAAAATCGGGGATCGGAGCTGAGGATGTTACCATTGGATGCTCTTGCGTTTGTAAGGGACGCTGAAGCAGTAGCTGCTGATGACTTTGGCTGATGATATTCAAATCGTTGTTCAGAGGCTCCTTCTCTAGAAACTTGGTGGTGACTGTGGAAAGATGCTCGAAATAATCTTTAAACTGCTGCCAAAAGGGGCTTGCATTCTCGCGTAAGTCTTCACAGTTGTTAGCCATAGCTGATCTTAGCTCTAGCACGAGGAATGGTTGAGGATAATCTGTAAGCATTGGGTCCCAAGTAAATCTCATATGAACCGAAGGATTCTGTTTTTTTAAATGGTTGGTGGCGCGTCTTAGTGATAGAGAATAGATATTATTGTTATTACTATTGTTATTGTTGTAGCTATTGCTATTGTTATCCTTGCTCAGGCTCATTTCAGTCCCAAATGTGTAGAAACACTATCAAAGGTAACGAGTTCTGATTGTTTATAAAATCGAATCTTCCTGTGTATGAGTTTTTGGATAGCTGACAGGGCTTCAAGTACGATACTTAAGGCTAATAATGAAACAGTACATGACATATCTAGAACCACCTAATGTATATATACTATGGATTAGTACACTGCGGTTTTTTTTTTTTTTTTTTTTTTTTTTTGTATGCATGCTTCCATAAATCTCTCGATTTGGGAATAAGTAACAATAAATTCATTGCAAGGCGCACAGGCTTTGTTTAAGCACCCTTTGCTTCACACAGACGCACACTCTCATGTACTGGATAGCAAAAAAAAAAAAAAAAAAAAACCACAGATGCCTCATTGCCGTACTATTGGATACCACGAACATCTTTTTAACTGAAAAAGAACTTTACTTATTGATACTAGGCAATGATACACTGTATGAGAAGAAGTAAAGTAAAATAAGGGCTACTTTGAAAGCGAATGAAGGAGATAGAAACAACCAACTGCCTTTCTATCCTATCATAAGACTATGAAAAAGGATATGAAAAATAGCAATAACGCTCCGTATTTTATTCCTCCTTTTTTTTATTTATATATTTATTTTGACAAAGTAGTTTTTAGAGACTTTGGATGAAAGAGTCCTGCACTAGCCAATGTTATCAGCCGCAAACACTCTTTCTCATACGCGTTTCCTCCTCATTGGATTCTACTTTTTTTTTTTTTTTTTTTTTTTTTTTTTAATTATAGTGGATAATGGATAGTGTTATTGTTATTACCATTGCTGTTGCTCCCATTGATGTTTAGGTTGTTATTGTTGAGATATTTACTCCTCATCTTCTCAAGATTGACCCGAACAGTCTTCTTGCCATGAGGACGAGTAGGAAAGAACCGAACCGTGCTTTCAACTTCAGTCTCAGACTTCATGATACTATAAATCCTCATCTCTTTACATTTAGATCCAGGAGGCGAACGAAGGATATGGCGCTGAACTGAGAATTCATTCGAAAGTGAACTTAAGCAAGCTTCACAACGAACAGGCGAGTATTTGCCTCGCCACTTGTGGGCTTCGTAATGGCGCACCAGAGACGGATGACTGGAACATGTTACCTTGCAGCCTGGATACTGACACTATTATTTACCACAATAAGGCAAAATGGACATTCCAAAATTGATGTTGCTAAGTATTCACATTATATGAGAATGAACATTCCTATTAATTTTAAATAAAAAGTGCAAACTTACGTTAAGGATCACTCTGGGGGGTTTGAGCTTTGCAACCTCAGCAGGCTTGGCCGGTTTTCTTGTTCTTTTTCTTCGCTTCTGGTTTGTTTTCTCCGCTAGCAAGTCCTCTGCGAAATCAGAGTCATCTGAGATAGAGCCTGAAAAGGGCTTGAACGACAACATCGATGATGATGACGATGGCAGCAATAACCCTGATGATAAGATAGTCGGGGTCGGAAGTGAAGAAGAGAGGACACCTATGCTTGCGCTCGACTCAGTAATTGTATTTGCGTTTAGGTTCTTCACTTGAAAGGACCTCTTCCGATGCAGTGAGTTTTTACTTTGGTTTTGGCTTTGGATTTGGCTCTGACTCTGCCCCTGACCATAGTCTTGTCTGCACCCATGTTCACCACCGAGGATAGTAGGGGCCGTGAAGGGTATAGTAGGCAAACTATTCAATGCATCCATTGGCTTCACTATGAAGTCACCCATGATCATACCAGTTATGTCAGACATACTAGTCATGCCATTCGCACCATTCATGCCAGCCATGCTAGACGGCACACCAGGGATGTTAGCAGCGTTGCCAGCAGACGAGCATTCGAAAGGGCTACTTGTAAAATAACCAGAAGTAAAGTCAAAGTGACCTTTCTCGGACATTGACGACGGAGCCGAGTTTTCAGGGCTAGAGTGGTGATCAATGAAGGACGATTGGAGTCGCAACATATCAAAAGCAGTAGGAGGCTGCTGCTGTTGTTGTTTCTCAGCAGGGATCGCCTGTTTATATAGAAGGAACCCTGGCTCTGGCTGTTGTTGGATTGGTTGTTGAGAGCAAAATTGCTCATGAATCTGCTCAAGCGTCAGTAACTCAACCTGCGGTTGCTGCTGCTGCTGCTGTGATTGCTGTTGTAACATTTGCATTTGCATTTGCATTTGCATTTGCGTTTGCAGCTGTATCTGAAGTTGTTGTTGCATCTGCAGCTGTCGTGCTTGAGTGGCCTGTGATGCGAGCATCCCAGAAAGGTTCGAAGGGTTACGAGGAGAATGGAGCTGCTGCTGTTGAAACTGGAGCTGAGATAGATGCTCTTGCTGATGAGCGATTTGAGTGGCAAGCTGTGGTATGGGTTGTTGCAATGAGTGAGCTTGCTGCGATTGCTGTCGCTGTCGCTGAGAGCAATGCAAGGAAGAAGGATGTGCTTGTTGCTGCTGTTGTAATTGTTGTGGTTCTAGTTCACAGGAGTCATATTCGATCTCGGGAAGGTTTGGGAATTGGACCGTGGACAAAAAGAGGCCATCAATGGATAACTCGCCTTGGAACAAGAAGTCGTCGTCACCCGGGGAGCTGAGACCAAGGAACTGGCCATCAGCCTGGTCGTGGAACGCCAATGAGCCAAGTGACTGCTCCAAGCCCTGAAGCGATGGCATCAGGTTCTCAGGAAGCGATGAAGGCATCGAAAGTCCGCTCAGAATGGGGGTTGTTGCTGTTGGAGCGCTCACGAATGGGTCAAGCTGGCTTGGTGGCAGCGGGTTCATGGCTTGGCGCTAATAGTGGATAAGGCCTTGGAAGGATGGGCGGCTAGCGCTTTTGGGAGGAATAAAGCCTTGATGTCTTTCAGATGGAAGCCCAAGGGATGGTCGAATGCAGGCCGGAAAGGGTAATTTGTGTTTTTTTTCTTGATAATTAATGCAGGTATGTGCTGTACTTTGTCGCGTATAATTTGTAGTTTTTTGATGAGAGGAGCTTGGTTTAAACGTGCATGTATATAAAAAGGCAAAAAGATAAAAAGAGGAGAAGAAAACGTGAAAGGTTCTGCGTTACTTATACCCTGCCCACTAATGCAAGGCGCAGCTTCGCAAATATATGATTGAATTATTGCATTCTACTCCTTCTTCTTCATCTTTCTTGATCCAGCTGATATGTCTAGTCGAGACAATTGCTCGAGTTCCTCGGTTAGTGCCCCTTACTTAAGTGAGGCAAGTGCTAGAGTAGAGTTATCTTTCGCTATATATCACTCAACATATCCCATTTGCCATAAAACGGCTTTCTCTTTTCCCCCTTTCCTTTGGAGAGATAATTACAGCGCATAAAAAAAGTGGCTATCAACCATTCAATCGTTTCAATACAACAACTATAGAGAAAAAGACGAGCAAGTGCACATGGGGTTGCACTTACATCGTGCATTGCATGCTACGATTGGGTTTATGACCTTTAACATACTTTTTTTAGAAAAAAAAAAAAAAAAGAGCTGCCAACCAAGTAATTGCGTTCCATAAAGCAAAGCCGGAAGTGCACGGCATGAATGACTCCCAATCCTTCCATGAGTAGCTTTGAGCAGATGATCAGTAACCATAGGTAAGAGTAATAAGTATAATAATAGTAATTAAAGAGAAAGAAGTGTAAGTGAGCGACAAAGAATTAGATGAATAGTGCCAAACCATGTGGATTTAGAACTTCAAAAGAGATAATTACCACACTCTAAATTCTTGACATTTATCTTTTTTCTTCAAAAAAAAAAAAAAAAAAAAAAAAAGAAAAAGAAAAAGAAAAAAAAAAGGAAAAAATTGTGGGAATGGGTTTATAAAGATATGAGAAGAAAAGAGAGTGAAGAGAAAGGAGTAAAGGAGGTCGAGAGGGCGGGATGTGAGGAACGCGCACATTCCTTCATTTTTGACAGTTGTCTGTCCATTCATACAAAAAAACCAACGGTCTAGTCTCCATTATCATGTAGCACACAAAGACGCGTCTCATGTAGCAGGACAAAACAGGAAATCGATCTAGTAGCTTATGGTGACACCAAAAAAAGATGCATTTCTTTACTTTAAATGTTTTTATTTCAATCGCAGCCCATTTAGGGATTGCCAGACAAACACAACACCTTCCGATGACATTGTCTACGAACCAATGTGGGCCTTTCAAGAGCAGGGGGAAGAAAATAGCTCAGGGCCTTTGTCATAGCAATTGTCATTCGTCTGTCACATTATTTTGACATCATGCAACTATACGAATGAATTACAACAGACAAGAAAAAAAATCATGAAAGAGCCCTCGGCCTCCTTTCCCCCTTGATTACTCATGATCTTGTTGGAAAAAAGAAGAAATGAAAAAATATAAAAGGTCAGGGCAGATATTCTGGCGTGTGGATATAATCGACTGATCTGCAAGAAATAAATTAATCAACACAAAACAAAAGTATAATAGGTTCCTTTAACTTTCTGAGATGCATGCAACCACATTTACAGCCAATCGAATTATGCCGTGTTCCACAATGGTTTTTCGATATCGCTCAGATTGGGGAAATGCAGAGTCGTGATCGACTTTTCTTTTTTTTTTTTTAGAGTAAAGGAACATTTGTGGCAACCTGATAAGCATTGGTCCTAGTCTCTTATGAAATATTCTCACAATATAATAATATGGCTACAGATAAGCCTACGAAAAGGTAAAATAAAGTAGAATAAAAAATAAAAAGGCTTTTAAATACTTGTTGTTTATCCTTTCTTTTTCCAAGCCGTTCAAAGTCGTACAATCACGGCATATTGAAATATGACAGGCGTCTACATTAATCCATTCATGGCTTTGAAGAAAGCACTTTTCTTGGATAAAAGGCGGGAAGCATATCCATTCAAAGCAATGACGATAAAAAACCCTTACATAAAAAAACATCCTATAGTCCCTCTTCAAATCCAGTATACCCACCATTTTAGAGCGTCCATTTTCAATCATTTCTTTTCCCACTACCATCAATACGTTGATAGGCATATACTCATATACTTTTTTGCTGTGCTTCATTTTGTTCCTCTCGCAAAATAACCCCAATCTTCCTTCACTTCTGTTCGTTCATTATGGCTGAGCAAGATCTTCGAGAAGGTCTTCGAGTATCGGAGAGAATCCGCCTCAAAACTTTAGCACGTACAGCTCGTGAGACAGAAGAAGCCGAGAAAGCAAAAGCTGTCGCTACTGCTGCTACTAGCGCTATTGATTCACCGAATAGGGGTACCTGCGTGCCTACGACTATACATTCCCTGAAGCGGAGACATTCCTCGGCATCATCCAATGCCCTCCCAAAGCGTGCAGCAACTCGCCATGCAGCTGACCATGGCCATGAGCATGACTGCAAGGCTGAGGTGACTAAGCAAGAGGTTGTTGCAGCCGATATTAAATCCTTTATAAACGCTCAGGCAGGGCCTGTTATGCCTAGTTGCAATGTAAGCGTTCTTGTAGGAGATATCAAAATAAAGGAAGATATAGCGAGCTCATCGTACGATGAACCTCTACCGCCTCGAAGAGTGCTAACTCCGGCTCAGCATCAAAGGATCCACGCTGCAGTTCATCGTGCATTAGGAAGCCAAAAGGAGAGCGGCGCAGGCTCAAGTGTAAGAGGCGAAAATGATGCCGTGGACCCATCCCCCTTAGAGGTACAAGTGCAGGGGCAGGAACAAAGGCAAACAAAATCCCAAAGCCAGGTGCAAGCAAATGGGAGACGGCAGCGAACACGGCCGCCAGCAATGCCTCCTATACCTCTTATCCCCATGACTGAGGTACAGTCATAAAATAAACAAGAAAGCATTCTTCTTCTCTTTCAGGGGATGATACTATTAAGGTTTCATACTTACAATGTCTCCTCACCTTCGTCTTGTTCAAACAACAGCAAGAGCGGACCGAGCAATGGGTCGCCCAAACCATTCAAGCGATGCAGCAGGCCTTTATGCACGGCCGAGAGCATTATAACACTCCGTTGGCCTCAGTCTTTTATTGGATGCCAAGACTTGCGCCCGAAAATCGGGCAGCGACTCGTTTGGTCAATGCTGATCCTCTCACCTACTGGACCATTGCTGTGCGGGACAAGAATGTGCCTTTTGAGACCGCCCCCGTGATTCGATACCTTCGAACAGACCAAGTCGCTCATTGGTTGCATATAAGCATGCAAGATCTGATCGGATTCATGTCCCTCTGTGATCCAACAGAAGCAATTGCCCTAAACGATTACCTAAACTTCCGCTTGGAGCTCATGAGATCCGTACAGAGTAAGCTGAGCTATATATTATGCTTTCCATAGTGGCAGTATCTTTGTTTCCTCAATTGTTTACTCATTTTTAGCCTGGAAAAAACACATACGCAAAGAAAAAAAGATCTTGATGCCCATTCTTTTTTTGTTCTATATCGTAGTGATGCCATTCTGTTACCAGTGGCTATATATTGGCAAAACGCCCCAGCCGGGTGATCCAGTGTACGAGCTTCTTCTCAAGATCCGATCCTTGGACGACCAAGAGCAGAAGCGATTTGCTTGGATGGTCCAATTCTCGACCCAACGTCGTCGTAACCCAGATGATCCCGCCTGTCTACCTAAAAGGTCTCAAGTTCGTTTCAGTCAACGAGAGAACCGTGCAATGTTCGACTTCTTGGTCAGAGCTTGGTTTCATTATAGAGCCAAAACCTCGCCTATCATTGAATGGAACGCACGTGATGAGGCCATACCTAATTTTACAGATACTCGTCCCTTGACAAGATGGTTTGTCCCAGATGATACGCCTTTAGAAAATTTGACGGTAGATCTGATCCAACAGACATTAGATTCGGATATGCATCTTCGAGGTGTAATTGAACGAGACCGGACCTTTTATCAGAACGGAGAGATGGTTGGAGATGAAATGTGGCACGCGTTCTATGATATGAGACCTTATTTCCCACATCAATTGCCTCATCGAGTTCGGGGTGATAGGATGGCTCTAGCTCCTTATCGACCTGCTGGCGGCCCCATGGTTGCTTCCCCATCTTATGATGCTGAATTACGAGAGATTGAGAATTGGTATCAGCGACATTTCCATAGTATCAGCACTAATAATGTTCAAGGCCGAACATTACCTCCTATGCCACAATCTAACTTTGATAGCCGTCCACCTATCAGACCCCAGCCTGTCTTGACTCCTCAACCATTCTAGTAGAGAAAACGACCATTGCTCTTGGATTTGCCCTTAAATTGAGATGATCTTTTTACAGTTCTTTTCCTTTATTTGCCAAGGCTTGGTGTTACACGAGTCGAAGCAATTCTTTTATAAATTACGATTTTCTAATATATTACAAGAACAATACCGATAAAGAATTATGGATGTACATGTATAAATTTCTTTCGTCTCTGCCTTCAAACATTATTATTTATTACAAAAGGGGTCCGCATGACTTTGAAGAGATCATCAGTAGGCTGTTTTTCTATAGTGCTTGCTCTCTGTTCCTAGTCATCGCAGTTGATATTGTTGTTGTCGTTGATGATGGTGATGATGAAGATGATGCTGACGTCGATGCAGCTGCAGCTGATGCGGACTCACCACCATTCTTGGTGTCCTTTTGCATTGCGCTCGCTCTCTCTAAAACTTGAACGCCTCGAAGGTCCTCACACCAAACGCCAGATTCGCGACCCTTGGCATCTTTGCCTGGAATAATTGTATAGGTATTGACATATTTGGTCAACGCTTGAATATCCTCTCTCTTCATCCCAAATTCTTCAGATAGACGATCGACAGTCCAAACAGAAGGATCATGATTCCGTAGCTGAAGAAGCTCCATCAGTTTCAATGATGTGAGATTATACGACGATGTGGTCGTGGCACTTGTCGTTGCAGAAGAGTTCAATTGTGATACAGATGAGGACTGTGCAACCGACGATGGTGAGTATGGTGATGTGGTGGGCTTTGCAGGAAGTTTATGCCTTAAGACCTCCTCAGCCTAATGATAATAATTATAGGAAGGGTGATATTAGACATTACATGAGCAGTGCTCTTCTTTTATGACGAATTCACAGGTCATACCTCGCGGTGTTTGATTTGATCAGGGTTGGGTACCCTGACTTGACCAATGCTTCTTAGGTTCCCAAAGAACTGGAGTTCAGCTGCTGAAGGTGTGTCTTCCGATGGCCTACTTTCTCCATCTTGAAAATAAGAGAAATATTATTATGAATCCAACAAGATGAGCGTTTACCATACTTGATCAAATACACAATCCTATTTTCAGATTTTGCCTTTCTAGTTTTTCTTTCTTCTCTCTTTCTTTACCTAATTTTCCTGATTTCTGTATCTGCTCATCATATCGAGCAATCTCCTCCTCAAGCTTCCTTTGATCTTCAAGATAATCCTGTTTTGGAGAGCTGGTCGTCGGTCTGCTTGCTACTGCACTAGCTTTGGCTGAACTAGAGTCTGCTGCTGCTGCTGCCGCTTTTTCTCGAATCACATTAGCTGAAGGGAAATGTCTAGTAGCTGTCTTTGCTCCCGACGATGCCTTTGATGCTGAATTTCCCATGGTTCTCTTTTGATTGTCAAGCGTGAGCAATGTTTTTTTCGGAAAATGTACTACACAGTACACGCAATATTGGCGGCTCAACCAAAAATCACGTGCAGTCGAGCGCCACCAACATTAACAAACAGGCTAGTTGCAAATTAATGAATTTTTTTTTTTTTTTTTTTTTTTTTTTATTTATCAAATACAGTGATTAATGAGAGTGGATTGTGCAGAAGATGGCATAGAAACATAAGAGTGAGGCGTTATTATCTACTATCTTTTAAGATACTTCAATTCAGAGAGGCGTGCTTGAATAGCATTCCAAATATCTTGTGAAGACATTCTCTTCTTTTTGCTGGAGACCCTGGATTCTTTATGACATAGCTTTTCTTCAGCCTCTTCCTTATCATCATCCTCTTCACTGCCATCATTATTGCAACCCTCATCATGGCCACCACCAAATAGGAACCGAACATCCAGTGTTTCTATCAACTGGCACGCCCAAGGCCTATCCTCATGGATGACCACCTCCTTGGCCACAATGGCCTCACCTATAAACACCCTCAACCCTGGACAGGAGCACAAGATCTTTCGTTGCATTTCGCTTGTCAAATGCACACAGTCTTGCAGCTTCAAAACACTCAATGCTTGAGCAGGCTGCAGTTTTGAAAAACTCAACGGTCCAAATCCTGTCCCTGCAAGATTTAGTTTTGCGGTCCGTTCCCCTAACCCGCTCAGAATCATAGCTAAAGTTGAATCTGACATACCGTTCAGATGAATGGATAGTTTTTTAAGAAATGGCCATGTTCCAGTCAAGACTTGCTTCGCCAACAAAACTGAGACCTCTGTCATCTCCAACTGACTTGAATACCAGCTCAGGCTCTCGAGAAGCGGACAATGATGAATTAAATCAAACTGCTCTTGACCATCGAAGCCTTCCACATGATACATTCCAATTTCCCGTAAATATGGGAACGGATGCAATGCTACTGTACTGTTACTACTGGTACCATTGTCGTTACTATTATGGTTATTGCTCTTATTTGGTACTATAAGGACTTCCATCAGGGCCAGGCTCTCTAGGCGAATACAGCAAAGCCTTCGAAGATCCTCCACATGCTCCCTTGTCATCATGATGTTGGATAGCGTCAAATACTTAAGAGCCCTCAAGTTCGTAAGAGCATTCAAAAAGCCCTTTGGGAGTCTCCGCCCATACGCAGCTGTATTTACTTTGAGCGTGGTCAAGAGGTCGTAGTTATTAGCCATGATCAATATCATTGTTTTTTGCGAAGGTAAATGTGGGTAAGATTGTGAATGTGAGTGTAAGGGTAGATGTGTGCTTGAATTTGATCTGGCGTCCAATCGATCTGCATTATCATTATCTGTCATCCATAGCTTCAAGGTCCGGAGGCTAGTCAAGTTAGAGAAGTATTGATGCTTGCTATTGTGCATATTATTGCGGTATGTCGTCTCTAGAGTGCGTACGAAGGGGCCATGTCGTTCCAATAACTCCATAGAGGGTGATGAATCCTTTAGCCTTGGTGATATCTGCATACTAACGCCACTCATAGGGGGAAGGCAGATAGTCCTCCATGCTTGAGGCAATAAAGTCCGGTACCATGTTTTACACACTCGTAGACAATGAATGCGGTCTTGGGGCCTTAGAAATTCACCAATGCATGAGAGTATCTCTGGTAGATCCAGGGGATTTTGTACAGTCATTTTCTTTTAGCTGAGGATATGCTTATGTTATGAGAATATGAGAAATAATTAGGAAATGTCAAAAGTATTTTTTATATAAACAAAAGAAGATGGAAGAAGAACAGATGGAGACGATGAATGAGCTCTGAGAGATGAGAATAGTTGGCTGTTAATCCACCAATAAATACAATTCGCGCACAAGCCAAGGGACCATCGAGGTTCATTGGCTCAATTAACTAAACTCTAAAGTTGTTTTCTTTCCTCCTTATTTTTTTTTTTTTCTTGTCATGATATATTAATTTATGACCATTCGACTAGGACTGCATTATAAAATCTGGGTTGTTCTTCTTTATCTCAAACCGTACCAACTCGCTCACCCAGTGAACAATACTTTCGATGGGTTCAAGTTGCTGGATACCAGCGTGCTGAATATTACGATGTCCGTTAGGACCTTGTTGGGATGCCTTGAGTGTCAATGCAGGGTCATACTCGAACAAGATAGTATCATAGAACGATTGGTATGATTCGATGATAAAGGACTACAATAAATGAGCAGATAGTTATAATAGAAAAAAAAAAAAAAAAAAAAAAAAAGTTAACAAAAATGCCAAAAAAAAAGTATTTGCTTAAATTCTTTTTTTTTTTTTTTTTTTTTTTTTTTCCTTGTTTGTTTACCTGGATTGGACGCATTAAAATCATCTCAGTGTCGGGATCTTTCAAATACATTGATAGTTTCCTGATTGTCCATTGGATCCTTGGAGGGATCGTTTCTTTAAAGTCTGTCATGATTCGGTTCAACTCTTCAATCCGAGCAAATGGCTTATCTTTTAATGACATAGGAGGTCGTCGCAATGATGTAGATGAGTTCTGTTGCGCTGCTGTTGCCTCTACATCCGCACGAATTCTGAATCCTGCAACCTTGTTCATAAATTCTGCTAATGAATGTACAGCCGATTTACCCATTTCCAAGATAAATGTCTCACAGACCATTTTGAGATCTCGATCGATCTCTTGTCTTGCGTCCAAATAACTATCCACTAATGTTGGTGTGATCGTTTGAGAAACTGCTCCAAACCAGGATCCAAAACTGAGCAAATTCGATCGATCTCGAAACAAGGCTGTGATTGCATCCGTCACCCTTGAGAAGTCCACTTCTTTAGTTGAATGAACAAAGTTACCCTCGAAAGGCGCAATCTGTTCTTTGAGGATCAACAGGTGTTTAATCAAAAACAATAGTCCATCTACTGGATCCCCACCCTTGGTTTCCTTGATCATGGTCGATGCATGGTTTAAAGAGGCTAAGCATTTAGATAGGGCTTCCTGAGACAGGTCATCGAAGATACTTTGATCTACGCACTTGTAGATCTTCGTCAACAGCCAAAGAGTCTTTTGAAGGGTTGGATACCACCCTTGGTACATGGTGGCAGATTCATCAAACTGTTGGATAGTCGGAGATGAAAAGTATCCTCCAGTGATGCTACTGGCTAGTGAGGGTGTTGGAGATGATATCTCTGGTATAGATTCCGCAATACTCTCGGTGTCAGATGGTCTATAAATATGCTGGGAGGAAGCTGGTCTTGAGGGACCATCTGAGCCGCCAGCAGGCAACGGTGGGGCCGCTAACATGGCGTATTATTATAAAAAAGACCAGAACCGTATAAGAGAAGAAGAAAAGAGAGCATCAAATATTTCATTATATTTTGTTCATGTCCATGAATCTGCCATTCTATTACCTTGAAGACGTGCTGGATAGTCCAAAACATTTGGTGAGGGCTTGTATCCTTGAATCTCTGAGCGAATAAACGCCTGTGCTCGATAAACAAGTCTCTGTTGGGCATCCTGAAGCATATTGCGGATCAAATATCCAAAAGCCAAGTGAGAATTTTCATCAACTAATAATAACAAAAGGAGGCAATATTTTTGTAAATGATTGTAAGCAAAATAGTAATTATAAAAAAGACTAAAAAGATACAAAATATGTTCATCTTACTTGGGATGTTTGACTGTTGGATATTCATAATAACACATAGTTCTGATAAAATATCAATCTTATTTTCATGGATGATTCTTGGCCGTAAATAGTCATATAGATATCCGATTAAGGAATCAAGGTACCCACTGTGTTTGTGCAAAAAAAAAAAAAAAAAAAAAAAAAGTAAATATAATGCTACATTAATGTTTTTTCATAATCTGAGCCATTCTTGAAAGAATTCTTACTAAAGTTCAGATTCGCCGGTATTGAAGAAATTGTAAAAGAGAGAGTATTCATCCATGCAAACAGATGTGAGGTATGCCAATCCATTTCTTGCCTATTAAAATAGGGCCACACGAGGATCAGTCTTTCTCCTACAATGCTCATGAAAAAGCCTTTGGATCATTTTTTACTTTTTTTTATGTGGGCACTACCCCTTCCAATTAAAAAAAAAAAAAAAAAAAAAAAAAAAAAAATCTTACAAATCCTAGTTTGTCCTGTTGACTAGGCCCCATCGACTGAATTTCAGCTATAATCATAGGAGAGAGAAGCTGTTGACGAATTGAAAAATAAGTGTTGTAGCAATCTTCCAGGAGAGAATTATACCTAAACAGTAAAAAAAAAAAAAAAAAAAAAAACAAGTTTAAGGCGTAAGCTCACCACATTTAAGTTGCAGCAGGATCATTTGTTGGACTGATTGGCTCCAGCCTGTAATTTGAGGTGATTTTACGTACTCTTTGTGGTGAGCACATCGTTTTTCGAGCTCTGCGACAAGATGGCGAAGGGGTGGAGCAATGGCTTTGAACTTGACATAAAATAAATTTGTGGAGATAGCAGGCTTCATCGTTTCGCCTTTAGCAAGCACAGGTCTCTTGGAGGCGACCTCTGCACTCAAGGCTCTCAACTTTGTAATAAGACACATTTTGATCAAGGTCATGCCACGTGTCATGCATTGTCTGAACCGCATCTGATAAAGCTCAGAATCTTTATATTTCAGCTAAGATTTCACAATGTAATAGCAGCGAGGAATACGAAGGGAAGAAATATCAGCCTTCTAGAAATTATATGCGACCTAGTGCGGGCACAATACGTGAAGCTTTTTTTTTTTTTTTTTTTTTTTTTTTTTTTTTCATACTCACGTTTTGTTGCACATAATCTAGACATTCATCCAATTTACTTAACATAGGGACAAACTCTGGATGAAGACAAACATCATCCCCTGGTGTATTAAATAGCCTTGTCACAGCTTCCAATTGGTGAAAGTAAGACAGCTTTGAGGCCATCAGATCCGCTAATGTTTGTAGATTTGTCTATAGTATATATAAACACATATAAACGTACGCAGAAAATTGATAAGCACCCCTAAACAATCAGATTACAATAAGTAGCGTATGACTAGCCTATATACCTGTTCCTGTAATAGCTTTTCGCATGCCAGCTGCAGTGCTCTTGTCTTTTCCTCAACAAATGCATAATGGCCCTCTAAACTCTTGAAACATTCTGATGTCTCGTCAATCTGCTTCAAGAACACGTCGCATGCTTCTTTATACAAGATCACAACTGTCAAATAGTTCCTACAAAGGAGTAAGCCAAGGATGAGAATAAAATAAGATAAAGAGTAAGCGGTAAATGACTCAGTCATTGACATTATTATTTGCCAGGCTATCCTTTGAAGAAATGGTAAAGATATTTACCGATAGACATCCTCCTGTTCTCGCTCCATATCGACTTCGATCGTTGAAAACCAATCCAGGAACTGTTGTGTTGTCTCAATGGGCTCTATTGTTGTCGCAAAAGCATAATCCTCTATAGCGGTCCCATCGACATTAGTGGAGCTTCCTAATCGCGATTTAGGAAGTGTAGCCCCTGTCATGTTGGTTGTTTCTACTGTTGGCTGCAGAAATGGAGAAGAATGAAGCGGATATTGCTTGGCTAGCCCTACAAGGTCAGCATTGGATCTATTGGAAGGCAGTGGGGAACTGTGTGTGATCGCAAGCTATTGTTTTTTTTTAAAGAAAAAAAGAAAAAAAAGAAAAGCACACCATGTCCATTCGTCCATATATCCAATGGATTTAGGTTTTGCAGTATCAGCAAGTGATCTTTTTTCCCTCTTGCGAGTAAAGAAGGGGAAGGAGAAGCATAATGTCTCATAGCTGTTGCCCGCATGTCATGTGAGGAAGGAGATAAAAGTAACTTGCATTAGCAGGTAAAGGTAGCTCAGCACAAGCATCCTGAAGGTCAAACACACTCTGTCGCTGAAGGTCTGTAAGAGGTGCGATCTCATCCCATTCAAGGGTACGATTTTGGCCCTGTCGCTCTTGAGTTGTCATATAGAAAAGAGAAGCCCTTTTAAGGATGAGAACAGATGTGAGAGATGAAAAAGGCGATTCGATGCATTTGTGTTCGACAAAGGCATTAAGAACGTGCCTAGGAACTTACTTTCAAGGAGGAGTGATTGAAAAGAAGGCTCTTAAGGGTCTCATTTATTGAGCAATTAGTGATACTCCTTCGCCCAAGTCGGCTGAACTACTCCTTCCCATCCTTTCCTTCTTTCCTCCATTCCTTCTCCCTTCTATTCTTTATTTTTCCTTCAGTAACTTCTTTTTCCTCTTTTCCCTCTCTCTCTCCCCTTCTCTCTCCCCTTCTCTCTCTCACACACACACTTTTTTTTTTTTCTCTACCTTAACCTGATTATTCTGCATTCGTTCCTGAATACAACCTTATTGGGAGACATCTGCACAACAGCATGCCGCCTGCTGATCTTGACAAAACCAAAATCGACTTTCAAAAGTACTACTTCTATGGAACAATACTTAATGTGCCACCAATCTTGCTCATGTACCCCATACGTACAGTGCGATTGTTGCAACAACGCAAATCCTCTGTCCCAGTCTCATCTTCCATCTTCAAGGTCATTAAAGACGTGCAGAAGAATAATGGTGTCCGTGCCCTCTATGCAGGTGCGACAGTCTTTAGTACAGGCCTAACTGTAACAAAGATCCTTCAATTTGCGACATACGACTACCTGGCGCAACAGATCAAAGGGAACAACTACTACGATATCAAGATCCTTGAAAGCCCTAGTGTCTTGAGTGGAGTGCTCGGTACCTTCTCTGCAGTTGTCACAACTTTTTTTGTAGTGCCCTTTGATATGGTAAGCTCTTCCACACCCAACATAAGCGAGCATTTATACTCAAAAAAAAAAACGTTTCCATTTCAAAAAATAGATTTATGCAATGACGCAGCAATCCCGGATGATTTTTTAATTGATCCGATTCACATGTTGCTGCGCTGTACCTATATGTCACTATTTGTCTGCACACGCGACGTGGTGTAGCGAAGTCATTCACTGCGTGCTTATTCACCTAAACAAAAGATATTTGTTTCTTACAAGCATTATTTCTCGTTTGCTCTGTAAACTGATGTTTTTAGATATCTCAACAGATCACCCTTGCAAAAGCTGGAGCACAAGGAAATCTGGTACCTGCAGCAGCCTCTTCAGCTAACACATCTGTTGCTCCAGTTATCATGCCTGAAGCTGCTGGAATGGTAACAGCTTCAACCACTGCAACAAGAGCTTCAGCAATAGCGACTGTAGCTGCTACATCAACTTCCACTGCAGCAGCCAGCAAACTACCACTATACGTTACTGGATCATATGAACGTCTTCAACCACCACCACCCATGCCCATCTCCGAGTCACTCAAAATTCAATTCAAACAAGAAGGAGTCCGCTTCCTCTTCCGTGGCTACGTTGCTACCATCATGTCTACCATCCCTTTCTTTGCAGCCTATTTTCCAGCCTATGAAATCTCAAAGGTCTGGGTCAAGGACGGTATTCAATTTGTACGATCACTGCAACTAGAATCCACCAGGCCTTTCCCCCCACCGGAGCTTCATCAGTTGATCATTTCCTCTGTAGCCGGAAGCATTGCATCCTTAGCAGGCGTCCTACTGTCCTCACCAAGTGATATGGTCAAAACTCGGATCCAGACTGAACAAAGATTACAACCAACGAATGGATCGGGGATCAAACTACCAATGCCGAGTTTGAAATGGTGGGATGTATTTATGGAGATTTGGAAGAAAGAAGGATTTCTCAAATTTTTTGCGGGGACAAAGGCAAGAGCCATTCTGGCGATTCCAGGTGGTGCTCTAAATTTTGTGATCTTTGACTTTGTAAGATCTGTTAGTATGCTGAAAGAGACATCTTCACCATTAGCCCCACCGATCACGATTCTACAAGGTGAAAGAGTTCAGGAAGCTTTGGTATAAAACGTATATCAGGAAATTATACGCTTTTTTGTTATTATTATTTGAGCTATTTCTCTTTATCTTGATATTTTAACTTGCATTTCTCCACATGTCTTCACTCCACTCCAACATCTTGCATTTATTACATGTAATACATTTACAGAATAAATTAATAATAAGCCACTCAGAAATAATCTTCGCATCAATTTCTCACAAGAACGACTACCTGCTTCTTAACAGATTGGAACCATACCATGAAATATGAAAGACCTGCCAGTCTTATACAGAGAAAAGATCAAAGTAAAAGCGAATAAAGGGAAAAAAAATAGATAGCACAAGTGCTCTTTCGCTTCTTACTTGTTAACATGGTAAAAGAAAGAAAAAAAAAAAAAAAAAAAAGACGCGTCTTTTAGACTGTTTCTCTTTATTACCTTTATATATAAATAAATAAGTAATAATTAATATTTTTTTTTTTTTTTTTTTCTTCCATCCCGGCTCATTCCTTAATTGTGGAGAAAAGAAAGTAAAAGAAAGTGTGTTTGTGGGAAAGAATTATTCATCATTGTTCAACAGCAACAAATCCTTTCATGACCGTCCCATCCGACCTGTTAGCAACTTCACCAAACAGAGCAATAACAACGCACAGCCAGCAGAGCCATAGTAAAGGCGTACGACCGTTAACAAGCGTGCCTTCTCATATGCTTCCCCCTACTCCTCAGCCACACCACTCCAATCATGCTGTACCGAGGAATAACTCCCTTCTTTCCTCCTGGCTTACAGCTAGCCATAATAACATTAATAGCGCCAGCAACAACATCAACAATAGTGACAGCATCAGCATCAATGATAGCAATATCAATCATGTCAATACTAGTGAGGATCATGGCAACGTCTTTAGTGACACCGTTGACAATAGCGATGTGACAGCACAAGATCATATTGCATTCTCACGTGGCAGAGGTAGAGGTAGAGGTAGGGGGAGAGGTAGAGGCAGAGGTAGAGGCAGAGACACAGGTGAAGACAGTGACAGAGACAAAGACAGAGACAGAGATGAAGGCAGAGTCGGGGGCAGGGGTAGAGACAGAGGCAGGGGTAGAGGTAGAGGTAGAGGCAGGGGAAGTCAAGGAGATAGCACTCATAATTCTGGATCTGGTTCTCTAACTTCCTCCTTTGGTCACAGTTATCGTGAGCCGATCAGTGTCGACAATCCTGAGGACAACTATATGAATGTTGATCAAGATAATCATCATCATCATCATCATCATCATCATCATCATACAGCCATTCAAGATCAAAACCAATCTTTTGCAGCTTCGCCTACCGTAGATATCTCAATCACAGTGTCATCCCAATCAGCGACTCCTGAAAAACGAAAGAGGGGTCGGAAGCCTAAACCCAAACCTGAATTATTAGCTGCTAGAGCTGACGAGAACAGCATTAGCCATGATGACAACAGTATTGAAGGAGTTATCAACTTTAAGGAATCAATGACGCTCAAAGAGAAAAAACTCAAAGAAAAGGAATCCAAGCAACAAATCAGGAAATCAAAAGGTGCAGAGCCTCATCATATGAATGGATCCATCCTTAATTTCTTTGACCGATCTGTCATTGCAAGTTCATCTCGATCGTCCACAGCCATTACTTCTGCTGAGGTATAAGAGAAGGAAGAAAAAAGTGCCTTTGACCATTTTTAATCCTAAATTTACATTGCGAAACATATCATATTGATCTTTTCATCTTTTGCTATGTCTCCTAAAAATATAATAGAGAAATTTTGCTGAGAGTTATGGATCAAATTCAGCTTCTCCAACCAAAGCCGTAAGTTTTAAGGAAGAGAGAAAACAAAAAAAAAAAAAAAAAAAAAAAATTGTTGATTACATTTTTTCTTAATCTAATGTCAAATTTAACATGGCTAGACCTATAAACAATCTTGTCTAACATTCGATGTCCTGGAATCATCCAAAGCCGGAACCCTTTCCAGCATGGCAGCAGCTTCTTTCAATCAAGAACAGGAAAAAAACCTCAATAGAGTTCTTGGAGGGTTCATGATGAAAGAGTTACCCAAATTGATTGGACGTGCGCCCTACGAAGATTTAATGAGCGGTATGATCGCAAGGAGCTCCAAGTTACCAACTCTCCAAAAGTTGAGTCTAACTCAACGTCTTCATGGGCCGGGTGCTGAAACAGAAAGCGGACAGGAACTCAATATGGACATGCTGGCGGATATTAAGATGGTTCATGAGTTCCTGAATACATTTGGAACCCCTCTTGGCTTGACAAAAGATTCAGGTGAATGGATTTCATTTGGTAAGCTTATTATAAATTCTTACATTGCCTCGACAGCCTTTTTTTTTTTTTTTTTTAACTTTCTATTTTTTATTTTTCCCTTTATGTCTCAATGACACAGACTTGTTGTTAGCAATGATAAGGAATCCAAGAATTGATAACCGTTTGTTAGATCTCACCTGCAAATTGGTGCAAGCGGCTTATGAAGCAGATCAATCGCCTCAAATCAACCATTTCAACTTTTGTTATTTCTTAGCCGTAGGACCTGAAGCGATGAGTCCACCTTCAGAAGAGGAGCAAAAAAAGGAGGAATACAAGAAGAAAATTAGCAAATATTTAGCGGCTTCCTTCGCAGCTTCTAGGAACAAAGAGAGGAAGAAGCTCTATGTCAATTTACATCGCCTAGGAACGATTGAATATTCTGTCTTTACAATCTCAGACCGAGTTGAAGCTTTAGTGAAAGCTCTACATGACATCATGTCGTCGGATCGGTTTCATCGATTTATGAGGGATGAAGTTGAAGAGAACATCACTACTCTGAAACGTCAGAAACGGAAACGAGCCGAAGTCCGAAAAGAGGTCGAAGCAGAGACACATGAGCTTGAACGGGAGATGAAGGCAATTGAGCGAGCAGCTGCAGATTTAGAGTCTAAACGACAAGCTATCTTGGCCAGTGAACGCGAGAGTAATCAGCAGCAACATTCACATTCTGATGACATTGGAGGAGACGAGGATAAGGATCAAAACAGCAGCTCAATTGAACAGACAAGGATGACTGCAGCAATATCATCTCGTCGACAACGACTAGCGCAGTCCAAGGATGCCAAGAGTCGGGCTAACGAATTACTGAATCAACAAAAATCTCTTGCAAACGAATTGAAATCCAAAGAATCGGCATGGGAAGCCAATAAGGAGCTGTTGGAAGAAATCTCAGTGGATGATACCGAGGTGCAAAAGGATCATAATGTGCCGTTGACTCAACTTCGTGGTGGGCATGTTGTCAATACAGACGAGAGACTGAGAGTCATTTGCTTAGGGAGTGATCGTTGGGGACGCAAGTATTGGTTCTGGAGAGAATTTGGAGGTGTGATTGTAGAGGATCGAGGCCAAGTTGAGCCGCCTATGAGGAAAGAAAAAACAAAAGAAAAAAACCAAGTTGATGTAAAGAAGACTGATCATGATACTCCTAAAGAGATCGTTGCCAAGATTGAGGAGGAGAAGAAAAAAGAAAAGAGCACGATCATGGACTTGGAAGATGTAACACAGCGGATGAAAACCATGGCAGAGCCTGAACTCGCAGGAGACAAGTTCCAAAGGACTAAGGCCCGCATGTCTATCAGCAATCTCCTCTTGTCCGATAGCAATGAGAGTTTAGTAGAAGGGGTTTCTCCGGTCTTGATTTCTCAGTATGAAAAAGAACAACTCGATGAATATCAACAAAAACAACCACAGCTTCCTAATTTTACAACTACAACTACAACTACAACTGCTCCTGCTCCTGCTCCTGCTCCTGCTCCTGCTCCTGCCGAAAAAGATCTGCTAAATTATGGACCTATTCAAACCTGGAGTTTAATTTCCACCAGCAAAGAGCTGGCTTTCTTGACTCGAGCCCTGAACGCCAAAGGCGTTCGTGAGCGTGTCCTCAAAGCGTCCCTTTTAACGATGCGTAAGGAGATTGAGGCCAGTTTCAATCGAATCCAACACTGGGCAGGCGACGAACATATGGCCACGAGGAACAACAGCAGTCGGTATAACAATAACAGCAACAGCAACAGCAACAGCAACCATAAGGATGAAGACTTTGTGGTTTCTGTCGTGGGAGAAGAGGTCGGTCGACCTTTGACAGAGGAAGAATTGATATTGTTAAAGAAAAAGAGAGGAAGAAAGAGTAAGCAAGAGCTGGCAGATATTGCAGCTACAAAGTTAGAAGTTGCTGCTGCTGCCGCTGCCGCTGCCGCCACTGCAGTTATCGCAAGGGATGATGATGAAAATCCGAGTATGGAGATTGATCACCATGGTTTCGAGCATGAAGTCCAGCTTAAGCGAGATATCGAAATGGAAGATGGCAACCACTCGGACCAAGAGCAGGAAGAGGATAATGGAAATGAACATGAAGGCAAGGAAGCAAAATTGAACAACAAAAATAACTCGAACACTCTGACCGCCACACCAACCATAGGCGGATTTCTAGCTGCAGTTAGAGATCCAGATTCTGGACCATTGCCTTCTGAGTATTTTGAGAATATGGTCAAGGCTGCGGAAGAAAAATTGAAGAATTTTTCAAAGATGATCTGTAATGGTAATGCGGATGCGGTCCCAGATGCAATTAAGGAAGTGCGGTCTTTGCGTTTGAGTGAAAACAATGACTCTGAAAATAGTCAGCTCCCAGCTACGATTAGAGTCCTTGGACATTGCTTATTGACAATGGATGAGCCCGAGGAAGAGTCGGAAGGAAAAACGAAGAAAAATGATGTCAAGGATGATATGGATGTGAATAACACTTCAACAGAAAAAGATGCAGACATCACTATTGTTGATGACGACAAGCAAGAAATGGATGATGATGATGATGATGATGATGATGATGATGATGATGACGATGATGACGATGAGAAGACTGATGATGGTATTGAATCTGAAGACAAGACGGCCCTGTCATTTGAACGACTCCCAATTGCGATCCCTGTATCCATCAATTCTAAGTTACTATCATGGCTAAAAACCTGCAGGATCGATAGTATGTTGAGGGGAGTCAGAACGTTCGGCGCACTCCATGCGTGGCTGGATGAATGCATGGGTATGATCGAGAGTGTGGTCTATGAGTCCAATAATTATAATGACCACAAAAAGTTGGTAGATAGGAAGCGGAAGAAACGTCAGGAAAAGGAGGATGGATCTGATGACGATGAGCGAGAAGGGGATGAAGATGAAGTAGAGGATGAGGAAGAGGACGAGAATGAAGAAGATGAAGGAGGAGATGCGGGTGATGAGAAGGGTCAAGAAGAGGATCACGAAGACGATGAACAGTATGGTGGAAACAAGAACCGTAGCCGTCGCCACCATAAGACGTCCAAGGAGGTATGTTGGTGACTGCATTCTCTATATTGAAAAATTATTGTATCACAGATTTTCATGGAATAGCGGTTGACATACTATGCTTTCATACTACATCATTTTTTTAGACCCAGCTTAGGATTACAACAATTCGAGGTCGTGCCTTGCGAGCTAGAGACAAAATGTCAGTGAGTTACAGAGACAACTGCAGAGATACCGACGATGGTGATGATGACGATGAAGACCAAAAAGATGGAGAGCACCAAAAAGAGGATGAAGATGATAGCATTGCACATCGACTCAGGAAATCCAAGAGAACAAGATATTGACAGCATTTTTTTACTGTTTAAATGTCGGGAAAAAATAAGCAAATCGGACCAAATCTGCGATTGATCCCAACATCATAATGTCATGACACGAGGTCACTATGCGATTAACCATTTACCCCTTACCCTTTATAAAATAAATAATGTCTATAAAGTAAGAATGATTTCATCATTACGAAGGTTTGCATTAAAGGAACATGAATTTGGGAACAAAAGGGTCTTGTGACATTGCTGCGTAGTCATCAACGGGCGGAGTAACTACTGATCTTGAACGCCCATGTCTGTCGATGTCTATGCAGCGCTACGGAAAAATAATAAAGAGCTGTTATACATAATACAAATCAAATAGGCGTTGAGAATCACTAAACTGACAGATGCATGCTGATGTTGATGCTTCATAGAACAGTGGTAGAACAGAGAATATGTGCAGTCATCCTTGAACAATGCATCCATCACTATGACATGATCATATTGCTTTACACGCTGCGGACCATTAACATATGCTGAGTTGTAACTGCCTATTTTCTTTAAAAGACCACTCATTTCCTCTTTTTTTTTTTTTTCCTTCATCAATTTCAGCTTACTTTTTATTAGTTACAAACCCCATTCTTTTCGCACACCATCTAATTTCTAGACGATCATCACTTCCCCCTCCACTTTTGATCATCAAACGATTGTAAGTATTCTTTTCAAACAAAACTGTTACCTCAAAACATCCACAGAGAAAGGTGATCTTTTTCCATTCTGACACTTTTATATCGCTTTTTATTCTCTTTACACGCTTTGCATCCTTCCGCTTATTACGGTAATCAGGCTCCAAGAAAAATGGCACCAACATTTACCAACCCTGACGAAAGCTACTTCTGGGGCAGACGATCTGTTCGGGATTCATGGATTGCTTTGTGGGTGATGTGGATGTTGTGGATGTTCTTATTGTAAGTATTTTAAAACCCTAAAATGTGTCGTTACACCATGTTTACATGCACTTTACTTCATACAACTCACAAAAAATAATTCTATGCATGAATGCATAACACAATCATCATCCTCAGCCTTGCAAAGCAGATCTTTGGTTCGCCTCGTGTTTATGATGCAAGAGGCGATCGTGTGCCCGCAGGCACAGCTGCGCCCGATGTTGGACCTTACGGTAATACAGCTCATCATGAAGCTGCTGTTGGTACTACCACCGCACCTGTTGCTGCTCCTGTTAATCAGCACAAGGGTCATTTTGGACGCACTGCCAACAACATGGTAAGTAATGCGAGAAAGCCATGCATGCTTTGTGATATGATACAATGGCAAACTTGAGATTATTAACCAACTTTTTTTTTTTTTTTTTTTTTTTTTTTTCTCTTCAATAAAGAGAGAGCGCATTAGAAGAACCCACAATTTGGTTCGAGATTTGACTCTTATGCTCCTCTTGGCCTTGACGGTCAATGCTTTTGGTTCTGGCTCTGCTGTCTTTGTCAACATCATGGCTTGGATCTTTGTAAGTCATTTTCTTTATTCCCATTCGCTTTCCCCTCCCCTTGCTATCTTTTGTTACTATTTCAAATCAAGCAGTTACTAATCAACTTTTTTTTATCTCCTTTTCTTGTATCTGCATGTTTTGAATGAATAATTTAGACTGCATTGGCTTTCATGTGGGCAGGAGCAATCATGATGGTCGAGAGCCGCATCTTAGATATGGCATTCGGTGTCCTCGAGATGCTGAGCATCCTTGCAATCCTTATTGCTGCCTACGCAATGGGATGGAGGGTCTTATAAATGACTTGAGCAACAAGTAAACCCTTATTTCTTTAACATGCCAAGGAGGGAAATGAGAAGTAGGGAAATGACTGATACTCTTTCCTTCCTTTGCATTTACTTTTACTTAATTTCACATGAACATATTTTTTCGTAATTAGTACATATTCGTATTGTTTTTCAATAGTAAAGCACCCATTTGATTGTAGTCAATGTGGGCCTCTTATTCCTTAATTTTCTTTGTATCATTTATTTGTTTATTCTGATAAAAAATCCAAATACTGCTGAATCTGCTTCATGTGCTTAAGGATTGGAGATAACCGATTTTACAAGATGCAAACGTGGTCTACCACGTGGTCACCAGCTTCCCTCCACTCTTGTCTAAATTACCTCAAGTCAGAAAAGATACTAATTACGGCCCTTTGCCGTGGTCAGCGCCAGCTCTCCAAAATTGACGCCTTCATAACAAGAGGATTAAATAAGCACCTGCTTGGTTCAGGGACAATGTCTTGATGGAGAACAAGAGGAATCCTGGGAGGAGCATCCCATGTTCGAGGACTCCTTCCATTGGCTGTGTGTATGCCATTTCGTTTTAGTTTCGATCTGAAGATCTACAGTTTCACCCAAGCCTAGGAGGAGCTCTCAAAACCTTTTTACGCTTTTTTCCATAAAACCTCGCCCAATTGAACCTGATTCAGACAACAAATAACTACTTACATGATTCCAAGGACACAAGGATCAATGTCATCAAAAAAAAAGCTACTTGTCAATAGTGATGGGACCAACTGTTTTAAGGGAAAGCTTAAAAGCATGTTTACTCTTACTGTTGTTCTGATTTCTTGTAGTTAGTTGACTTAAGGATGCAAACATAGCATCTCCATTACTCCATTCATCACTGAGTGTGCAACCTATAAGGAAGGCATATCCCTTACGCCCACATCCATTCCTCCCAGAAGCAACCATCCCCAGCTTCTAGTACCAGCGCACCGAACTGCAGTCTTATCACTAGTTATGGATGAAAAAGATCCCCGCACAAGTACTACACCCCTTGTTCAGAAAGAAAAGTCGAATAGAATAAAGGGTTGACGATGTTGCGATGGGCCCCGGAATCTAAGCAATGGTTTCAAATGAACTTCATCGAAAACCCAAGCCTTCGATCATTGATGTGATTTCGCATGCTTCCGTATATATGGATTGTATAAAGTACACTACAAAGAAGTTTCGATTGGGACCGCTATCCGGCATCAAGGTGTGACGAATCAGTCAAAGAGAAAGTCTTATTTCGACGATGTCCACACTACAGACATATCCCTACTATACTTCTTCAGTTCAAAGCGAGGGCTGGGAGGTCGAGAGATAGTTGTTGCAAGGTATCCAAAATTGGGATGTTCAAAGGCCTTGAATTGGTGTTTAGTGATAAACAGAGGGAGTCATCAGTTTATGACAATCCTTTGTCTCATGCTCCTCGGCTACTTCCAGCAAAATAATAGATCCAATGTGCTTTTCAGACGTCTGCGTTGGTACACTCTACTAATGGCGATGGGGATTGTCTCGCAGCTACGGTGACCATTTCTGGAGTTCGATCATGATTGATGGTGGTGCTATCTTTTATGGCGGGGTGAAGGCTCCTAGATTGTGATGGATGACACCATACATAGTCGAGCACCTTCAAGCTATTAACTGGCTCACGTCCGATTTCAAGACTATTGTTTTCATTTCTAACACTACGAAAGCGCGAAGTTGATGCGTCCCAGATTATGCTCAGGATCATGAAGTCACGAACAATATTACGGCAGTGTACCTGCGAATGCAACAAAAGCACGGTGGAGAAAGTTGTCTCCAGAAGAGAGTGCAGTTAACTCGTCGAGAACACATATAGTTTATTTATACATATTGTGTTTGTTTAATCTCAGAATCTCTGAAAGTCATAAAAAATGCATCTTCACGAGGCGAAGAAAAAAAATGCTCAGGAACGCGTTCCTCTCTCCAATGGTCCAATGGTTGATTCTGTCAAAGAAAAGAAAAAAAAAAGGCATCGGGGTTGTCGATAACGACGGCTATTCTATACTCTCTGCTCTCACATGCTTTGATCGGAGCTAGATTTTATGTTTGCAAAGGGGACATATTTCTATCCTATCGCATGCATTGTCGTTGATGGTCGTTGTGAAGAGCCTCGTGCTTGTGGTCAAAAATAAAATGTTTTCATAAAATTTATCATAAAGCTCATGGCACATGCATGCGCTTTTCGCTGACAGCAGCCATGTTCTTCTTTTATTATAATAAACGTCTGTGCATCTGGAGAGAGAAGGATAATTGCCAAGCATTTGAGACATAAGCAAAAAATCAACAACAATCTCCATGAACGAAGACTGTACATATTTATTGTCTCCTAATTAGCATGTGGGAGGAAGATTAAAGAATCCGAGGCAAAGAATGATAAAAGGAAAGTTCCCCGGGCTGTCAAGGCAAAAAATTCTTACTCTTTACTCTCTTATTTCTTTCTCTTTCCTATTTCATTACCCTTCCTCTTTTTCCTCCACAACTCATTTTACTCATTATTTCTGATCGTTCTCTTCATTAAAGAAACTAAAGTATATACTGTGTTCAACTGATTGCAACAAAAGAACATCATGTAACAAGCAAACAAAAAAGCAATTGTCAATTTCAATCATTAAGATTAACATGGTCTCATTTTTATTCTCCTCATTCTCAATGTTTCATTCTAGCTCTCGTCATGACAACAATATCCAGGGCCTCGACGGCTACTGTGAGGTCTGAAGGAGATAAAGACATACTGTCCAGCAATAATAATCCTCCTGCAGTGCAGGATCCTACCTCTCACAAAAAGAAAAAGTCAACATCGGATTCATATCGTCATACCTTTCCTGTTCACACGAAGATTATGCCCAGCCCATTATCTAAAGAAGCTCCACCAGAAAGCTACCGTGGATTTGTCAATCTTGGAAGTAAGTAACTTGTGATTAAAAAGATAAAAAAAGTGATGGAATAAGGAGACAACCAACTCGGCATCTGTACAACATAGCTTGTGTTTATAAAAAAAAAAAAGCGGGAGCACACATTCACGAATTGGCTCAAAGATCTTTATTTTTCCCCTCGCCTGTTGTGTTTCTTACTCATGAATGATATATAAGATAAAAGCTTTTCAAGGTGGATAAGGAGTAGGGCGTCTAAATGTGCATATGACACGGCTCTTTGTCTTGATTGGCGTGTCTACAACGCCCGTTGGTTGTGTGCCACAGCTCCGACAACTAGGAGCAAACGCATCTACACACGTGTTCGTGTGTATATATATGAATGCGCTCTAATTAATTTTTTTTTTCTTTTTTTTTTTTTAAAAAAAAATAATAGTGTTGCTTCTTTTCGGAAACAACATTCGCTTGATCATCGAAAATTATCTCAAATATGGGTTCCTGCTCTCATTCCCAGGATCCAATGTGTCGCGTCAAGACTGGATCTTGACTGTACTCACCCATGCACTCCTTCCTATTAATGTCCTAGTTGCTTACAAATTGGAGGAATGGGCCATGAAGTTGGCTATCGGATTCAGAAAACGGCATTTAGATGAGAAGAGCGAAAGCAGACCTAAGAACAACAGCACCAACGGCAGGGATACACGACCGCATACGGTTAAGGAAATCGCTAAAGCAAATCAATCGACTGTAGGCTGGCTCCATGTCTTGAATCTATCTACTCTCTTGGCTTGGCCTTCCTTCATGGCCTATTTCATGATTTATCACCCATTCTTAGCCATGACTTGTTTGATGAATGGATTAGTCCTGTTTCTCAAGATGACCTCTTTCGCATTGGTGAATCAAGACCTCAGAGCAGCTTATATTTTTGACACACCCATGGAAAAACTTCAACATGTTGCTGCAGTCCATGGGCTTACTTCAAGGGGAGGAAAAGATGATGAGAAGACAAAAAAGCACACGAGCAATAGTAATAATGGTGAAAGTGACAGTGACAACAGTAGCAGCAACGAATCCTCCTCCTCAACAACAACAGCTGTAGAGGTTTTTCAGTATGATGTTCGTTATCCTGACAACATTACGCTCAAGAACGTGACCTACTTTTGGTTTGCTCCTACATTATGCTATCAACCTTCCTATCCTCGGACAACTGTGTTCCGCAAATCATTCTTCTTGAAACGCTGCCTTGAGATCATCACATGCTTAGGAATGATGTATTTTCTTATCGAACAATACGCTACTCCGACACTTCAGAACTCTGTCCGCGCATTGGATGATCTAGCGTTTGGAACCATCTTGGAACGTCTTTTGAAATTGAGCACGACCAGCGTTGTCATCTGGCTGATCATGTTCTACACCTTTTTCCACTCTTACCTTAATGCATTGGCAGAGGTAATATTAACAAAAAGAAAAAAAAAAAAACAGCTAAATTCCTCATGTTCTACCCGGTAACAACTCTAATTTAACTTGACTATATACAATTTATTTGACCTGGCAGGCATTATACTTCGGAGACCGTGTCTTTTATTTGGCATGGTGGAACAGCTCTCGTTTGAGCGAATACTGGCGTCTGTGGAACAAGCCCGTATACACTTTCTTTAAGCGCCATGTTTACTTACCCATGGTTACTTCGGGCTACAAACCAGCAGTGGCCTCATTTGTGATCTTTACAATCTCGGCTGTCTTGCATGAGGTCTTGATTGGTATCCCGACCCATATGGTTTACGGATATGCGTTCGCAGGCATGTTCTTCCAGATCCCTCTTATTGCCTTGACTGAACCTCTGGGTCATTGGCGTGGACGTGGAAGTGGACTGGGCAACATGATCTTCTGGGTTTCCTTCACTATCTTGGGACAGCCGGCCTGTGCAATGTTGTATTATTATCATTGGACCAAGCAGCGCATGAATGGTTAGATGGATAAAATCGATGAAATAGAATTAATAGAAAACCAAATAAAGCAAAAAAAAAATCCAGCGACTAGGTGACTGCATTTAAAAAATAGTGGCGTCTTGCAAAATTTCAGGTCGCGCGCTTACTTTCTCCGTTGCCATTCTCACTCGACTTTTCATCCAACTTGACTTAATCCTTGTTGCTCTCAGGGCACGTTTGACTTTTTTCCTGGAAAAAAAAAAAAAAAAAAAAAAAAAAATTGTTTGTGAAAACAATAATACAGATTATAAGTGCTCGGAAATATCAGGATAGAAAAAAATAAAAATAAAAAAAATAACAATGCGCATTGAAGAACTTATCATTGATGGATTCAAGAGTTACGCCACCCGCACATCCATTACTGGCTGGGATCCAGAATTCAATGCAATTACTGGACTGAATGGCTCCGGAAAGTCAAATATCTTGGACGCTATCTGCTTCGTCCTTGGTATCACCAATTGGTCTCAGGTGAGTGTTGTCTATGCTGCTGGATCCTATCATATATTGTTTCTTAGGTTGAAATATGACCTGTGCTATTCAGCTCATATTTCCTATATCTATGTCCATTCATTCACTCGAAAACAGGTGCGTGCAAGTAGTATCCAGGATTTGATTTATAAACGAGGCCAAGCTGGAGTTACCAAAGCATCTGTCACTGTTGTTTTCAATAATCAAGATCGGGAGCAAAGCCCTGTGGGATTTGAAAGTAGTAAACAAATCACCATCACTCGCCAGGTAAAGAAAGGGCTGTTATGGATATCTAGATATTCCTAAAAAAAGGGGGAAAAAAAGTGCTACAGCTAATAACCTTGAGCTTTGTCACTAGATTCTGATTGGAGGCCGGAGCAAATTTCTGGTGAATGGACATACAGCGCAACAACAAGTTGTTCAGACCCTGTTTCAATCAGTACAACTTAACATCAACAATCCACATTTCCTGATTATGCAAGGAAAGATCACTAAGGTCCTTAACATGAAACCACCAGAAATCTTATCCATGATTGAGGAAGCGGCAGGGACTCGCATGTTTGAGGAGAGGAAAGACAAAGCTTTGAAAACCATGGCCAAAAAGGAAAAGAAAGTCGCAGAAATTACGCAACTACTTGCAGAAGAGATTATCCCTAAGCTCGACAAACTTAGAGCAGAAAAAAGGGCGTATCTAGAGTTCCAAAAGACACAGACTGAGATCGAGCGGCTATCACGAATTGTCGTCTCGTTCGATTACTCACGCTACGAGGTAGGAGACAGTTTGTTTACTAACGTACAATTAAAAAACTAATAGCTAACTTAAATAATCTTGTTCTACTAATCCGGGAAATATTTTAGCAACGTTACTCAAAATCGAAGCATGACTTGGAGACAAAGCTTGCCTTGATAGATCAAAAGTCGGCTGAAATTGAACAGCTACAATCCGCCATTTCCAACATCGCCCAGCACATTGAAACCATTACAGCCAATCGACTCAAGGAGATGACTCAAGGCGGCAAATTTCAAACACTCGATGCAACTGTTAAAGATCTTTCAAAGGAAATTGTTAAAGTGAAGACACAGAGGGATCTCAAAGACAAAGAGGCTCAAGAGGAAGAACAAAACCATTCCGGTCTATTATCAACTCTGAAGGAGGTAAAATGTGTCCTCATTCAAACTAACCGGATTAGAAACGCAACAATGTTTTCGGGAGCACAACTGAAAATTTAGTTGATTAATCACTTATGCGATCTCTAATTCTAATTAGACTGAAAAAACTCTTCATGAAAAACGAGTTGAATTCGAAAAACTTCAGGTGACTTATAATGATCTAAGACGCAAGCATGACGAACAACAAGAACAAGTGCGCATGAACGAGGAGCTCATTCAGACGCTCTCGACCGGTTTAGCAGCTGAGGAAGGTCATGAAAATGGTTATATGGAGCAACTTCAGAGGGTAAAGGCATCTGCAGCACAGGCCACAACGCTGGTAGATCAGTCGAGATTGAAGCTAAAGCATCTTGAGACGGAGCTGTCTGAGAAGCGCAAACAGGCATCGTTAGCACAAAAAAATAACAAAGATCTTAGTGCAGGGCTTTCAGCGGCAAAGCAGCAAGTGAAGCAGCTGGAGGAGACTTTGCATAGGCAATCATTTGATCCTGAACAAGAACGGGCACTGCAGATGGAGAAAGCAGCACAATCTGATGCTATTGCGAAACTATCTGAAAAAATCGAAACCACGTCGCGCAAGGTTGCTGGCCTTGACTTTCAGTATTCAAACCCTACACCTAACTTTGATCGGACTTCTGTTAAAGGCCTCGTTGCTGAATTATTCACTGTGCTTCCAGAACATGCCAATGCTGCTACGGCTTTGGAAATTTGTGCAGGTGGTCGCCTTTACAACGTACATGATCTACAATTTTTGATGTCATTAGATATGAAGAAGAGGCCAAATGTGTCGTATCAAAACTAATATGATTGTTTGTATATTTCTCTTGTAGGTCGTTGTTGATAACGAAATAGTCGGTTCTCAGTTGCTTCAGAACGGAAAGCTTCGCAAACGTGTCACGATTATTCCTTTAAACAAAATTACCGCTTTTAGAGCGCATGCCCAGGTAATTATTCTTCAAAAAGCATTTTCTCGCGTGAACTGTTTTGTAATGACGGTCTAGGGAAATCCTTGGTCTAATCCTTATTTGGCTTGTGATAGAAAATTGCTACTGCACAAAGACTGGCACCCGAAAAAGTTAATTTAGCTCTCACCCTGATCGGCTATGAGGATCAATTAGAAACAGCTATGGCTTACGTCTTTGGAAATACACTCATCTGTGCCGATGCGGATTCGGCAAAGAAAGTAACATTTCATCAAGAGGTTCGGATGAAGTCTGTGACACTAGAGGGAGATGTTTATGACCCAAGTGGGACGTTGCAGGGTGGCTCAAGACCAACTGGAGGTGGAATCCTTGCTAGTCTTCAAGAGATTCATGCATTGAAGAACCAATTGAATGAACATCGCCAGCAACTACAAAAAATTAATCAGCAGCTTTCGAATATATCTCAAGCTGCCAGAGCATATGCAGAACTAAAGCAAAAGATTGAGCTTAAAACTCACGAGCTTCGGTTGTGCGAGCAACAGCTCTCTGGCAGTGAGCATGTTCAGTTGATGGAGCAAACTGAGAGATTAGAGAAGGAAATTAAGGCCTTAAGAGCAGGAATCGAAGATGGTAACCACAAGAAAGCAGAAGCAGTCAAGCGTTGCCAAGAAATCGAAAAGGAAATGAAGGATTTCAAGAAAAACAAGGACGGTAAACTTCACGAACTCATGGTAATGATTTAAACATCTTAACGCTGCCCTAAGAAGAAAAAAAAAAAAAAAAAAAAAAAAAAAGATTGACATGACATGAGAATATAAGGTTGGCTCTAACAAATTTCCTTAATATTAGCAAAAACTGGCAAAATCAAAGGCTGAACTCACTAAAAATGCACCTCGTGTTAAGGCAATGCAGAGAGAGCATCAAACATTTGTGTTGGAGCTGGGTAGGTCTCAAATCTACAAGATTTTAGCGCGTGTGGGAGCATTTATATAGCTTGTCACTGATACTGTCCATGATATTTTCACCAATTAATAGAACAACTTGAGAAGGACGTTAAAGGTGCAAGCCAAGAGTTGTCAGAAAGCAAGTCAGTAATCTCCAAGTTTAAGGATGAGCGTGATCGACTTCAAGAACAACTAGTCATGCTCGAGTCTTCGCTGGAGAAGACTCAGTTAGAATTTGAGCGTGAGAAAGCTCAGCTTAATGCCTACGATGAAGAACTTAAAGAGCTCGAAGCTCTCTCAAAGCAAAAAGCTAAAGTTGTAGCTGAAAGTAGGCTTGAAATCCAAAACTTGACACATGAAACAGATCGTCTCTCCAAAGAGAATAACTCACTATTGAATGCCATTAATGATCTCGAGGGATCCCATGACTGGATTCATGATCAAAAACTGTGAGTCACTTTTTCGTTGTTTTATTTCATTTAGTGACCATATATGTATACATGCAGCTCATTGGCATCTTCTTGTACTATAGCTTGTTTGGACAGCCTAATGGACCATACGATTTCAATGCTCAAAATCCATCGGAAAGCCGGAAGAAACTAAAACAACTTGATGAAAAGCACTCTGCTATGAAGAACAAAGTGAATCCCAAAGTCATGAGCATGCTTGAGAACCAGGAGAAACGCGAAACATCCCTCAAACAGATGTTGGCAACAGTCCAAAGAGATAAAACCAAGATTGAGGATACCATTGTATCCTTAGATGACTACAAGAAAGCGGCCTTGGAGAAAACCTATTCAAAAGTGAATGGAGATTTTGGTGCAATCTTTGGTGATCTCCTACCTGGGAATGATGCTAAACTGCAACCGTTGGAGGGTCAAGGCGTCACTGGAGGATTGGAGGTCAAAGTCTGTTTGGGTGGTGTTTGGAAGGCTAGTTTAACAGAGTTGAGTGGAGGACAGCGATCATTGATTGCACTATCGCTGATATTGTCGCTTCTACAGTTCAAGCCGGCGCCCATGTATATTCTGGATGAAGTGGATGCAGCCCTTGATCTTTCGCATACACAGAATATTGGTCAGCTACTTCGCACACGGTTTAAAGGCTCGCAATTCATTGTAGTGTCTCTAAAGGAAGGAATGTTCAACAATGCGAATGTATTATTTAGAGCAAGATTCAGGGACGGTATTTCAGTTGTTGACGTAAGTTACAATATTGCTTACTTGCTCGAAAATATGTGATTGGGATCGCCAAACGTATACTAACCCATGATACACAATTTATTGTATTGATTTCTATCATATTGCAGCGTAATGCACAAAATCAGCGAGCTAATGCAAAACAACAACATGGCCCCTCCATGTCGTCCTCCACTACAACAACAGGACGACGTGGCGAGAGTGAGAAGGAGAATGAAGTCCCAGCAGCTAACAAGACAACTGCAGAAAGCGATAAAAGTGCAAAGAGGATCAGAGTGTAAAATAAACAATAAACAATAATACTATAGTGTTATTAAGTGCCAAACATTGTTGTCAAAAAATGAAATTATTGACTGAAAAAAGTAGTCTAAAGCCCACTCTCCATGAAAAGTAAGCGTAGCTTGGAAAATTGTATTCGTGAGGTCCTCACGGAAACGGTGTAGCTTTTTTTGTCCAATACATTTCCTTGTTGATGCCGAACAAAGGGCAATAGTTTGAGGAAAGAAGTGTCAATATGCCACTTCGATTTGTACCTATTTTTTTTATTAAATGTAAGGAGCGTCTCCTAATGTCTTTAAAATTTCTGACCAGAATCAAAAAGCTGGTGGAACTCCAACTTTTGGTTCGGAGATAAACTCGCCTACAACGTTGTTGCCAATCTTGGCGTTTGAAAGTGGCATTGTGGTTTTTGAGTCACTAGAGGTTGTGATGATCGTCCCTTTAACGATCACCCAAACTGTCAGTAACTACTAGGAAGAGGACTGCGTATTGTTTGCAAAGGACAACCAATGCAATGAGGAACTGGTGCTTGATTTTTTTGTCGATAGCCAGTTCATACCACGCCTTTGCCCAAAGACATACTTTTGAGGGCGCTCGCTCAGGAGTAATGTCTCATGTTTGATTCCGAGATAAATAATCCTTTTGGAGTAGCTCCACCTAGATCGCAAAGCATTAAAGAGGGGTACTAGCATACATACCCTATGATATACAAATATACATAAAAAGCTTTTTTTGGTTTGGGCTACTGAATTGTCTCGGTGACTTCATGACGGAGATATCGTCAAACTTGTGTCAAAAGACCCTTATGTTGCAATAATCGCTTTAGACGCTCCAAATTTGCTTTATCTGGACGAAACCTCTATAATCCTTAATTGAAACAATAAAAGTCAGCAGCACTATTGAGTGAAGGTCGTGACCTGGGATCTATTCACTCAGAATTATTTAGTTCGAACCCGCCCAGAAGAAGTGATGCTGTCTGTGGGTCAGCTGGGGATCTCATTCATCTAGAGACAGGAGATCTTTAGTATATCTTTTAGCCGCTCGTGACAAACAGAAATCTGCAACGAAGATGGGTCCTTGGCGGTCGCTATGGCATGTTAAGACTAAGGAAGAAGTTAAAACGTCTCAAAATCAATAAAACCTTCTCTCCACTCACTGGCCTTTATATGAGTTAATATACACGCAGCTTCTTCAAAATCTTTGCCTGTCAGTAGAATCACCATGATTTTACCACAATTCTCCTCTTGCCTTTGCATTCTGTTGTATTTCGCTGTCTTGGAGCCTTTTGGCCCGAGAATACAATGGTATTTTAGGTAAATGCAACTTTCTTTTTTATTAAATGATCTTATTTATCCAGCTTAGAAATGCTATTGACTCAATATCATCTGGATGAGCTGCTTTAAACCCATCCATGATGAAAGTTTGACAGGACAAGTTAATAGACATATTAAATATTGTATCCATGAAGTAACTGCAGAAGGAGAAGTTTAATGAATGGGAATAGTAAGAGATTATGCAGTAAAAAGAAAATATTGCAAAAAGCTCTTCACAAGGCATTTACACTCCTGTAGCGAGTCACGAGAAGGGATGGGCCAGGTGTCCTGCTGTTTAAAGCAAGGGCAAGGTATATATTTGTATTCAAACGCGAGTGAATATGAGGTTAAAAACTGAGTGAAGGGATGCACAGCGCGTAAATGAAAAAATAGATTAGCAAAAACTGGCTGTCATGAAGGTGAGGTGGCTACCTAAAGCCGATCGGGCTTTTTTCTTAAAAGGAAATGTATGACTCCAGTATCTGCTTGAGATCTCCATGGCGCCAATTGATGCTGTCGAGAGCATGAGTATTGCTCCAGCGTTTATTGACTGGTATGCTATAATAATGATGGTTGTCATCGTCGCTATTATAGCATCGACCTAAAATGGGTTCCTTTGGTTGCTAAATAATTTCAATACAACCCACCATAGCTATCGCAGCAGCCGCACGAGTGTCTCAGGACTTGGTAGTGCCCCAGCATTAGAAAAGGGAGAAATCTAGGCTGACGTATTCAACCCGCATCATGGAGATCTCTGGCAAGGTGTACTAGTCTCACTTTTTTGCACATCATGTCAAAAAGTGAATTTTATACATGTTCTGCGATGCTCATTGGTTAAATTTATTTTTTATTGGCAGAAGAGGAAGAAAATAACCAGCCAATAGAATCGCCCCATTTGCTCTTTTAAAATAATTTTTTAAATTGAATTGAATCTTGCCAATATTATAAAATTCACTTTTTGAAGGCGTGAAGTTAAATTTAAGGCGACGAAGTGGCTTGTTCTTTGGTCATTACTCAACCTCTCATCATTAACTGTAGCAATATAACCTCATTCGGATCAACTATTGAGCACATTTTGGGGATGTCAGCTCCGATCCCTCATTCAGATCAGCTCCATACGAGCAATATCAATTCCAGCAGTAGTGGACAGCTAATAAGAAAGAGAATTGCAGATAAACACGCACACCATCCTATGAGAGGTAAGTATTTCAAAAACATACTCACTCAGCCCCCAGCTTTGAGTGCTCAAAAAAAACCGCGTCATAACCTCTAAAGCACTGGTGCATCCTTTTTTTTTTTTTATTTTTTTTAAATAATGTGCCTCTTTTCCTCACCAGTTTCTGGTCAAGGAGTGCAGCATAGCAATGGCATTGATGACAGCAAAAGGCCCCTAGCTAACGACAGTGTATGCTTTTAGGAAAAGAAAATTGTTCTCTCTTAAAACATCTGAGTGTAGATGTCGCTATCTGACACATGTATCATTGGCTTTATGACATCCCACGCCCAACAATTTATTTTTTTTCCCATAGGATATACATATGTCTCTGGAACTGTCAAATAAAGGCACGACATCGAAGCGACAGGAAGTGCTATCCATATATCATTATCACTCCACGGCACAACAGCAACAAGAAGCCATCAATGATGAACCAAATGTTACTCCACTATCTCCGATTTCATCGTCATCATCATTATCGTTACCATCGTCACAATCAACAGATATCGAACCGGAAATAGGGCAAGTGCCAGAACTATTGGAACCATTGCCAGGGTTAACGCCATCTAACCCAGAATTAGTGAAAAGAAAGCGCGGCAGACCTAGAAAATACCCTCTTCCTGCAGAATCTACATCACCAAAACCTCTGCCCCCCTCCGACTCTACTGCCATTCCAGACCAACCAAAGAAAAGAGGAAGGAAGCCTAAGGGTACCGTCCCTGCCGTAAAGAAGCCCGAAATCATCCTCTCCACAAGAAGTCTGAGGCTAATTGGAAAGCGTAATATGTCTACAGATCATGCTGAAACCTCAAAGCAAGAATTAGATGAATGTGAAGACAAGGATAAAGATAAGGACGAGGGCGAGAGCACGGATATGATCATGGATGGCGGTAGATTTGCTGGCGAAAGTTTAGTTAAAGTCGAAAGCAAAGGAAAGAGTAAAGATATGGATAATACCAAAGATACAAAAGGAAGAAGAAAGGGGAGCAGAGAGAAGTCACACGTGAATGATAATGGAAATGACAAGGATAGGGGTAATGATGAAATCACTGAAAAGGCTCAGGAGATGGAAAAACACAGGCTTCTGGGTAAGTCTCGGATCAGGAGCACAAGCAGGAGTATGGATGAGAGCAAGGATAAGAACCAGGACAGAGATCAGAGTAAGGATAAGGAGGAGGCTAGAGACAAGAACGAAAGAAAGGAGCAGGACAGAGAAAAGAGAAAGTCCAAGCCTATTGATAAGAACGACAACGAGAATGAGAAGATACAAAATGTGCCCGAGGACTTGAACCATCCTTTGACTGGCCCGTTTTCTGCCCTTGCCCATGCCAATATCAATGACATCCTCACCTACGAAACATTTTCTCATTTTTCTTCTCATGTTCAAGCCGCATTTATCAAGGCCCTCCCCTCTGTTATTCTGGAACAAGATATCTATTTCAAGGATGGTGCCTTGACTCCATCATTTTTCACAAAATGTACAGCCTTCTCCAAGGCATTCTGTGACTGGCAAAAAGCTCTAGGCTTAGGTAAATTCACCAATGAATATGCGCGCCAATATCGGGACATCAAAGAACGAATCGAGACTGAGGCCAAGTGGAAAACCGATCAGTTCGAGGAATATTACGGTGAAAAGGCGATCCGCGAGAACGAAAAGTTCATGGTGGCGGGCTCATCTGTTAAAATTTCTTTGGCTAAGATGGGCTTAATGCGCGGTATTCAAGTTGGAGACTTATTAAGGTATCGACGGACGTTTCATGTCGCCAATACCGACAAGAGCCTTTGCTCAGATACCAAAGGCTTTTCAAAATTGCCCACAAATTTGAGGTCAGTTACAAAAAGTACATCTGGGGAATCCGACAAGCGACGAAAAAGTTTGAAGGGCAAGATGGAAGAAGTACAAACTTCAATATTGGATACGTCAACCGATATTTATGAAATGGGAGGCAATGTAATTGATGTGGATATGCACCTCAAGATAGTTGAAATCAACCCAAATGGAACCCCATGTGTGCAATTTGAGCTTAAACGCGGTCCGACCGAGCATGGTGAGACAAAAGAGCAATACGAGGAGCGCCTAGCTGGGAATCCGATCTATGAGGTAGATACTGCTCCTCAAATCGAAAGTTTATGCCTTGAAAAGGATGGTCGGATCCCAAAAGAGGAACGCAAGAAAGGAAGCGACGCATGGAGGGACATTGATGTGATCCGTGGGACCTTTTTGGTGGGGTCACTATTTGGGATTCGTATGGATCTATATAATAAATCCCTTGCGGACCAAATACGTCAGAAGGGTATAGATGATGAGCAAGACATGTCCGAGGACAAGTCAAGTGTTGGTCAAATACCGACACTTGATGGAGGTATTATGCGAAAGAGAGGACCAACAGCGACAACATCAGGTCCTAGGAAGAAACGAGCATTATGATAAGCAATTGTACAGTAAACAGTGAATGCACTCCAACAACCGAGTAGCAGCTCCTTTATACATAGTCTTGAATAATTAAAAATCTTAGTATTTGCTCAAGTAATATTTGTGGTGCGTTTAATAGTTCAAAAATCTAGACGATAGGGGGTTAAGTACGTCGTCCACGGACAGAGTCAGACCCACGACTAGGCATTCTTCTCTGCGTTTCGACTAACTCTTGAAGGAAACTGTCGGTGTTTAGAGTTAGAGAAGAAAAACGACGTATTAGCTGATGGCGTTGTGCTACACATGAGTCAAAAAAATGCTATAGAGGATGATGTTAAGATGTCCTTACCTCTGGCTGTTATGGATAGTAGTTCCCCCTAAAATGATACGCGTCCCAGGTGTAGCGGCGTTAAGCATTGCAACAAACCTCGCTTCCTCATACGTTGCTCCTCCCACCATAAAGACAATGATATCCTGTGGTCGATCGCGAGAACTAGTGCTTTCCACAAAAGGATATGCTGCTTCTTTTAAACGCATCTTCAGCAATTGCTCGAGGATCTGAGCAAGTTGTGGCTGATGCTGTGTGTAAACGTTTTCAACACCCTATTTGGTGGTAATGTGTAATAAAAGAGATATTACTTTTAAAAGACATCTATCATTTTAATTAACCAAACAAGCATGACATACGAGAGAGCTTGAAGCGTTTTACCTTTAGTCCTTTGAGGGCACTTCTCCCACGCGACAAAATGCTTTCATTCGAAAATAAATCATCTTGACGATGAGAGGCTCCTCCATACTGCATTAATATATCTAGCGTCTATAGTAAAGTGAATAGAGGCGAATGTTCCATAACATTACTCAACGCATGATGACGGCAAGCTTTTTTTTTTTTTTTTTTTTTTTTTTTTTTTTTGAAATAGAATTTCTTACAGCAATCTCACGCTCGCTTAATCCATTCTTGTAAAGTAAATCAATCAAAGAAGCAACAGCATTTCCTTGATACTTCTCGTAACGTAAAGAGTAGAGTTGGACGAGACGTATTTTACTGGCTTCGCTGACTGTAGGGCTACTGATTAACCGTTGCAAGTTCTGATACAATCATAACAATGTTAGTGTTAATCAAGATTTAGCTTCGCTTTTTTTTTTTTTTTTTTTTATTTTTATTTTTTTTTATGTTCTTGCCTTGGCTAAAGAACTTAGAGACAAACCTTGAGATCATTATTATGAGAATCGGTACAGGCTAAACTCTGTTCGAGTTCTGATACCTCTAACACATTTCCTTGATTGACAAGACGGCTCAGTTCTCCTACCAGCGTGACATGCTTGGAGACGTTGCCTGAAAGCTTTCGAAACTCGGGATAATCCTCTACAAACCGCTTCATGTCTGCAATCGATTCGATGTTCATGTTGGATTTTGTTTTAGCCTGATATTCATCCACATAACTCTTGATATTGGCTCCTAGGTCTCCAAGGTTAAGAAACATGTTTTTCTGGAAATAAGAATCCTGATCACATGAAAGGACGATTTCCTGGATGTTCATCGTAAACAGTTGATTGAAGGCAGGTTAGAGCTAGCTGCATTTATTTTCTTATTGATTTACTTCACATAAACATTACCCTATGTAATATGGAACTATTCATACCTTCAACTCAGGTTTAATACCAGGTACTCCTGACAAATCTACCCTCCCATTACGGATGCCAATCAGCTCATGAACCATTGCTTGGTACGTCCATTGCGAGAGAAGCGGGGTTACAGGGTCATTTCTACGGTCCAGAACGAGTAAAATAGGTGATGTATCAGTTTTCCTGAAGTCGAACAGTTGCCCTTCTTGCTGAATTTGAAACTATTGGAATATGATAAAAAGAGATTTCTTTAATCAATCCAATTCTCTTGAGTCCCTTTGATCCTTGATAAACTAAACTATCGTTCCAGAACATGAATAGTATCGTCAGTACCTGTATTTCTGTAGCCAGTCTCTTAGCCATGGCACTTTGCTTTTGGTATCGAATTAGAGGCTTCTTCTTTAGCGAGAGAAGGACGCTGAGAATCCCATCTACTGTCCTTGTGAAACTAGCGTTGTCCCATGTTGTGAAAGAGTCTCCATATAATGGCATATTTTGTACGTCAAGGTTGATTGAAAAACAGTCCGGATTGATGGCATAATAATCCGCATAGTATTCCTACACAAGGGGACTGAATTAATATTTTAATCTGAAAGGAAAAAGATAGATCTATGCTTTTCTCCTTGGTCATTCTTTTGACTCCATGTGTCGGCTTATACCTGAACTTCGCGCACCACTTCATGTTCATCCATCTCGGCGAGCTGCTCTATGGCCGTCTTTTTAAGGCGATTGCTGAAATCTATTAATGGGAAATTGAATAAAATGTAAACGGTTCCTCTAAAATCAAAGCATTTTCTTTCAGTGGTTTCCTTTTCGGAACCTACAAAGATAATAATCTCCGTAGCATGGATCTCTAAGCTCCTTGATCAACTTCTCAATGGAGTCAGCGGTTGGTCTGAGAAAGCAGATACATTTCAAATGACGCATCTTGTCTCGAGCGTTGTTTTCGATACGGTCTACAAGGTATGTTTCCTTTTGAAGTAGGCGGGACTGCGTTGCAACCATTGAAATGATGGGTGTCTGTAGGTAAAGAAGTGAGTTGACAAGGTCATATCACTGTAAGTAAAACTCTCAATGTAGCCTGCTGAGTGCTGAGAATTTTTTTTTTTTTTTTTTTTTTTTTTTTGTTTTTTGATATGTATTCCTTTTTATATCTCAGTCCCTTGTATTACCGTTTCCTGATCCAGGAGTAAAACCTTCATGCCGGACGTATCATCCAGCATCTTATCGATGTAGAATTGTAGAGCCGTTATGGTGTTCATGTTTATCAGAAACAGAGGTCATGCATGGAATGAAGAAATGATGCAAAACGCGATCTTGCTTCTTACGACTATTAATCAAATGCATGCCACGTGTAAAAAATCAGACGCCCATTGACACAGTTTTATGTTTCGTTTTTAGTTAACCAGGATTTATTTTTCGTTGAGTTATCAGAACTATTTACAAAAATAAAAGCAGTTGAATAAAGGGAATGGGAAATAGATTTTTTTAGAGAGGACGACTCTTCAAAAGCGCCATCTCTACGGCACCAGAACCCCAGTCCAAGCCATGGTTATGACCCTTGCCATCCTTGTCCATGCCTGCACGGCTCAATGCCTGTTCTTCGTTCAAGCAGGTAAGAACCCCAAAGATTACTGGTACACCTGAATCTAATCCGACACGCATAATTCCTTGCGTCACAGCCTCACAGATATATTCAAAATGCATAGTCGAGCCTTTGATCAAGACGCCAATACAGATCACTGCATCAAATGCTTGTTTGTTGCCTGCACTACTGGTCGCCGTTGTTGAGGCTTTGGCTGATGAAGGGGCAGAAGTAGTTCCTGTTGGCGAAGAAAGATTTAAGCCATCCAAGAGATTGACATTACCCATCAAATCACTCGCGCCTTCCGCAGCACGAATCTGTGAGACCTCAAGAAGCTTCTTAGCAGCAAATGGAAGTTCGTATGCACCGGGAACAGATTCAATGACAATGTTCTCAGGCTTGACCTTGTGTTGCTCGATCATTGCTTTCTTTGCACCTGCAACCAGTCCTTGGACGATGGCAGAGTTCCAGCGAGTATGGACGATAAGGATACGGAGGTCAGAGCCATCCTGTGGGACTGAAGCAGGCTCAAGCCCTTTATGGAAATCGTCGATCATAATTGAAGGATATGAGCTGAATACTTTATGAGGAATGAAACAAGAGAGAACAGACTTGCTGGAAGCGCAAAAGGCATCTTGGTCAGGACGTGGCTTGTATGCGACTTTTTAGTGATATTTTATGCGATTATATGCCATGGCGGCCTGGTACTACTTTAAACGCGCAATAAGTGTTAGAGCAACTACTACACATAATAAATATTCTACTCTGAGGGCAAATGAATGAGTATTTTGATTAAAAAAAGTGGACGCTCTAATAAACATAATATAAACTACGTTTTCTCAACACTGTTGAAGCTACATATACTCGATGCTCGCGATCGAGTCACCGCAACAACACCTGCCATTTCAGGTGGAGAGACTGCTATGCTATAGATACTACTTGCGCTACTGAGGAGACCGTTACGAACTCCACTGCCACCGTGGCTAGCATCAAGGCTATAGATGCTTCCAGTTTCACCACCTCCGTTGCCATTGTTACTAATAATACCGCTTATGCTATCAAAATTATCATAACTTGCTCCGATCCATCGACCTATACCTAAGTGTTGACCCCATCTAGTCTCACAGAACCAGACCCATATCTGACTAACAATTGTTCTAGGTCGAGGTTGGTTCCTAAGATCTCGAATCAACACCAAAAGCGACCATCCATGAACAGCAGCAATGATAACTTCTAGGGTTGTGAGTATGATCATTCTGGACGCCTCTATGTTACCATTACTATCAGCGCTATCACCATCCAAAGCATCCAGATCATCCAAACCATTGCTATCACCGCCATGGAACCCTATATTTGAGGACAATAGGAACTTCCGAAACTTTGTTCCAGCTGTCAGCATAAATAGGATGGAGACCAATGATAGGATACGGAATAAGAACCGTAGACACCATATCGCAAATGCCACCTGAGTCAATCGTAATGACCGTCGAGTCGCCACCATGAGCCCAATAGCATTGTCAATGATTGATAGCGAGGACATGACGAGAAGAGTATAGACAATTACCAGCTCTGTACCTTCATAGTCAAAATTCACGAGATCTGGGTTGCGTACCAAGAGCATTTGACTGACCAGGGGCAATAGTGAATGGAAGTTCCGGAATCCATTCTTCTTGAAGTTACCCCTTGTTTCTTTTGTCGATGTTGGGCTTCTTTGTGGAGAGTTATTCTTATTGCTGCTAACACCAGCGTTATTCTTTTTGCTGAACTCAGATTGATGTTGAGAATTGGTGCCTGGATTGGGTCTACGTCCTCTACGGCTACTGCTGTCGTCAGTGTCAGCACCAGTTGAAGGCTCTGCCTTTCTGGCTTCGATGCTAGAGCTGAATGCCAATTGTGAGGATTCGTAGGCAATAGATACTGGATTGAACGTCGGTGATGGTTTATGAAAAGAAAAACGTGACAAGTCTTTTTTTTTTTTTTAAAAAAAAAAAAAAAAAAAAAAAAAAGGCATTGACCGTCTATAGCAGGTTAATAGGAAAGAATAATCGACATGTACGAAAAAAATATGGAATAAAGGCTAAAAACATACCATTCAGCTGTTCGAATTTATGGATCTCGTTATTGCTAGTTTGTATGGTGCTGATGGAATAGCATATCCCATAAACGGATACGAGAGCAACAACTAATCGAGGCCATTCTTGAGCAAGCCGTGTGCGGTATACAGAAATAGTGGAGTATAAAAGCATAACTGCGAGTGGTTGTTGTAGCTGGCTATCTTTATTCTCCAATATTCTTCTGGTCACTTTTTAGTGCTGCGGATTATTGAGTAAAGAGGTAAGGTTCAGTATGGTATAAAATGATGCCAAGACTTTGCTGAGACAGTTGTTTTGCTGATATTGTTGGAGAAATTAAAGAAAGAAAAAGGGAAATGTGCAATGCGCATACAACAAGCCTATCTCAATTTCCCCAGCCACATGGAAATAGAGCCCAGCACCTCACCACGCATGCCAATATTTGTGCAAATATACAACTGTGTCAATATATATACATTTATATAAATGTATAAAGGCACCATTGCCTGTAATATCGAGCTCAATAGGCTGTCAGTAACACTGATCTATTGTCAGAAATAAAATTGATGTCCAGCTTGCCACCCTTCATCTCAGTCGCCGAACGCTTCCCGACGTCTTGACTGCACTGACTATTTTTCCTAACTTTTGCAACTGAGGTGTGAGCATCATTACCAAATGCATCCAGTAAATCGATGTAGGCAGACGCCTCAGAGCTTTATTTGGTTACTCTCAGCCTACATTCAAGTCATTCTACGCGTCCACTACCGATAAATTGGCCACAGCATGGTTGCAACGTGCCAATGGAGAAAAGTAATCATTATACGAGTCCGCTACTGTGCAGTACAGGTCATGAAACCAGCTTTTGGTGCCATTTGTCATGCCCGCAGTATTAAACGCTTTGCTCAAGTCTGAAAAAACCATAACCTAGTTAGCATGACAGTAGTACGGATGCTCGTGTGCTTCCGACCAAGAATTACCATGCCGCAAAGTTTTAAGCAGGCTACCAAGTAGGAGAGCATGGCAAAATGTCTTCAACTGATGCTGTCACATTCTCCAACCCTTGTTTTTTTTTTTTTTTTTTTTTTTTTTTTGTGCCTATGAATTATTGACCAGAGTAATCCGAAAACAAACGAAGATAGTCTTAGAGCAATTAAGGTTCATGGTAGGCTATAGTCCAGTGGCTGTGCGACAATACATTCTATTTATTTTACTCAAGATACTATACTCCATAGCTTTTCAAGAAGCAGGGGATTCCATACACCACTGAGGCAGCACCGACCAAGTATTTGAGCTTGCACTTCTCGCGCGCCTCTTTGACTGCCTCTACTAATGACAGTTGCGGCTCACAATCATCATAACTTTTTAGTTCTATTTTCCCCTCTTCTAAATTATCTAGCCCTTCAGCAATTACATCATCCAACCCTTGCTCCATGTAATTAGGCTTTTCCTCGAAGGATGCCATGTAGGAACGGTTCCTATCCAAACCCCACATTTGGAAAGTGGCCATGCTAAAACGATCAAGGTCCTTGTCGGTGACATCCCAGAGATTAGCCACAATTGTAGGACATCCAGCCAGAAGATAGTTCATCACATTGCCAGTCGGATCGAACTCTCCATCACCTTTCAGGCATCCTGAGCTACAACCTAAGAGTAGTGAAACAGCGCAATGACCGAGCTGTCGAATCTGAGTTGATCGGATGTACTGTTCACCACCAGAATGTCCAAAGTAACTAATAAAACAAGCATGCAGTCAACAAACGAAGGAGCCATGTTAAGACACATGCTCAAATGAGAAATGAACAGCATAATGGAAAACAGGCACATATCATAAACTTACATATATAAATCATGTTTCGAGAGTCCATTGATACACTCAAGGTCCAAAGGTGCTCGGCCTGTTACCCCACCCCATCCTTGTTGGCTCTCCACATACTCCTTGAATTCGTCTTCGGTATTCTTGAGGTCTCCACCGGGATTCAGAATATAAAACGTCTTTTGTGGATCTACTACAAGATCCTGCCACTCACAACCCATAATACTTTGAAGTTCATCAGCAGCGTTCGCCTCATTTAAGCGGGTAAGGCTACTATGGCCTTCATTCCGTCTCTCATGTTGACTACCCTTGAATATACAATATTTTTGCTGCAGAATCCTATCTCTCAAGAACCAAATGGAAGGTACTCTTGAGACAGCTTCTTCACGTAGGACGGGGCAAGATTCCCAAGGAAAGATCTGTAAGTGCTTGTCGAGTATCAGAATGACGTGTGCCCCATCGTCAAACCCGTTGTTCTTGGCCTCTGTCTCAGCTTCCCAATAGCAGCAGAGAGCTTTCTTGATCTGTAATGCAATCTTGCCGAATTGCACCTCTGAATATTCAATGATAGGGGATGATGACGCTGATGTCGGGCTTGGCCCGTAAAGTGGTGTGCAGGTCGATGCCGAAGGGACAGCCCCGTTATAGAGATAGGCATCCAATAAAAAGTATATTAGATCTTTGAGCTCGGTGAACGATGGCTGATCACCAAGGTTCAATATCACTCGACATAAATCAACATTGATCTCCAGTTGTAAGATAGAGTCTTTACTTGAAGCAGCTGTACTTTCATCCTGGTCCGGTGTGCCAGCTTCCGCACCAGTAGAGGCAGTTGACATGGAGTGCACAGCTTGAGACATAATCCATTCAAGGGCTCGTTTAAAATTCATCAGGTTTTCCTCGTTCACTGGCGTGTTATGAGACTGAATGATCCCTTTCAGCCCACCCAGCCACTGATCTTGTATCAAACATAAAAGGGTATACAAACGTTCGTCCAGCCTCTGACGTTGACGCCACCACTCTGCCTTGGCCTCTCTCGTCAACTCCATTGGAGCTTGAGCAAATTTAACCGAACTTGTAGCTGCTGAATGTTGTTTCGACGAAGTTTGCGCTAATGTCTCTTGGCTACTCAACATAATATCCTGGAATTCCTTCACTGCCTTCTTGAAGGACAATGGTTCAACAGGTGTGCTTTCTTCTTCATCAAAGCCCATTGCGACACCAAAGCCAAGGTTTTGATGATCGTCTTCCCTCTGATACCCCCGATTTAAAGGCAGTCGTAGAACTAACGGCGTTGCTCCTGCCCGCATACGATTGACATAAAGTACATCACGCTCTATATTTATCTCGTGCTCCTGGTTCACCTCACGCTCTACATCCATGGACAATGAGACCACTGTCCACTTTTTGGGCAAAATGTCAATATATCTTTTCTGGAAAGTATCCGACTGGCCATTTATCACTTGAGTGTCGTCACTGTAGATCTTATCCATTATCTCAAGGATTGGTCGTTCATTACCGAAGGATGTGGAGGAATGAAGCTTACTTTGTCGGTCATAATACTCTCTTCGGCCACAACGAGTGAGGAGATCCTCTGGGCGCATCCCCACATTCCGGAGATCATTGTCTTCATCAGCCTTAGCGTTCTCATCGTCTTGGCAGCTACCCATGTTTACGTCAACATCCGCGAATTCTTGATCATCATTCCTATCATCATCAGCTATCAATCTCAGCCGCCTTGGTTTTTCGAGTCCAACTAGGTGAACCGTCTTTGGTCCCAGTTGCTGTTGAGTTGATCGCTCGTTGTCCAACCGGAAATCACAGAGTTGAGGAAGAGAAGATTCTGGGTTATTGACTTGAAGCTGGATTTCGCTAGGCCAAGTCTGGTCGTTGTACAATGCCTCTGGGTTGAGCTTCTGTCTAATTAAGCTATGCATTTCGCGATGCTGTGTGATCGCTTTTGCCATTTCCAAATAACAGGCTGCTCGAACAGCCATATCATGGTTGATAGTGTCAATGTGTTCATTTTGTTTCCCATTTAGAGCTGTCTCCTGGCAAAAGCACGACTCGAGGACAGAAAGGTAGATTTGTTTTAAGCAGACCTCCGATATAGTGTGAGGTGAATGAGCCTTTATCATACAGTGATATGCAGCCATGAGATTCTCATGAGCTTGCTTCATAAGCTCTCGGCAGTGGTCACCTAGGCCCTTCTGAGTTCCTTTTTGGTGTTTCCTAGAACTGCGCTGTTTTGAAGGGCTCTGCAGCGTTGTCTCATACTTAAGTTGCGATTGATGATGGCGTGTCATTTTTGTGACACGAACCGATGGCGACGACAAAAGCGACTCCTGCTTTGTATTCAAAGACCGCAATACCCCATTGTCGCTATGAATAAAGGATTGGTTAAATAATGTAGTGGGCGACACCAAGTCCTGGATTTGTAGCTTTCTGAAGAGTCCAATGGACAATGCCGAGTCTGGCATCATGGCATACAACAAGTTTTTTGACATTGTATCCTCCAATTCCAGAATCAGCACTTTTGCTTTTGTCAAGTGGTACTCTTCAATGGTGAGTGCTACGGGGTCCTCCGCCTTTGATCTCTCAATCATAGTAAACGCCTCTGCTCGGCGACCATTTAGGCCAAGAATCAATCCACTCCTGTATCCCATTGTGGCCTTGATTCCAGCTAAGGCCACACACTCGAACTGAGCTTGATCGGACATTCCTAGGCCACCCTCATATAAACCCTCAATTTGAGGACGCAGAATACCCCGAATATTGGCTCCTTGTAAACCATTAACCGTGGTTAATCTCGATTCGCGTGGTGTCTGCGGCTCCCTAATGACGAGGTGTTCCAGTTCTGAGATGAAAGCCTTGTCCATCAAATGCGTCAACACCTCATCTGCGAAGCAATATGCTTTCAGGGACTGCTTGAGCTCTTGATTTGCGAAATAAAGGTCGCCATTCAGCAATTGAATCTTCACATCCTTGATTTCCCAGACCAAGGCGCTAGCATTGGATTCTTCTCCCCACATATCCAGTTCTTGAAGAATTTGCTGACTCTCCTTCCATTCATGCCGCCGCAGTTTTAGCTCTGCCTGCTCCAACATAAATCGGCCGATGGACTTTCCCGACTTTGAGAGCTGCGCAATATGTCGACCTTCATTAAAAAAGTAGTCTGCTTCACGCGCGCTGCCTTGTACTAAGTACAGCCTTCCTAATTGGTGATATGTCTCGATTAATAGCCGGAATATAATCCATTGATATCTCTGTGTTATCAGTTTTTCCAAAGTTTGCCATAGTTGTCTACTCTCATTCATTGTAGGGTCCTGAGTCTGTGTCTCGCTTGGTATTGTTGTCTGTGGCCGGACTAAGAATGGATTTTCGATAGGTTGACGAGTGACAATATTAGGGTCCATTCTGGCAGACTTGATAGCCGTAGATAATGTGGTGACTATGCGGCTAAGCTGTCGACCAGCTCTTTTTGAATCTAGAATAGCCTCGGAGAGATCTCCTTCGTGCAAAAGCAGCTGTGACCGCGCTAGGTACGCCTCAACGATGACTATAGCTCTCTGGAATTTGATCTCAACCTTTCGAGATAACATTCCAATTTTGGATGAATTGCTCTCGATACTTTCATGATGGCTGTTGGAAACGTAGTGCTGTTCGGAATGGTATCTTGCCTGATTATAAGTAGCTACACCTTGGGTTTTAAGTCCCACAGACATCAGATACAAGCTGTGGATAAGCAACCATGTAGCATAAGCTCCACCAGAGAGCGAAGAATCTCTCGGTATTCTCGCCATTTCTCCTAAAATGTGTTTGCCATGATTAAGCGCCATTTTAGCTTTACCCGAATATCCGAGAGCGAGGTATGCTTGCCCCATTCTAGCATATATCCTTACAGCATCTTTAGCGCACATACGGGATGAATAACAAAATGAAATTAAAGAAAAAAGCGTGGTTAAGACTGTGTAATACAATCAGAAATAAAATATTAAATACTATATTGAAAATTCCCTCCATCAGTAAATCACATACCTCCACAAGTGTTCTCTATGGTAGTCATTACACCATTACACAACTTCAACATGAGCAAATAAACTTGAACCTGTAATACATGATAGTCTATCATGCCTAGGCAATCCGCCAACATCTGTAGGTGATCATATAAAAACTCTGGTTCAGGTAGCTGTTTCCTGATCTTGTCAACTTCGAGCTGATGATTAATAAGCCGTGAATCTTCGGTTGAAGTAAAGCACTCGATTTTGCCAAGAATTAACTCCCAGAGCTGGAGAGCAATCTGAAACGGCTTCGATCTTCTTAATAGTCCATCTCCTCGACAGCGATCTAGAACTCCATTCCACGAGTAGGCCAAAGCCAGATGGTGGTTCCTAACTGGCTCTAGCGCCAAATCTGCTTTGAGATCCTTTTCTTTTAGGATCTCTACTGCCTCCTCAACAAGATGAGGTGCCTCCTGCTGCAAGTCAATCTCTGGCCTGGACTGGTACAACATCGCTAATTGAATTAGGACACGAGCCCGCCTGATTGGGTTCATCATCCCTTGACCACCGCGATAAACTCTTGTGATTAGGTGTCTAAGGACTTCGATCTGCTCTTCACTGCACTGATTTGTGTAGTTTGTTTTAACACTGAGGACACCCAGAATCCGGCACTCGAATTCTTGCACGATACCGCAAATGTGAACTGGAACGTCAGGCTGCATCACTTTTGATTCAAACTCTGGTACTGTGACTATAGAACTAAACCGTGATCCCTCCATCATTAGTAGAATGCGCGCGCGCCGGTTCAATAGTTTAGCAGCAGGAAGCTGAGATACATTTAGGCCTCCCATCATGGCTGCATCTATAGCCAGAAATGCGTTCAGTGGCAAAACGCAGAGACCAGAGTTGAAGCATTTTAGTGCGCCACTTAGGTCGTCGGCAGCTTGGAGACAGACACCTAGAACTTCGTATCGATTTGCTAAAACGAGCCTTTCCGCCGACCTGGACCTAAGTTCACTTCTACTGCTCTCAATGTTTTCAAGACTCCTGTCCGTTGAAAGATCGTCTTGGAGCCAAGCAGAATAGCATTCAACGGCGATCTCAAGTGGTCGAATAGCCTCACTACGTCTACCAGCCTTAAATAGAGCTCCACCTAGGTTGTAAAGCGCATTTGATATCCATGGAAGCGACTCATCGTCATTCATCTCCTTTGCTAACGTGAAGGCAGACTCTAGGCATGTTAGAATGGTTGCTGTCTTGATAGCATGTGCGATATTGAAATTGGACTGATAAAGCCTGAAAAGAAAAAGGATAGCGTCGACCCTTGCACATGACAATTTTGCTGGATCTGGAACTGTTTTGCGATTAAAGCTATGATGAGTCTAAAAAGCATGTGAATGGGTCAAGTACCTTGTTAATCTCTATGCCAATATCATAGACAACATTTAGCATCGCATTTTCAGTCATTGGAAACGTATTACCAGATAATCAACATGTAGTCGGTGCCACAGTGCAGCTGTCAAGTCCGACAGGATTTTAGTGATGTCTTGAACAAAACTCAGCCACCATTGCAGTCTATCCATGGAAATCCCCTTAAGTGGTGCATGGCTGTTTTGTGAAAAAGCTACTTTCTCGGACGCATCCATAAATTTTGATCCAATGCTTCGAATCGTGTCCATAAAGCGGAAAATACGTGCCATATTCTGTAGGACTGGAGCTGACATATTTTCGGTAGGCGCTGAAGGCAAATCTCGCTCAAGCGATAAAAGCATAGCTTTTGCGTCCATGACACAATTCTCCACAAAGTTTTCTATTGAGATATCAAACCAAGTCAACCCATTAATCACTGGAAAAAAAATACTCGAGTGTCTTTAGCCATGCAATTAGCCAGATTATTAGTCAGCATACCTTTTAATGATCTTGAATGCCAACCTTGCAGTGCATCATCGAACTTTTTCAGTGCCCTTACGGCATCATCGAGCCGATTACTGAACTGTTCTACAGAGATGGTGTTCAGAGACGCAGCTTGCGCAGTTGCAGAGCAAGTAGCTGGGGCCAACTTAGTGATTGCATCACTTGCTATAGCTTCTGGTGTTTTATACTGAATCAGCTGCATAGTTTGCTCCGCTTTGGTTTTATCCAAAGCCTCCGTCATCTCCATGTCTTGATCCCCACACGGAATACTGTCTACAAATTCATTCAATCCTTTGTTGTCCAGCTGTATCATAATGGACCCTTGTTCATTAATATCTTATACATGTATCATGAATTCGACCTGAAGCCATACAATATTCCCATTTGCGCTACCCTTACCTTCCGTGTGAAAAAAGCGAGGTGTCGACGCCACTCTTGGAACCGTAGACTTGCATAGTCAATGGACGAAAGATTCTTTAAAAACTCAAATGTCGTTTTATATAAACTCACCAAGAACAATATGTCTTCGTTAGATCGACCCTCTCTAGTCGATTTTTCATACTCAGCTCCGCATCTAAGAAGTTTATCCCAAATCATGTCATCTTTTGTCTCTATGAGATGCCTATAAGCGCCGTGGTATCGGATCCCATGCATCCTGAGCATAAAGGCATTACGCTGTCCTTCTGTGTCCATGATATTACGCTCCGTTAGTGCTATGAAAGATCAAGAGTCATGCTTATCTATTCCACAAAAAAAAACTCCTTCCCTGCATCTTACCGCGAGAAGGGTTGCTTCCTAGAGCTTTCCCAGCAGCAATAAAGAAGAGTCTGAAAATAGTGTCTAGGGATTGCTGGCCAGCTGACCGGTTAAGTCTGGCAATACACATGCACCAGTCAAATGATGAATTTTTTTGAGACGTCATGTCTGGCAAAAGCTAGATTTTCGAAAAAAAAATACGATGTTAGGAAACCAATATGCTTGCCTATCGCTTACTCTTAGATAGCACTAGAGTATGAAAACATACATGAGCCAAGGATCCATTCCTGACATCTATCCAACAGCGTAAGGCATTAGTATGAAGTGCTTGGATTAGGCGGCAGAAAGTCAATGCTTGGTCCAGTCGGGTATCGGATGAAGGCATAGTGTCTGGAGCTAACTCTGCCAGGAAATTTGATAATGCCTTTGGGAAAGGAAAAGTGAATAGATGTCGATATGTCTCCTTAATCGACTCTGGTGACGATGATAAGATGGACTTATAGTCGGCCGTGACTTTGTGATGCTCGCATCCATAATCAAAATCTGGTTCATTCCACAGTGACATGGCGCATTGAAACAATTGGGCTCGCAAAAACCCTAGCTCATGTAGCGCTCGCCTCTTCTATTGCCATTGTAAGAGGATGTAACAAATTCATCAACACTTCTTATCCATATCAACAAAATAAAAATCAAGTCAACGACATGAAGCATATGTAACAATATCCTTCAATTTATTGTCCACTCCCCAATATTATTTACCATGCCCAACTGGATTATCTTTGATATTAGGTTGGATCGCGCTTTTTCGACCTCGAACAGGTTGTTTGGAACATTTTTGTCCATAACCTCTAAGGTCCGAATTCCTAGAAACCCAACATCAACTAGTATGGCAGCATGGGAATACGTTGGTCGATCTGTATCGTAAATAGCGCGATCGTGAGACGCCAGATCAGACACATTGCTTTTTGTGGTCATTTTAGCGGAAATTGAAGTCTTAGTCAGCGCAATTGGGTGTTGAATCTGTGGAGTTGCCACTCCTGTTGTTGATCCTTTAGCGTTGGTGGTACTTGTTTTGATCTCCATATGATTAGTAGTTTTTGGCGTTTCAGCTCTAGCCTTCGCACCACGCATCATTCCAACACGCCTTTGAGCCTGTGTATCCTCAGCTGTTGGTACCTGACCTCTTGTTCTAACTGTTGCTGTAGTTGTCCTACTTCCTAAACGCGAGAGTGATCCAATGGTCGGCTTTTGTTTTGCTACGATGGCTGAAGTATGAGTAGACATAGATGATGACGATGAGGTTGATGACGTTGGTCCAGATAGGGTTTGATAATGTGATGTTGAAACTATCGTGGAGGACTCTTGTGGGACGACATCAGAGGTATCTGGAGCGTCTAACAGCTCGGACCATTTAGTCAGAGTACATAGACACTGGTTGAAGAGACGCTTAACCTGCTTGCAGAAAATCACAGCGTCAACATCACTATATTTGTTCAGCTGCGCTTGCTGTGTAGCCGAAGATAAAATAGAGGAATGGACCGAAGACAGGAGATTCGCTAACTCAGGAACAAGATTACTGTGGTACTTTCGATAGTCTGTTAAAGCACCAATGGCAGCATCTAAAGCCATGCTGTCTGCCTGTGAAACTGGCATGACGTATTCTGGTTATGTGTGCAAGTTTGCGATTCAATGTCGATGGGTAATCCAGCAATTAAAATAAAGTGTAAAGTCAAGTACAGAGACAACAAAAGGCTTTACGTTTTAAGATACATCGAATAAGCCACATACACGAACGTGTTTAACCCTCCTAAAAGTCTGAAAAAGCAATCATGATTTCTGGACAAGGAAGAGTGCGTTTGGGCCAATATTGGTATTTGGTGATGACTATTGCAATTATTAAATATAGCTCCTTCATCTATAAATAATTACAAATGACTTAGATCTAACAAAAATTACAACTCGGCGTGCTCAATCTTGTCTTCCTCCATAGGGATTTCACCGGAAGCTTTAATTTTAACAGGAGACTTGGGGCGATCGTTAACGCCAGTAGGCGTGTTCTCGATCGCAGTGACAACCTCCATGCCTTCGAGAACTTTGCCAAAGACAACATGGCGCCCATCCAACCATGAAGTCTTGACGGTTGTGATGAAGAACTAATTTTTTTTTTTTTTTAGGTAAAAATAGGTATTAGCCACTATAGTCCATTCATGGAATACCAAAGGAAAATATCAATAAGAAAGAGTAAGAGAATTGTGAATTGCGACCATCCTACCTGGGATCCGTTGGTGTCCTTTCCAGCGTTGGCCATGCTCAAAATACCAGGACCAGTGTGGCGAAGCTTGAAGTTCTCATCCTTGAATTTGGCTCCATAGATCGACTTGCCACCGGAACCATCGCCATTGGTGAAATCGCCCTAGTTGATAATAAAAAAAAAGGTTACATTCATGGCTCCGAAGATCATGGATTGTTAAACGGCTCATTCCAGCTCGATCCAGGGCAAGAAAACTGTACATAAATCGACTTACACCTTGAATCATGAAATCCTATAGTGATAGGGAGTAAACGAGATTAATATTCAGAGGTTGTGAGGAATTCATTCAGCCAACGTTAGAATAAGAACCGAGGTCTTAGGGATACCTTGATAACACGGTGGAAAGCGGATCCGGCGTAACCGAAACCATGAACGCCCGTGGCGAGCTCGAGAAAGTTCTTAGTTGTATCTGGAACAGTCTAGTTATAAAACGTGTTCTTCTGTATAAGAATAAGATTGAAAGGTGGGGAAATAAAAAATATATTACGAAAAAGAAATATACGCATTACCTTTCCAAAGAGGCCAATGACAATGCGACCGAGATCTTTACCGTCTTGCTCGATATCAAAGTAGACTATCAGTTATCGATTATACATTAGAGATTGTCAGTGATGATTTCCAGATAAACCTCAACTTCATTAAAAATGTGATGACTGCTGTCCTCTGAAGTTAATACCTTTGTTGGTAATATGAGGTCCTTTTGCACCCTGCACCGTGATAGCGAGGGTGATGAGGGCCATGAAGAAAACCAATGCACGTTTGAATGAAACCATTTTGATGAGATGTTTGATGGGAATATGGATAAAGAATATGATGGGAACCTTTTCATATTTAATTAAACATAACGTGACGAACAGACCACCCTTAATTACATCTGCGTTGGCAACTTTTTATTTGTAACTTGCTATGGATTGGTCTAACTTGATCCCTGGCGTTGCATGCTGTCGAAGGTCAATACCTGCTTTCCGAAATACTTCAGCTGTCAACTCGTCCATCCCATATGATTCAGAATAGACTACTTGGCTAATACCGACTTGTACAATCTTGATTGCACAACCTGTGTAAACAAAAAAAAAACGGCATATTAGTTCCTAAAAGTATCACTAATTGCTGTGCGAATGAACAACCTTCGTAAAGCCAACGCTACACACAAGTTATTACCAAGACAAGGGCAAGTGTTGCAATAGATCGTGCTACCAGTCCCAATTCGCTCTCTTCCGGCTTCCAATAATGCATTCTCCTCAGCATGCATACAAAGGCACCGATCTAACCCTCGCCCACAAGGCGTCGCTTGATTACACCTCGAGCAGCCCCCATCATTGCAATTCTTCAAATTTTTGGGTGTTCCGTTGTATCCCGTGGCTATTACACGCTTGTCCCGAACAAGAACACATCCGACTCGGCGCTTCATGCAGTTGGACCGACGTGCTGCCAAATTCGCTAAATACATGAAATACGAGTCCCATGACGGTCTTAGTAGATCTGGATTGGTGATATCGAGTGCTTCGAGTGATTGCTGGAGCGATGTGAGGTCCGAATGGTTGTTAAGGATCGAAAGGTCGGACATGGATAGAAGTTTATAGGATGGAGTGTTAAAAATGAAGATGGGTGAGGGTGACTCCGATGGGTAGGAAGTAGTTGACAGATTCTGATCTTGGTCTAATAAAGAGGTGACTATACTGGTATTATCATTAGCCATCAGGTCCAAACCTTCGTCTGACTCTAGATCAGGAAATTGTACTGAGGAGTCCGATACTGGCGTTGGTGCTGTGAGGCTCTTAGAGATTGTGTACAACGAATTGTCGCTCATTTCAACAAACTGCTCCAATGATGGTATTGGAAGATCTTGCCTTTGACACCTACAAGTGGTATTATGGCGGCTCGTTTGTGTCAGCTACTGTGACCAATGATTGCCAGTAATTAACTATTACACAAAAACAAAGACTTGTTCCGGCCTTACCGTGCCACACACCGACGGTACCGCATCATCATTGGACTCTCCACTGACAATAATAAAAAGAAAGGCCGTTTGCAAAGTATAGAAATCCCGTGGACAGTATTGACATCACATGTAACATAATGATTCATCCAATTGAGCGTGACAAAGCTCAGCATGGCTTCGATGGTATCGAATTCTGCACTCTGTGACATTGGGTCTTGGATTCGGGCGGTATTTGAGCCCTGCCCGGTGTGCAACGCTCTGTTGGAGACAGCTGACTTAAGGTATAATTTTTTGAAGTCATATACTCTAGTGAGCAAGTCCATGACTTCATGCTTCCCACTACATGATGGACCCACAATGCCGATGAACATGGCTCCCAAAATGTGTTCGTTCTAAGTTGAGAGATGTCTAGCGGATGAGGCACGGATCTGTCTCGCCTTTATACGAGCCCAAGCCACGCTTTCCATTCTTTGGTTCCTGATTCAAGTTGTGGCCAATGGGCTTTTATTCAAGATCTCATCAAGATATAAATATATTGAAGCTAAAAATACATGTAAGAGGTAACCTGACCGCTAGAAGCGCTGCTTGCTGTCCTCAATACTTCTACCAATGCTACTCTATAGCACTATAAGAATTAATACTACTACAAATAGCAAAAACCAGAAAATATAAATAATAAAAGGATATTGTGTGCTTATTCATCATTGGTGGCCAATTCACTAATAGACATATCTACACCTGCATTTGCATTCACATCCGTATCCATGTTAGTATCGGCGATAGACGCCGCTTCTGGATAGTCTGAGGCTGAAATAGTTGCAGTTTTAGTGTCTGTAGGAGCATCTGAGCTAGCTGTTCCAGGAGGCGATGGTGATACATCATCCTTATCGTTATCAGGGACTACGACGACTTCTTCCTCTTCTTCTTCCTCTTCATCATCGGCCATTTCTGGCATATGTAGAGCAGGAGGGCCGCCTCCGGAAGATAACAAACATAGTCCATTCACTAGGACTCTAAACGAGAATGTGATCGTCTCTTCAGAACGATTGAATGTGACAGCTATATTAGATATTAAACATATTGAACAAAAAGAGTCTTTAGTAATATGTTATATATGATCAGAAATCAGGTACGTAAGGAATATCAGCATTAGTCACTCACTCAGGGATGGGACTGTAGGGTTCATAGGAACCATTCGGGTACGATCAGAGCCTCCAAAATGTACTAGTGTATATCCGACCACTGGCTCGGTCCTCCATCGATGTCCAAACAGCTCTCCGACAGATGCCTCGCTTTGGAATGTGCGTACCTCAATATTATCAGGCTTGGCCTTATTTAGGGTCGTATTGTCATCTTCATCATCTTCAATTTTGATTACAATGGTTTCAATCTGCTTGCTCATCGATAGTGACGAGGACACATTTGAGCTAGTATTCTCCGTTTGTGTAGATGACATGCTACTCGAAGCAGGCTTCGCAGCCGCTTCTACATTCGAGATGACTGGAGGATCAGGAGAGTGAGAAGGAGAAGCTCGTCGATTCTGGATCTCTAGAGTATCACCCTCATCTAGCCCATTGAAAACCATTTGGAATTCTCGCTCCACCATGCGGTCTTCAATCTCAAGTATCTGTGCATCTTGCCATCCCTGAAACCGCACCTCCTGTAACTCTCGTTTGAAACGAGCGTGAATCTTCTTCAAAAAGTTTGTTCTGAAAGGTGGCACTGGACGCGGTTTACCATGCACCTGCAAATACTGCGTGCACACTGGACACAGAACTCTGCTCGCGGCCGCAGTATCGTCTTCAGAAGATCTTGATCCATCCGGTATCACAATCTGTAACTCTACCTTTGGTTTCCATGACAACGAATCTAAAGCCATGCAATTCGAGCACTCTAAAGGACGAGTTGATTTCTTAATGGGCCGATCAACTTGGGGCCCAAAAACACGTGGTGGAGTTGGCGAGTGTGACCCAGGTGAAGTTGGAACACCCCCAAGTGAAGACTTTTGTGTCGGGTTCGATGCCATTTGACGGTTTCGAAGGTACTGAAGCTGGCGCAATTGTTGCTGCTTCTGTTGAAGTTGACGGTGTTGCTGGTATCGCTGCAAAATCTGTTGCTGCTGAGTTAAGCGCTGCTGGGACTGGAGCGGGCTTGGCCTAATAGCCTGAGGCGCATGTTGAGATGGCGCTGGTGGATGAGGTTTGATAGGGATTGGTTGATTATATATAGGGTACATTTGCTGATGCGGCTGATAATGTCGTTGAATTGGCTTGAAACTAGAACTTTGTTGATGTTGTGCAGGTTTTGGGTGAAGCTGTTGTAGTTGTTGTGATTGAGCCTGTTGTGGAGGTCGCTGTTGAGTATTTTGAGTCACCAACTGAGCAGCGCGCTGCTGATCGAGCATGCGCATGTGCTTATGAAGGTGATATGACCTAGAGTGAGCCGACTGAGCTTGCTGCTGCGCGCGATGTCGCTGCTGGTGAATGGACTGGCGCATTTCGGTTGCTGCGTCTTGTGGAATAACTTCAGATGAAGCTTCATTGGGCTGTACTTGCTTTTGTGGATGCTGCTGTTGTAGCTGCTGATGAGATTGATGAGTAGTGGCTTGCAGACGTCCTGGGTTAGATTGTATCTGAGATCGATCATGTTGTGACAAGGGATGCTGAGACAGAAGTGAAGCGTGTGCTGGATGCTTATGAGGTTGGAGCTGTGGTACAATTGAAGCATATGGTGTGCTCTGCTGAATGCCTTGTAAAACTTTGTCATCTGGATGACGAGATTGTCGCAAATCTGAAATTTTGGAAGAGTAGGAAGATGGATGTGAAGGATGTACATAGAGTTTCGTAGACAAGGATTCTAAAGGTGGTGAACTGTGCCCAGGGCGCAAAGGTATGGTAGTATGATTGCTCGCTGGAGGAGACCCTGGGCGAGATCCAGGACGCGAATCAGAATGATGATAATATGACTCCCCATGAGAAGGATAATCTCGTTCTCGCTCCAGAGGGTATCTGCCATGATATGAGGAATGGTGGGTACCATTTGTATAGATTTCAGGCGTGTACCATGATGGGTAGGATGTTGAATATTTGTAAACTGGGGATGGTGGTCGATCGAACTCAGGAGGGCCATGTGACCGCAATGATGGCCGTGAATAATAAATGTGTGGAGGCCGCTTTGGATAATGCCCATAATCTGGGTCATACCCATAATAGCTGGGATAGTCGTCAATGCCTGACCTGTCAATCGACCTTTTGCGAGAGGGGGTGAAGGGAGAATAATTGACAGATTTGGCTTCCAACTCAAAAATACGATTACGCATGGCGATGTACATATCCTGCGTGAATTCTGTCGGCATCTCGTCCAGCGAGAATAGAACTGTGAAGCGAAGATTTCAGACAACAAATAAGTGCTCGTGCAAAAGGCATTAATTCACAGACAGCAATTATCTAAGCAGTAGGCAGCATTTTTTTCTTTTTTTAAAAAATGCACAAGCCATTCGTACCTCCTGCAAGTGTTGACAGCGTGTGCTGCGATGCGATAGGATGCCGCGTCCGAAAATAGGGTTCCTGAATGGGTGTTGTTTTCTATCAGCACGGGCCAAGGCCACAAAGAAAGCATTAGTCTATGCATAAGTGTACCGAATAAAGTCGCAAAAAAAAGAAAAACATTACGCATAGTATCTTGCTCTTAATACCTTCCAGAGTGACGACAGAGCATCATTACCATCATCAGATGTAGGCTGGTCAAGTTTGGCTGATATAGATGGAATGGAAAAAGGGTAACGATTCAATGCGTTAGGATGATGCGAGACTGTAGCAGGTTGTGGCCCTGGAGGGTAGTGGTTGGCATAGAAGGAATGAGATACAGATCGCATCCTGGGATGATGCTCTGCTTGAATCATGCTACTACTTCTGCTACTGCTACTGATACTGCCATGATAATGACTATTCCTCCTCTCATGATCATGCTCACGGTGGCCAGTACGTTTAAGATCCCGTCCGTTCTCTTGCCTATACTCCTTATCCCTTTCATCCTGCAACGAAGAACAAGCATCACCATGATTGGAGTCTCCATTCATGTGGCTTCGATCGACTCCTGGCTTAAGAAATGAGTGAGATAAGGAGTGTTGACTATGTGGATGATCAGTCTGCAGAGAATACGAGGTTTGAGCTGGAGCCGAGGCGGAAGAAGAGATTAATTCCGAGCGCTTCTGGTGATGCTGGTTAGAATAGTCCTTGTCAAGATAAGGGGGGTTTTGTTGATGTTCCTGGTGATGATGGTGCTGTTGACCATGGTCTAGTGATGGATGCTGATATAGATGATGTAGATGTAATTTATTATAGTCTGGATTTGCACGATTTTGCTCAGGTGGAGCATGAGAAGCAGAAACAGAAGCAGAAACAGAAGCAGATACAGAAGCAGAAGCAGAGGCAGAGGCAGAGGCAGAGGCAGTGGTAGAGGCAGGAATGCGAGCAGAGTAAGCATGATGAACATCTGACGGAGGATGATCCTCTGCAGAATGATCCTCCATAGTTTAAAACAACAGGGGGATGGAGGGAATGGAGGAAATGAGACACAGAAGTCAAGGATGGAAAACGGTGAGCGATGAGGGAACGGGACATTTCACGACTTCTTGTGCCAACACAAAAATGGACAACTGTACTCATGTGTGTGCATGTTTCCAATAACCAGGATTGTAACCACACACACATGAACCCCATCCGACAACGTGCTCCGATTTCCGTCTTTTGACGACCGATTGACTGCATTACAAAGAACAATTAACAGATACTCTGTCATTCTCTGTGATTCTTTTCATATTCAGACTCACAAACACACACAATAACGCAAACATACATACCCACTCGATCATCACTCGCCTCCATGGTGAGAAAAATCATCCAGCACACTGTAAACAATTACTGCTGTGGAGTAAAAATGCGGGGTAGTCCATTATAAAAAGCACTTCTTATAGATCTTTCTTCTATGGAGGGAACCTACTTTGTCTTAGCCGTGGCCTCATGTCTTGCGTTTGTGTTAATTGTTGTGTCTTGTGTGTCTGTTCACGCTTCTGCTTTTGTCGAGTTGAAGTGATCATGGAGTATGCAATCGCAAGTTCTTGTGATGTGTATGATGCTGCTGCCGCCGCCGCTGCTGCTGCTATCGTAGCACCTGTCGATTCCTCAGAAGGTGATGCTGTCCGCGCCTGGAGTGGGGAGGACTCTCTACTCCGTCCATGAGTGCGCTGTCGGTGCTGTTCCTGCTGCGGTAATGAAAGAATCTGGTTCAGCTGCTCATCCTCACTATTTATTGCCTGGTCACTGTGGCCACAGGGCTCACGGTCGTTCTGTCCGGTCAGAGGTGATTTAGAGCGAGGAGAGATTTTTACTGGTGATGAGCTAGGATTTGATGAAGGAGAAGCTGATCTAGAAGTAATAGTGGCGATATGGGTATGTGTAACAAAAGATGACGCTGTAACCCTTGTACTCTCAGATGCAGACACCGGAACTGAAGATAATGTTGGTAGCGAAATGATATCAGCCTGAGGGGAAGTCGAAGGACTCATGATAATTGAATGTTATTCCCACTGGCAGCACGTAAGGTGCAGTCGCAGGTAAAGTAAAGAATGCAGAGGCAAGAATGGGAATGAGCATGCTCATGCGGAATGGGTTCTGGATGCAGATCACTTTTTTTTCTTACTGTTACGCGAATAAACGGAATGTCAACCGGAATACAAAAAAAGTGGATCCGACAGCTATGCGGGGAAGAACAATTGGTAGGTCAATGCCCCTGTGAAACGCCCTGCATACTTGAAAAAATATAACCTTTTATATTCAAATTCAAATTTATTTAATCTACATGTTGTACAATGTTACTATTATTGCTATTATTGCTGTTGCTGATGTTGATGTTGCTGCCGGTACTGAGCCAATAAGATTGTCGCTGTGGCTGAATGTCCGCAGATCCGCTGGTGGCGATGTAGTGCATCATTCCGCATGAAACCACATCCACAGTCTTCACAAGTGTAAGGTTTTTCTCCTGTGTGCAGACGCACATGCCGCTCTAGGTCATGACGTCTCGCAAACGCCAAATGGCATGACCCACACTGAAACGGTCGCTCTGAGGAATGAGTCTTCATATGTGATGTCAGATTATAGGCCCTAGAAAAAGTCTTGCCACAACCAGGAACATTACATTCAAAAGATGTAGGCTTAAACCTATGCTTCACTTGGCGAATTCGACACTTGCGTTTAGCTGATACACCTATGGTAAAAGTCGAAGAACCAGAGGTAGCCACCACTTCATTGGATTGGTTGGATGGTCCTTTTGAGGGATCCTCTGCAGAGGACACCATTTCGGCATGGTGAACATTGGATACTAAAGCTTTTGCCTTATAAATCTTGTTTCTTGCACGTGAATGTGTTGACTCTGAGCGTTTCTTGGATGGGCGGGAATCAGGCCGCTTGATAATTGCAGGGGTAAGCGTGTAATCCGGAGACGAATCGCGCGAAAGTGAGGCCCACGACATGGTAGGCGATCCCAGCAACAAAGCATCGGGCGAGGAGACCAACAAAGGGATGTTTTCAGTATGAGTAGTCTGAGGTACCATCAATAAACCCCGGTTAAGCTCAAATGTAGGTATTACGTTTTGTAGATCAGGATGATGGAAGGAGGCAGCCATAGCCTGAGATTCTGTGTGGTATTCGAAAGAAGACACGGGACCATAACCATAATGTGTTCGATCAGATATAGTGGCCTTGAATGACTCATATGGCGCAGTAGAAGGTGTAGGATAGACCATAGGGATTGATAATGAAGCATTAGGTACATGCTCTCCATAGGGGGCACAGAGTATTTGGTGATCTGGCTGAAGTTGTTTCTTATCAAAGGGAAGTTGAAGTTGTTGATCCCGGACAAAGAAAGGTACAAGGGGGCTACTTCCTGGAGTATCATGTTGTTGATGTCGATGCTCCTGACACGACGACAATGTACTGTAAAAAGGGCGCGACGGCGAAGGAAGTTGCTGAGGTTTGGAGTCAGGTTTTGGATTGAAGCCTGCGCCCGCTGAACGCATCATCTGAAGTGGAGTAGTCGGCCGCGTCTCCTGATCTAGTTGGTCTTGTAAGCTATCGTAAGGATTGGCTGTGGCTTCATACTCTTGCATATTGTCATCATCGCCCTCTTCTCCATCGAATGATATGATTGAAAGGTTGGGCGAGATCAAATTGGGCAGCTGGCGGCTATCAAGGTCATCCAAAAGACCAAAGAGCGGTACGTGAGTGTCGCTAACAGGAGCATTGCTCTGTGCATGGAAAAGTAGGTGGGGCAACTGACTGTGTCCAGCCATGACGAGTGTGGAAAGCATCAAATAAAGGGGGAGGGACAAAAGCTCAAAAAATCCCGCGGAGAAATCACAAAAAAAAAAGGCAAGAAAACGTGGATTGGCAAGCGGGAAAGCGAACTGAGCGTTTGTGAATAGAGAGCAAAAGACAGGCCGATCGACAGATTGAATATTGGAATAAAACAGATGAAATGAAAAAGGATGGTTTGTTGGGATATCACAGTTAAAGACGACTACGAGAAGTTAAAAATTGATATGGATAGAGAATGTGAAGTAACGAAGAAAGAAGGAAGAGAGGAAGAAGAAAAGAGAAATAAGGGTCCAGAACAAAGACAGAAAGTTTAAAGAAACTGTTATTTGAATGAGATTTGTATGATGAAGAAAGATACGTCGTGGATGGTAGAGAGAAAAGGGGTTTAAGAAAAAAAAATGGGAGAAAAGAATGAACAAACCGAGGTGGGAATCGCCAGATATTTGTATGAAATCGAGATACAAGCCAAAGAGGGCAAAAAGGAAAGTCAATGATGGACAAAAAGAGGACGACTGGATTATTCCCGGCAACTGTAAGTGTCATTTAATTTGTTCTATTTTATATACTTTATTTTAATATGTTGGTTGCCATGACTTGACCAACCTCCTGTTCTCAATGGCGCAGTCCCTATTTCGTTTCAATTAGGATATTCAGTCATCTGCTCAAGTTTTTAATAACATTATAGCACTTTAAATAGGATACGATGAGCTGTATAGTGAATCAAGCGTAAACCATCCAGCCAAAAAAGCTTTTCTGAAGACGATATTCCTTACCACGCTTCCGCTCAATCAGGTCTGCTTCTTCGTTGTTACTTGCTCTAAGCGCAATCATACACGCATCAATCAGTTCAGGCTCAAAGATGGTGAAAGAACAGTTTATTTTCGTTGCAACCTGCAATTCAGACAAACACTACCGAATTTCACTGGTAAAGGCTTCGGGATGTAGATCATTTTCATCGCTGTATTCTATGCGCTCAGTATGCTTACAAAGTACGAAAGTGCGATTGAGCACAATGCAATACATAACCCATCATCAGAGCAGGCAGGAGTTATTTATGCCATCTATCAACAAACGCTTTGATTAAGATTCATCAGAAAATAGTTCTTGTGAAGAGCTATTGAAGTGTTATCAGAAATTAGGGATAGGGCAGGAAACAATCACATTATTTTACTAGCGGTATAATGAATAGACACATATCCTCCAGTCGCAACCAGGCGCTTACCTCTTTATAATCATGAATGCTAGGTTTCCTTAATAGCTTTAAGCGACTTCTGTTGCTTCTCCTCAGAGCCTTTTCTTTGTATCGACTTATCATCTCAAATCAAATGTCATCATAAAGTAGTAATCAAGTCTCTCATTGGAGAGCGCTGTGCCTCATCCCACAACTTGATATGAAGGAAAGAAATGCTCTTTTCCCTTTTTTGTGCCACATGGTTGGGCCAGCAATTCTACCTCATGCTGCTACATTCCTGCAAGGCATCAAGAACTGCGCACCCGACCATCCTGAATACCTATTTACATTCGTTGCGGTTGGAATATTGTATATAGTTATATAATAGACTGTCAGCTATAGAAGGTACGCACGGAATTATTGATATGAGAGAAACAAAGCAGAGAATAGCAAAGAACAATCGGATGTAACCTTATCTCTTTGTCTTTTGCTCCTTCAGCTTTGCAACCGATCCAATTAAATGTGAATGTATTCACTGCAGTTTCCTCTCACGCCACAGGGTCACAAAACATTGTGGAGTTTTCAACATCTTACTGCTGTTAGTAAGATAAAATGTAACAACTACAATGTTTTATTAATTAAGGTGATGTCCGCGGAATGCTTTTAGCTCTCCAGATATTGGAATGGACGATCAAATAAAATAAGAGCAGTGGAACATGGCAAGTAAAGAAACCTCCTCGTTCAAAGACAGTTTGCTGTTGCTATCATTATCCCTTGCCTTCATTTTGCCATGATCAGCTTCACCGTCTTGGTAAGTTTCGTCTCATGGAAGAATTAAGCACCGACCTTTTTTAAGTAAAAAATAAACATGTGTCTTGTGTGCATCTTTACTATGTTGTAACACAACTTTGAAGACAGTAACTGAACCTTTTGCCCCGATCACGATCAGGCATTGCTCTTATAGAATCTGTGCATGCAGCCTTTTCAATTGAGTTCACTGAGGGCGATTCACTCTTGGTGCACGAGGCGATCGCCATCACAATGGCATACAGTGTTAATTATTATTATTTTTTTTTTTTTTAAAAAAAAAAAAAAAAGAGCCGTTTTGTCAAAGCTATAAACATCTGTTGAAGGCGCGTAATTTGATTTTTTGATCTTTTTTTGTGACCAAGGCAAAGTTTCCGATCAAGAAAAACCTCGTTGCACAACAGTTTTAAAGACACATGTTTATATACCTTGGTGGATACATTTTTGCCGTTCGCGCTCAATACACATTCCCTTGAAAAGAAAGGAATCATCCATTTGAGAAAAAACCTGCCCAGCGTCTTGCGGTAAGCATCTTGGTAAACGATAAGTTGACTCATAGCATCCAGCGTGAAAAATAAATTTATAAACCTAGGGTGGGCTTAGTAGAAAGCATGGCCACAAAATAAACAATCTTTTTTTTTTTTTTCTTTTTCGATCGTTGCCCAATGCTCATACTTTTTTTTATTTTTTTTTCTGAGTGCCCACATGGCATTGCTTTTTGTTTTTATTAGTGATGGTTAATAAACCATGACAATCCACAGAAACAACCTGTTTAATTAACAGTCTTTTTTTTTTGTCCTTAAGGACAACTGGTTCACGAGTAACATGTTTTGGCTTTCGAGATAACTTTGACGCAGCTATAGTTCGAATATATTTGTATGAACAAGTGGGTGTGGATTCTATCATTGAAACATCATTTGGTGTTAATAATGGAGATGGTGCTATACATTATTGAAAAACAGTATGAAGGAAAGAATAACGTCCTTTGTCTTTGCATTGTTTATTACCAAGATTGCTTTTAATAGTGCATATTAAAACTGGTTATAATAAACTACTGTGTCATCTCAGGGTCAGTTATGCTTTGACCACCATACAATGCAGTAGAATATGCATGAGCATCTTGAGCATGGATCGAGGGGATCAATATAAGCAAATAAAAATGAAAGAAGGAATGGCAAAAAGAGCAACTGAAGATTGTTGAATACAAAGTGGAGAAAATATACTTTCATAACACTACTTGTTACTGTTTTTATTATTAACATGGTAAATATTTCCTCGATCATATCTATTTCGATCGAATACTCGGCATAAAAGTACCGATGATAGTAAATAGCACGAGGCTGATTGCCAAACAAAATTATGGGCGCGAGTAGGACAAAGGAGACGATTAGTTGTAAAGAAAATGTCAATGCTGAACATGGCTGAAAGGCTGCTGTAGAGTGTAATTCATTTTTCACCGCGTAGGTTTACAAAAATAAAACTTCAAATCACATCAATTCGCAGGAAAGAGATGCATCTGAAAGACTTCGTTGTGTGTGAAGCATTTTTTGTAATGTCGAATGAAATCATTCTACTCATTCGCGTCGCGTACTCTATTTCCCCAGAAATTGGTATCAAGTTGCAGGATCAAATGCAAATACATGAAGTCTTTTCTGTTGTGCAGTTCATCCCCCTTTAAATGTGGAGATGGGCTAAGTAAAATGGTTGACGTGCATAATTTGCTTTTCTCTTGAAAATTTAAGTCTGTGAGGGTGCAAATAGAGGAGGCATTTATGCAGAGAACGTCAATACATATCCCAACAGTTCGGTAAAAAGGTTATGTGGTCATAATTAAATTATGTCTCCCTCCACGCCACACAAGAATTGAACAGTTTGGATCTATACGAACATGAGTATTTTTATTTGCTTTTACTTATTTTTACTTTCTTTTTACTTAAACATCGGAAAAACAGGAAAAACAGGAAAAACAAAAGTAAATTCACTGACAAAATACTTCTGTTCGTATGTTCAGTTTAGTACATCAGTATGATTCACTGAGGCTGAAATGATTCCTTTACAGGTGATATGAAAGGACATGAAGCCAAAGCTACATCAATCTCATTAAGCTCATCAATACTACTGAAAGAAATTCAATTTACTCACATCTGCTAAACGATTGTCGAGAATAAAAAAAAATAATAAATCGATAGATTTTAATTCTTGGTTCCTTAGATCAAACATCTGTCCATGTATAGAAAAATAGATCCGAGCACAGAGTTCATGTCCAAAATTGAGATCGTCCTTGATTTGATCTCGAAAAGGGTCTCGACCCAACACATGCGGTACATTTTCATGTATCATACCATGGAGGTTGTACTTCAATTAAACTCCATCTCTTTTTTATCCACTTGTGATACTTTGTCCGCATCTCCATCTTGTCTTTAATTTACTTATCTGATTTTAGTCCAGCGTGGTTTCAATCGCTTCCTTCTGATGGTACCCTAAATGAGTTTTTTTTTTTTTTTTTTTTTTTTTTTTTAGCTGGTTTCCGATCTATCTGTTTTTTTTTCTTGCTGCCTCTCCTTTTTCTCCTTTTCATCGTTATACTATCCTTTGCTCTCCTTCTCTCATCAGACTTTTTTTTTCCAAACCAACCCAGATTCTCCCATGGCAATAAAGTCAAAGACAGCTCAAGCGTCCGTCCCTCAAGTCACAAGGATCGTATTTACGGCCTTGCTGCTTGACATTCTCGCCTTCACTATCATCCTGCCGCTCTTTCCGAGATTACTTCAGTTTTATCGCAATAGTGAACATGGCAATCAGGTAATGATTGAAAGAATTGAGTCCGCCACAACCTCTATATGCCGTCGAGCTGTTATTCTATTTTATTTTATTTTTTTGTATGGTCTGTCAGTCATTCAATTGGAAAAATTCATCTGGGTTTTTGAAATCAGCAGGATTGACATTTCCTCATCGAACAAGAAGACTGTGGCAAGGAAGCATAATGGAGTACTTTACATTCATTGGAGTTTGTCCATTTTGCTGAATGCAGAAATTCACCTTAGGAATGAGTGGCCGGGGATAGGCAGTTAACTTTTCCTTGTTTCAATCTTCTGCCCGTACTCATAATCTCCTTATCTTCTAATAATGACATTAAGACATCGTTGCTTGCATGGTCGTTGTCACGTCTCACGGATTTCCAGAATATGGTCGGATTGAACGATAGCCAAGGATCAACCGTCAAGCGGCCACCTCGTATGGATATTGTCCTTCTCGGAGGCGCTTTGGGCTCATTATTTTCCGTTTTGCAATTTATTGCGTCACCTATCATAGGAAAGCTCTCGGACGTCCTTGGAAGACGACGTGTGTTGTTGATCACCATGGTATGCCTGACTTTTTGCTCTCCTCCTTATCTTTTCTCCTAAGGTTGATCTGTGTACGAGCACCTGCCGCATGATCATCCTACCCAGCGATTTCCTCTAACCAAACATAAATTTACAACAACCGCTTTCATCTAAGTAGCTTGGCAACATGGTTTCATGTGGAGTCTGGCTCTTCTCACGCTCATTTGAGCTTTTTGTGCTCTCCAGAGTGATCGGTGGCCTTAGTGAGGGTAATGTTCAGCTATCTATCGCCATGATTTCTGACATCACCACGCCCGCAACACGCTCAAAAGGACTTGCTATGGTAGGAATTGCATTTGCGATCGCATTCACGATTGGACCAGCATTAGGCGCCTACTTTGCCAATAAGGATCTCGTTTCTGTTTTTCCTGGATTGGCTCAATACGGTCTTCATCCATTCTCGGGATCAGCCCTATTGGCAATGGTGCTGTTGACTGTGGAGAGTTTGTACTTGTACGCCAAGCTCCCAGAGACAAATTCTGAAAGTTGGAGATTGGCAGTGCATCAGACCATTGAGGAAGAGAAAAAGAAGGCCAGTGCAGAAAGGAATGGCAGATCAGTGTCGTCAGCTACTGCCACTCTCAGTAATGGATCGGCAAGTTTATCCGCGCCCATCACCATGGATACTAAGGCCATTGTTCAGCTGCAGCATAAATATCTTGCTCGACTCTCGTTTACACACTTTGCACATCTGTTTCTCTTCTCGGGGATGGAGTTCACATTAACGTTCCTGACGTTTCACCTATTTGACTTTAGCCACATGCAACAAGGTGCTTTGTTGGGTTATATCGGGATTTTATCGTCCTTGATCCAGGGCGGCTATGTTCGTCGAAAAGCTAATAAAGTTGGTGAGAAGCGGATGGTCTTACAAGGAATGGCTGCTGCCGCACTTGGATTAGGATGCATTGCACTTGTTTCCAGTGGGGGCTCTGTCGAACCAACGGCACTGGAGGAGAAGCTTGATCTGTCAGTGTTCCGAGATATTGTTCTCTGGCTGAATGCCCAAGAATGGTCAAGGAAAACAAGGATGTGGGGGCTTTACGTAGGAGCTACTGGGCTTGCCATTACTAGCGCGACTGTTGTTAATTGTTTGACCAGTTTGGCAAGCCTTGTATGCGACATGGGATCGGATGAGTGTGTTCCGGAACAAGCCACGAAGGGTGACAATAAAGCTGATCTTCAGCCGATTGGCAAAGGTCTTGCTTTAGGAAGGTTCCGCTCGTGGGGTCAGCTTGGACGTGCTGCAGGGCCAATTGCTGCTTGCAGTTTGTATTGGCGTGCGGGACCATTGGTTTGTTACGGAGCAGCATCTGTTATCGTTGCGGTGATCACTATTTTGGCATCTAGAATCTTACCTGAAGTGCGTAAACTTCCTATCCGCACCAGAGTCGCTGTGGTATCTTCAAGCAACAGCCTCAAAAAAACTCAATGAATGCAAATGGGAGAAAGAGTAAAGGGATTTGCCCATAGACTTACTTTAATATTTATTGTATGAACATTTGTATATAAAAAATAAATAAATAAACAAGTTGAATCGAATGTCAATCGAGGTGCATGTTTACATCGAGAGTGCTACAAGGAAAGAAAAAAACTTGAGCCTAGTTCACGATGCATATTTTCCCTTCTACTCTTCCTTTGACTTCTCCTCACCAGGAACCACTAGACGTTCGTACCATTTAATGGAGCCTTGCTCATAATGTTTGAATTTATCTGAGGAATACCAAGCTTTCAGCTCCTCGACCTTGTCAACAGTCTCCTTGACCTTCCAAACAGCTTCGTAGTTTTTGAAGACATCAATAGCCATCTGACCCCAAGGAAGGGTCGTATAAAAGTGGATGATGTTAGCTAGATGGAGATCCGCAAGCGAGAGTTTGTCACCAACATAATGACCATTGTTTCCGTTCTCTTTTAAATGGAACTCGTGATCCTCAAGGAATCGCTTCAAAGTGTACGACAGAAAGGTGTCACGAGTGCGCTTGCGATGTTCTTTGGGGACATCAGCAACTTCAGAGAAAGTACGCTCCCGCAAATAGTGGATGCTTGAATAGAACGACTGGATCGTCAAAGATTCCCATTTGTTCTCGCCAAGGAGGCCAAACCTCTCTGCCAAAAACACGTCAATAACCATAGATTCCGATAAGTCAAGAGTCTGGGATGTAAAAAAAAAAAAAAAAAGGAAAGGAGCTTAGCACGATATTAAAACATATAACATAGTGATGGCAAACTGGTCATTTTTTTTTATTTTTATTTTTTCTTCAATGGTTTGGATAATTACCTTCCCATTTGGAGCCGTGATCTTCAGCATAGGCAAGAAAGAGAAAGCAGTATAGACTTTGCCTGAATTCCATTCATCTTCCTGAAGCATGATTACAGCCACGTTAATAAAGATCAGCTTTCATTGGTGCTTTTTCGTTTTTCGTTTTTCGTTTTTTTTTTTTTTTTTTTTTTTTTTCTTTTTCGTTTACAATTTACTTACTGAAGGGGACTGAAGAGTGAAGTTGGCTTTACCATAATAAAGGATATCTCTTGATGTGGACCCAACAGATGCGATGTCCCAGTAAAGGAATGTATAGTGCAAATCCTTTTCATCTGTCTCCTCCAGAAGACGAGTCTTCTCGTAGGAAGTAAAGGATGGGTTCTCAGACTTGTAACTAATCTTTGGTCTTTTTTCAGGCTGTGGTGTCATGATTGTGTAGTATGTGTAAGACTAAATGTAACGGTGTTTTGAGAAAGATTGAGGATCGTATTGAAACGAAAAAAAAAAAAAAAAAAAAAAAAAAAAGAGCGCTTTTAAAGTGTTGACATTTGGTGGCACTTCTTGCCAAAAAGCGCATCGACTACATAGCACCATTACTGTTGTTTGTGAACAAATTCTATAGGAAGGTTTCCTTCATATTGCACTCGGATTTGGTGGCAACTCAAGTCAAGGACGCCAAAATCCAACGCCGCACTCTTTTTAGCGCCAAATAAAATGCCGCACAAACAATTGCATAATTTTTCTTTTTTTGCTGAACGCAAGAAAAAGCGCGCAGCATCTGTTTCATCATGAAAAAATTGGTGTAAACATTGCAACATTTGATATTTTGCTTTGGCTGGGGAGATCATTAAACTACCTCCTCAAAAACTTTTATTTGGTCCCTACATAATTCTTTTTTTTATAAAAAGATAAAATTGGCAGCGAGCGCGAGAAGTGCGCCTTTGCTGGCCAAAAGTCCAGAGGCGTCAGAATCCTAGAGTTCTGATTCATTCAATATCAAAACAATCCTTTCGCATCCAACATCCCCCTTCCAAATAATAATAATAATAATAATAATAATACTTTTCTAGTGCGATTTAACAATGCAGGCACTGCACTGAAAAATGTGCTAGAGAAGGTTGTCAATAAATAATAAACGAACAACTGGCTAAGAAGTAAACACAATGCTACCCCTTGAGTTATAGGGAAAAAACATCAAAGCTAAAGAGTTTATAATTCGTTATCAATGAACATATGGAGATAAGGTCTATAAATGATTGTGTACGATTTCTAAATATGTTCCCGGTAGTTGTATGAAACGATTAAATTTGGCTCTCCAAGACTCTAAGAAGGATATTCTCTACTTTAGCCAACTGTTCTCGGGTCGATACTTGGGATGCAATCATGTAGACAACATTTCCCAAGGGTCGTCCAAAGATGGCTACCTCTATCTCACTATCTTCATGCTCCTTCTCTCTCAGTTTGGATTGCACTTTTTGCGAGACCAAGGACGCATAGCCTGAAGGGCCATCGAGCTCCTGCATCTGGATTGCCAAGACGCTTCCAAGGGGCACAACACCAGCAACATGCTTCATCTTTGAGATCTTATTGACAACCTTTTGATTCCACGAACACCAGATGCCCTGTTCTCCATACGGTGCAGCCCCCCAGTCCTGACGAGCTTGATCTGCGTCGCCATGAGATTCCATTAAACGGTATGCCTGAAGACTGGTGTTGGCGACTGCACATCCAATAGGGTGTGCGGTATATGAGTGACCGTGCAAAAGTGCGTCTGTCTTGGTTTCACTCAAAAAGTTGTTGAAAATTGCATCACTAGTCAGCGTAGTTGCCAGTGAGATCAGACCACCAGTGAGGAGCTTCGCGTATGCAGCAATGTCGGGATCCTTTTTTTTTTAAAAAAAATAAAAATGAAAATAAAATAAATGAGTGAAAAAAGTGATTAGCTGCCAGTAGGTTGTTCCACATACTAAAAAATAAAAATAAAAAGTTTTCTTACCACTTGCAGCATGTCTGCTGCAGATTTACGGCCCAAACGCCAGCACCCAGTAAAGACCTCATCAAACACCACTGGGAGTCCCTTCCAGTTGTTCTTAGCAGGGACATGTGGATTTTTGACGGGTGAAATCTCGGTTCCAAACCCCTTGAAGGCTCTCACTTCCTCGACAAGGCATCTTTGGAAGAGAGGGTCCACCCAGACCATGCCACCAGCACCCATCAGGACTGGCTCCATTAGCAAGGCTCCAAATGATCTTTTCTCTTTTTGTGTCAGCCTGGTTAACGTCTCTCGGATATGAGTACGGTAAATCTTTAATCGAGGATCTTGACCATTGCTACATGATGGCATTGATGAGGAGAGAGGAGATTTGGAGAACACAGATGACAAATTGTCGATCGAAACCTTAAGAGGGGCCCCATCCTTGGTCATCTCTGCAGGAACAGTGACCTGGAAATGAGAATCCTTAAACAACACTGTAGGAGGGTTGAACCAATGACCATGGGATTTATACCAAGTCACTTGGGCATTGTACAGATTTGGTGAACATGCGTTCATTGCTCCAATAGTATCACCATGGTATCCACCGTCGATACCAATCACCTCCACCTGCCCTGTAGCTTGACCTAGATCTATATACCGATCCTGACTAGCCTTTAATGCCATCTTGAGTGCCACCTCAACGGCTGTACTGCCGTTATCAGAGAAAAATACACGAGAGGCCCAGCCATCTCCAACGGTCTCAAGTAGTGTCTCCGTCAACTTGACAGCAGGTTCATGCGCACATTCCGGGAACATGACATGTCCATAGCGACCTGCAGCATAAGCGGCCGACTGCGTCAATTCGGGTGATCCATGGCCCAACCCCTGGGTCCACCAACTGGCGCATCCGTCAAACATCTCCTTCCATTTCCACTGCCTCCCGCCATCACTCTCATTCGCTACTGTCACATTTTGTGTGGATGTACCAATTGATTGGGTATCTTTTTTGGATTCCAGATATGTGGTCATGATATCTCCATATGCTGAATCGATTACAGTCACCTCCTTAACAGTCTGGTGCTGTGTGAACGGCCACCAAATCGAAGTCCGGGCTTTGTCAGCCAGAGATTCCAACCGATCTAGCCGTTGATGATGATATTGACCCAGCGCCTCAACCACTTGTCGGAAATGATCCTCAGTTTGCTCGTAATATTCTTGCAGTTGCTCTGCATCTTCCTTTGGATCGGCTAATTTCTGTGGAGGCGGAGGCATCGCATAGATAATGGGCCTGTTCTCCTTTGCCTCTGTCGCTGTCAATTTGAGGATGTGTCTATACAAGAACTGGTCGTTCCGACAAGTGTTTTCAAAGAGTAGCAATGCAGGGATGTCGTATCCGTATTGATGCAGGGATTCATAAGATGTCAATGTCGTAGAGATCCCGCCCAAATGGCTATCACCCACCAAAACTGTAGGCAGCCGCAATGGCCGATAGAACCTGGACTGCAGCTCTCCCGACATAATGGGGCTATTAACACCTATACATGGTGACGAAATTAAAGATCGGGGTCAAACAAAAAATTAGAATTCAAATATTCCAGTTGAAAGGATGAGACGGATAGATGAAAGCTAAAAATATTAAACGTGCAGAGAGTGTGAGGCTAAAGGAAGAGAAAGTTGATTGAAAAGGAAGAAAAAGAAAAGCCTATGTGTTTGGGGATCTGGTAATATGTAAAGTACATTTCCGATATCACCGGATCGGCTTGCATTCTGATAGGATGCTATGATCTTATTTCCTTTTACCTCCTGCAGTTTCGAGTAATGCCCATCCTTTATCAGATGGTCCCAAAGTCTGCTTGAATGTGCGCAGTGCATTGATTGTTGCCTGAAGAACCTCTGAGTCTGGTGGAGGCTACCATTTCAAGAAAAAGATGAGTATATTATTATTATTTTTTAGAACCAGGTACTCATCAATTGTCAGCAGAATAGTAGATGTAGATCTTCAGTCACCGTGACTGACCAAATCATTTCAGCTCTTTCCCCAGCAAAGACAATCTGATGTGTTTTACCTCAGTAGTAGCGATATGAGGGCTGACTGGGTCAGGATAAGCATATAGCCGACTAGTCTCTACAAGAGGTGCATATGCTTTTACATGTCTATTCTAGAAAATAAAAGGTTATCATTTATGAAACAAAGACAGCTCGCACAAAAGCAGAAATGGAACGTGCCTTGCATCACAGTCAACAGGATATCCGGTTTGAACAGGCTTCAGATAAAAGGCTTTAGTCTTCTTTTGTTTATCTGCACCGATCGACAAGGCTGCAGCGGCACGGACGAGGCCTGTTGAGAGAATAGTCTTCCCAACATTAGTGTTGGCGGCAAAGACCTGGTAGGCCTGAAATGACCGTGTGGGCAAATGAGCCATGTCAATTCAATTGCAAAGTGAAAATGAAGTGAAGGGAGCAAAAAGAAAGTGAAACCCTTTTTCCCATCATATTGTGACCCACCAAACACTGACAGGCTACCAAACTTGGGGGTCAACATTTTTAAATTTCTAGTGGAGGCCAGTATAAACATACCCCAGCAGTCACCAATTTCAATATTGTGGCAAGTCCCTTGATTTGTTACAAGTCGAAATTAGCCAAATTTTCATGGGCAGAAGAGTGGTATTGCTCGAGCATATGAAAACTATGATCTTTTCACTTAAAAACCTGTGAAGGTGTGAAGGGAGAGTCGATCTCCCCAATAATTGTTTTCTCTGGCGCTTCGCGGGGCTAACGCGGAAATTCCTCACAGTCCTCGCTACTGCTGTGATGGGTTTAAACTTGGGTCATATTTGAGATCCCATATGCGCAAGGCACTTCCCACCAGTATTTTTGACACCATATTCCAAGAAGCTGATGCGGTTGGTATGGTGGCAACGTGTGCTGGCAAAAGATCTATGAATGCCAACACCGCCACATATCCTAGCAATGTGAGCCTGCATTCAATCATTTTTTATTTTTTTTATTTTTATAATATTTTTCAGACCAGTATGGGAACTGGCTCGGCAACACATCTCTAGCAAAAAAGAAGTCAAGAAGGAGGCAGAGAACAATAGAGATAGACACTTATTCATCTTTAATCTGGGTAGAAGAAGGTGAAAGTTGGGAAATGCGCAGTAGTGGCATCGTGATGACAAGCTTAATAAGTGATTTTAATGATTTTCTACTGATTGATTTTTACTGATTTTGCTGATTGATCCTTGCTGATTTTTTTGTTTGCATCCTTGGTATGCAAATCGAGAGCCCGGAACACTAGCTTTGCTCCTACGTATCGTACATGTAGCCTCATATGGGTGGCAAGAATCCAATAGCTGGCTGTTTTCTTCTCGTAGGAACTGGACCCGACATGCCCATGAGTTGATGAAAGCTAAATGGGCATATTTGCCCGTTCTACTATCCAAGGGATACCGCCCTGATCGAAGTGTGCTCATGCAGCTTTGTATTATAATTGAAAAGGTCTAACCAAAAGAGCGAGCAGCATTTGTTCCGAGGGATAGTCCTCGCTAGGAAGCCATGAACACAAAAATGCATATTATTCCATGTTTTAAATGACACATGTCTTTGCGGTTTTTTTTTATTTTTTGAAATAATTTATTCAAAATGAGTACGTTAAAATAATATTATTTATGACCTTTGCCAATATCTTGTGGTGTCGATACCACCGATACCACCCTGCGTCGATACTGTGTTGATGCCGCAAAGTTACACAGCATAAACAGGGCGTGTTTAACAGCTAATAGCCACAATATTGAAATTGGGTGTGCTTATCACTTACACACACCCAAATCACTAGCCTCAAAAAAAAAAAAAGAGACCGTTTGTACGACTTAGAAGAAAAAATGTACATGTACTGTAGACTCAAGTTTGGTCCCAGTCTGCCAGTGAGCGTTGTTGCAAAATTTAGGG